ATCAGACTCCGTGGCTTCTTGGTTCTCTTCGATTTGGCACAGATCCTGAATCTTCTCTGGACATCGTTTAAGACCCAGTTTGTTTATCCTTATTATTATCCGTGTCGCACGCACTGACAAAATCTCAGTGTCTTTGGTCGCACACCCCGTGATATCAGGGAGTGGACACAGCCTCCAGAGTTTGAGTATGCCATTTACTAGTACGTGCCTCATTTCGACATATCCTTTTTGATGCCAATGCTTTGACCAATAGTTCGAATACTGTGAGTTGAGTTCGGTGATCTGATCTGACGCCCATTCACATTCCGCAGCTCTTCATGGCCACCGTTGCGCTAGTCTTTGCTCCTCTTGCGCCCTTGGTCGCACTTGCCGGTGCTATCGTGTTCTGGATAGGTTCATGGGTGTATAAGTATCAACTTATGTTCGTTTTCATCACGAAGGTTGAGTCGGGAGGAGTAGGTTATTATTTCCCAAATTTTATTCGAGTTGCTAACCCTGGCTCAGCGGCTCTGGAACATGATCATTAATCGGTTGCTCGTCTCTGTGATTCTCATGCAACTGTTGATGGCCCTGAGTAAGTTATTTTAGCCATCAGAGGTTGCGACTACCGGCTTACCCTATTCCAGCCATCGGCCTCCAATACGGCTTCAAGTCCTTCATGTGGCTCACCACCGTCCCTCCAATCCTGTTCATCGTCATATTCAAGTTTCAGCTTGACCGAACTTTCTACAATAATTTCCTATACTACATGCCTTCGGAGACAGAGCTTCGCGACGCAAAGGTGCACTCTTCGAGGTCAGATATCTCTGGCAAAGGGTTGGAGAAGCGCTTCGGTCACCCTGCGCTTCACGCAGACTTGTTTACTCCGATGCTTCATGCAAGGATGATGCCACTCCTTGGGGACGTCTACAAGGGAAAGATTGGCAGTGACAAGGCCAAGCTGGATGAGTATGGTGGTCAGAAATTGGACGCTCAAGTCATTGAGGGTGGCCTGAGGATTGCCGCTATTGAACAGGTGGATTTCTTTATTTGTGTCCCAGAACGAAAACTGAACGTTCAAATTCAGCGCGATTTGGAGTATGATCCTGCCCTTTACCGGCGCGATCGAGGCGAACTGGACTGGGATCAACGTTCCATTACATCGAATGCGATCTTGGGCAATGCTGGAAGCGGCGACAACACTTCACTTTACCACCAGAAAGCCCATCAATATGCAGGTTCAATTGGTGGAGGTCGTGCATCACCCGCACCTCCCGCTTTCGACCGTTACCTCGCCCAGGGTCCGTCGCAATCTGTAAATGATATAGAGCTAGCACGCATGAACCGGAGTGTGGATCAGTTGCCTCTTCTGACAGATCACCAATCATATGGATACTTCGATGCCCGGCAGCAACCGCCGCCGTCTCCACTCCATGAATATAACTCTCCAGATCGGATGACCCCGCCATCTAGATATGGCTCGCCTGCACCAATGGCAACGCTGCCTCAAATGCAGTACCCTCCTCATTCTGGGGTCCACACAGAAGGCTACAGGGAAGCGCCGCTACATCGCCCGTATCCTCCCAGTCGCCCAAACTCGACCTACTCAGTTGACCCATCACAATATATGTCTGGAAGAAGTGCCTACCGAAGGTGATCTACCACAACTTTCATGAATTATGTCACGCCAGTACCACCATTCATTCAATATAATGTGCGCTACGACTAGGCCTACTCGAACTTTTTTCAATCTTTCACACCGTCCCTATATGACATTTCAACTTTTATCTTGATTACGCATATATCATTTGGACTTGGATTAGGATAACGCAAGTGCAATGGTTGCTTGGGCAGACTTGCTTGCTGCATATACACAAGGGTGGAAGGAGCCCCTCGAATAGTGACTGGCATTTTCTTTGCTGTACTTGTTGCATTTATCTTACCGACAGTTTATGTACGCAAACTTTCTAACTGCTACTAACTCTAGTACTTATAAGTAATCGAGCAAACCTGTTCGCTTGTTCATTTGACGTCGCCGTCATCTTGAACTTGCTGCATGTCTAACCTGTATTCATATGCGAAGGTCGACTGCCCTGCTCCCAAATGTTTGGCTACCTCACAGGAGATTCGTGACCGTGGGTCTGCGTTCGTGGGCAGCGTGTATCGCGCTAGCACACCTGAAGAAGCTAAAGCTGCCATCACCCATCACCGAAACGTCGTTCACGCTGGGAAGAAGGCCTACGAGATATCTGCCTGGAGATGCATGGTGCTGAAACATGGCAAGTCAGGGCTCGGGGGTCCTGATGACTTCGAGGTTAAAGCGGGATATGATGACGATGGGGAACAATGGGCTGGGAGCAAAGTATCGAGGGTCATGCAACGCGAGGGCGTACTCGACGCTGTTGTCATCGTTAGTCGATGGTAGGTTTCAACTGTGTCTATCACATTCCGTGGAGGACAGTTTGGGGGAAATTATACGTTTCCTTATCGCCCACTCACAGGTTTGGCGGGACCCTTCTAGGACCGGCTCGATTCACTCACATCGAGACTTGCGCTAGTGAAGTATGTCGTACATTCAAACGGGTCGAAGAGATGGAAGAATGTATTTCAACGCTTACAAGGCTCGACGATATGTTGGCAAGCCTGCGGCAAGAGTTAAGCGACCTGACTCAGAACGCTGAATTGGCGACGAGCGGAAGCGCCTTAGCCTCTGACGAGATCCATAGTGTGGCAGAAGGAAGGAGAAGCAGACAGCCGGATTACACGGTCGTGCAGAGGGATCTTGATATTACAAAAGCGAGAAGGCTTGTTAGTGCCAGAGAAAGTGCCGTCAAAAGTGTAAAGTCTCTGTTATCGAACAAGAGAACAATCTTGGCGAGTGCTAAGGCTGAAGGGTAGCACAATTGTGCGCAATGGGGTCGAGTTACAGTCAAAAAAGAATGCTCTCATATGATACGAGTAGTAATAACCTAGACGCAGAATAACATTCGAACTATGAAGATATTCGTGTGCTAGATAATGCATAAAAGTCACAGAGGGCATACTAGAAAGGGGATCGTTTCTGCTAGCCGAAGGCAGGCAACCCGGTACCCCATAGTGTCTGCAGAGATCACTGCTAATTGAAGTCTAGTCATGTGCTGGTGTGGGGCGAAGCTGGGGAGAACATGAAATAGCATAACGAGGTGCGTCATTTTCAAGCAGGTTTAGTGGGCGACGATGCAATACCAGTCTAATACAGTCCTATACCCAGATAAGTCGACTGATTCTCGGAGGCAGGCTGTACGGATTTGGGGAGAATCGCGACTGTCAGCACGTTGTGGGAACACAGGCGAAGTTGCCCTTAGTACGAAGGAGTGGCCATATGGATAGGGAATACTGCAATTTCGCAGACGCCATTTGCAAAATGAGTTGTGCCAGTGTCCCTGGCGGCTGCCATGTGCTTAAAGCAAAGTGTTTTTTGATGTTGTTGACATAGAAGCTTCAGGGGTGAGCGCGCCGCAGATGACCCTGCTGCTCTAGAACAAATTTCAGTTCATTGACAAATTGTCTGAGTAATTGGGATAAACAGCTGAGGCGCCCTCAGTGTTGAGAGTCGACAAGTCAACAGTATTCATAGAACGAAGACATACTAAATGAACATGAGAAAAGACAGCGTGAACAGCAAGCATATGTACCTCTGTTGTTGAGATCTGAGGGTCAATAACCAAGGCACAAGAGATGCTTATTCAAATTCTCGGTTTTCTTTCCTCTCTACAACGGCCTATAGTTCCGACACCGCGGGTGCAATGAACTCATTCATGGTAAATTTAACCCTGTGAGAAGGATCAAATTGGTGTAAAGAAAGTGGTAACGATAGAATCAACGGTGCAATGTTTGGTTATATGCTCTGCCGTTCGTCAAGGCTCATAGCTACAACTGGGGAATCCTCATAAAAAGTTTTGGTATGACACACACCTATACAACGGTGTTCATTGGTTCTACATTTGTCCGAGGCCTGAGGCCCTGAGAGAACTTCGGAGAAAGATCCAACGGAAGTCCGAGCACCTACTTGTACATGAAGATCAGTCGGCGTCCGGCCTTGCCAAGTGAAATTACCTTGACTGCACCATCAACAACAGAATTTGCGGCATGTCCCGCTCACTAAGTTCAGCTTCCTGGGTTACTGTCTACTCGATGAATTGGCGTTACAACACGCTGTTCCATTGACCCAAGACAACCTTGGTTATAATTCAACGACTCATCAGGGGTAGAGCCATCTTAGTCGAGCGTAATTTGCCCCCGTTTAGGCTGCCAGTATGTGCCGTATGCGTATAGAAGGTATACAAACGATGAAGCATGTCCGAGTCTGTTGAAGTGAAAAGGTCACTGAAACCAACCCTCCGGCCAAAACCTGTCCGGCGCAAAGTACGGCGCTACGGCGGATATATCCGCAGTCCGGCGGCAAAAAACGGCCAGGTAGCGGACTTTCAAAACACCTAGGTAAGTCTAATACTACGTGTTAATCTTATCACTCCTTATTATTTTCGTATGGACCCCGTATCTCAGCTACCGCCCTCCAATAATCACTGTCCAGAGCCCCAGTGGGTGTGGGCTACCTCTACCAGTAAAGTTCAAGCAGGAAAGGAGAGGGTGAGTTGCTAGAATCACTCATGGCTAGCTACGAGGGCTTTGGATATGGCGGGCCGTGTGACCGAAGAAACATGGTATTATCATGTAAATAGTTGATAAATGTAAATGTGGAATAGATTGTTAGTTAGGAAGCATCGAAGTAAGCTGGAGGTATCGGGCATTGGTGCTGTAGTTGAACGTCGAGCCTCCAAGTGTGTTTTTAATGTCCGACGTGCCGTCTGTTAGCTACCAGCTTTGCCGCCGTTCTTGCCGCAGTGCGCCCCGGACTTTTATGCGCCGGAGGGGTGGTTTCAGGGATGTTCTCAACAACTTCAACCGTTGAAGTTGTTGGTGTTAAGTTGTTAACCTATAATAATAATAAAAATAGACCCTTAGATAATCACATTTCTTTATTTTACTCGACGACGTTACAGTGGCTGTGCAAGCCGACTTGAAATGTTTGTTCTGAGACAGACTGGCCATCATGCGTTTCAACGGAGAGCATTTGCGACCCTTGATACCGTTAAAGAGGGCAAGCGCGTAGCTTCAACAGTACCTCCATGGTCAAGGCGGTTCGAAATTGAAGACAGGGATGTGGAAGATACTGTTGGCGGCCCCGCCCGGCGTACGGTTTGTATCCGCATGTCCAAGACGCTCGCAGGCGGGATGGTTGACGCGTTTGCTATTATTCGTGGGGTAGAGCGCAAATTTGGGCGCATTCGTGAATACCGGTTTATACGGGTATGTGCAATAGAGTGGTTTTCAGATTTCAGTCTGCTCAAGCACCATTAGGATGCAGAAGTGAACTCCGAGTACCAGATAATGTGCTGGGCTGCATTTCAATCCGAGGACTCGATGAACCTTATTCCAGAGCAGGGTATCACCATGAATATCCCGGCTGCAACGCAAGATCCTACTATACCCGAAGGAGGCCCGGGGCTTGAACAACTTCAAGGTTTATTTGACGTGAAGGAGACAGATTCTTCCAGTCCCTCAGCATACTCTGCTGAAGGCCCTTCAACACAGCCGAGATTGATTGAACTCAATGTTCGACGAGCTGGTGTGTACACCTACTCTTTCTCATCTTGCAACAACGCTGTGTGCTCACATCGTGGACAGCAAGCGACTTGCGTTTTAATGGAGATAGCAGGCCATTGAATCTCACGAAGATGAGCAGGCTTGCAATTGGAAACAACTTCTATCACTGGGGAGGTTTCTATCCTCTCAAGCCTCTTTATACATCATCCCCCTTCGCTTCTCCATCCGAAGAACTACCAACTACTCCAGACCACGAACAAATGCGCATTGCGCTGAACAAGTGGAGTCAAATACTTGGGCGACCCGACCCTTCATTTTCACAGATGGAGGCTGCAGCTACAGCAGAAGCACAAGTAGATACTCAAAAAGATATGGCAGCGGATTCAGAATCGCCTAGTGATCCATCGACACCAACGATGTTGTCTCAGAAAAGTCGAAGGAGGACTAGACGCCTGGAGGAATCCTGGATACCACTATCGACGCCAGAACCAACAGAACCGGCGCTGCCACCCCCCGACGCTATAACTCTCAAGAAGCACACAATTACCAAGACTTCACAGCCTTCGAAGCCTAAGATTTCGCGCAAAGAACGTCTGCTCGAGCAGGCTCGTAACCAAGCTCGCGAACAGGTCCTGCAGCAGGCTACACTGCGTGCCAGAGAAGCCGAATCTGCTGGCCTCGAAGATCCAAATTCAGAGACACTAAGGGAGAGTGTTGAGGCCCTTACGAAGGATTCTAAAGTCGATGCAGCTTCCCCGACCGATGTGGTGGATGAATCTGTGCCTGAAGTCAAGCCAAAGGCAGGAGACAAACCGTTGAGCGAGAGCCAGGTCTCGCCCGCGAAGGAAAAGTTGTGGGGTTTGGTTGGGAAGTGGTTCTGATCGATATTGCCAATATAGAGCTTTTCTGCACACACTGTCTTTGCCTATCAGGGGAGCAGGCCGTTGTGGCACGCGAGTGTCAAGGGTTAGCAGATGTTATATATTTGCTGTTTACCGGCACGCTTGTAGACCGTCACCAGGCTTCGTCTTGCCGGAGGTGTTCAGACGCGATTCGGCAAGTTGATGGTACGACATTACTAGTGATATACGTGCTTAGTACTACTCTCCTGGTGTTGGTTTTTATTTCACCCAAGTTAACCGAGTTCTGTGGAGTTTCCGCATTCGCGGATGGTTATTCTTGCTCCATAAAATTTCTGGGAGCGGCGAGACCTTGCATTATTTGCCACTGATATACAAGTTTGGCCAGATCTGAGCGCGATAAACGGTATGTGATCTACGTTGAATTATTTTGTGCAAAATCATTTGTAAATTTCGGACGACAGCGACCTAATAGCTAACCGGCAGCAGCCGGCACGTGTAGTTCCGACGTTCCGGTTTTGCACTTCCCCACATCCCACACTTTTTTTACATAAGAGCTTTCTGATCAAAGCTCTAAACTTTCGAGTTTAAAAGACCCGCATCTCTTCCGTTGTATCGAGAAGTGTAGACAGAAGATTAACAATGGCTACCTTGCTTTCTGCGCGTAGTTCCGTTTGGCGACTGGGATATCTTCATAGCACGGCGTTTACAAACAACGGGAGGCGCGCAGGTTAGTTCAAGACTTTGATCTGAACAATGGTTGGGAACTCATCGGTCCGGTAGCATCAGGATATGTGAAATATAATCATGAAGTAAGCTCAATTCGCAACCAGTGATAACCAGGTCAAGACTACGGTGACTGCTTGTTAGGATCCGTTGAATATGGAATCTCTACTAACGGAAGAGGAAATTGCCATACGGTACGTCTTGGCTGTTACATCTTCAGCGGACGTCAAGCTTATAGTGACACAGTGATACTGCTCGGGAGTATTGTCAGGCAAGTCCGCCTTGTCCACATTCAGAAAGCCGTGTGATGATCCGTCTAGTAGGAAAATCTCGCTCCCCGTGTGCTGGAAGGCTGGCGGACGGAAAGTAAGGCATACTTTTTGTCCTCTACTATTTGTCTCAAATATGGCTCGCAGAATTCAATCATGACATTCTCCCTGAAATGGGCAAATTAGGACTGCTTGGACCGACAATTCAAGGCTATGGCTGCGCTGGAGCAAGCAATGTAGCCTATGGCCTCATTGCTAGAGAAATCGAGCGGTTTGTACCGCGGCTTTGGTCTTCATCGTTAACTTACCCTTGCACATGCTAGCGTCGATTCCGGCTACCGATCAACGGCATCTGTTCAATCATCACTTGTTATGCACCCAATCAACGAGTTTGGTACTGAAGCACAAAAGGAGAGGTACATTCCTCGCTTAGGTAAGACTTCTAAGTATCGTGGAGAATTCGCGCTTATACTATATACAATACAGCCAAGGGAGAAATCGTCGGCTGTTTTGTATGAAATCACACCTGAGATTTTGAATTCTCAGTGACGATGTAAATAGGGACTGACTGAACCAAATCATGGTTCCGACCCAGCTGGCATGGAGACAACTGCTGAAGAAACTGATGGCGGCTTTGTCCTCAATGGAAGCAAGACTTGGATATCAAATGCACCTGTCGCGTAGGCTCCCTCGCCTCAAGTTCTAAGATTTTAACTGATCTGCTGGCAAAACAGTGACATTTTTGTTGTGTGGGCTCGTTGCAAATGGGATGGCAAGGTCCGGGGCTTCGTACTTGAGAAGGCAAGCTCTTTATCACTCGTTCTACTCGTGTATCTCACTCCCACATAACTGGCAGGGTCTGAAAGGTTTGGAAGCGCCAGCCATAAAGAACAAGATTGCACTTCGGGCGTCGTTAACCGGTTCGATCTTTATGGACTCTGTTAGAGTAGGCCATGATGCCTTGCTCCCGCACGGACAAGGCCTTAGTGCACCTTTCTCCTGTTTGAATAGTGCCCGGTATGGCATTTCATGGGGTGTGATGGGGGCTCTTGAGGATTGTATCCAAAAAACTCTCGCGTATGCACTTGAGCGCAAGCAGTTTAAGCGACCGCTGGCATCTTTCCAACTCGTCCAGAAGAAACTTGTAGATGCGCAAACTGAAGTAGCCCTTGGCTTGCAGGCCAGCCTTCAGGTTGGCAGACTGAAGGACGCAGGCAAGCTGGCCCCCGAAATGGTCAGTATGGTAAAGCGTAATAACTGTGGAAAGGCTCTTCAGCACTCCCGTGTTATTTTGGATATTCTCGGAGGAAATGCAGCATCGGATGAGTACGTCTATGGTTTTACGTGATCGTCATGCATGTGTTAAGCCGATGTTCAAAGGTACCATGTCGGTAGACATGTTGCAAATTTACAAGTTGTGAATACTTATGAAGGTACGTGCCTTGCTCGCCGCCATCGGGGCGATCGCTGACGTGTTCGCCTTCCAGGGACATATGTTAGTTCTTTCCTTTCACACCATATTTTCCACGATCTCTTGAGCTGACAACCCAATCCCTCTTTTCATCAGGATATCCACGGTCTCATCCTTGGAAAGGCAATCACTGGCATTCAGGCTTTTGCTAATTAGTTTCATCGATGTATTCCTTGTAACATGCGCACGTTCCTATTTTCTTATCTGTCGGAACAGCATCATTAAGTCTTTTTTTTTACAGAAATCTCGACGAAAGACTTTGCATCATACTGATTTAGATGCATTGTCAGGCGCGGGCCTAACATTAATAATTTACCAATCGTAAACTATATAGTATGCAAGACTGTAATGTGATGAATTCAACGCATCGCATTCGACCTTTCTATTTGTTTTGACATTTGCAGCTATCAGTGTACTTAATTTCACCTGTTGCCGCATCGGCGGGGTCAACAGGCGGGAAGTCATCTATCTCACGCTGCTTCGGTTCCGCTCATCCGCAGAGTTTAGGTCTCACACTCCGGCGAAAACGTGGTACGATGATCATACCGCACTCGGCCATGCCTTCCAAATAAACGATGACGGCCCCGACTTGGCGGGACAACAGTTGACGACAGACCAGTGATACGGTCATTGGCACCATAGTGGCACTACATTGGCCTCCATTGACCTCACCTGTTCTCAAACGGCTTGGGTTCTGGCGTAGCTACTCATGGTTGCATTCAAGTTTCTTTAGTTGGGAGCGCCAGGGTGCATTGTAATTTTTCTCTCGCAACCCACAGGAATTTATGTAATTGCACTTTAATTTTGTCATGGAGACGGAAGGCTGAAAAGGCAACTGCATTCCAAGCGGTGGGGAAGGATGATCTACATAGGCGACGATTGGAAATCAGATCAACCACATAAAATCTTTTGTAGCTCCACAACCACATCACATGTTCTTTCACAAATTGGCTCCATCATTGATTTGTATCTCCTTTACATGGATCTGATTTTTACTAATTTTTAGGATGATATCCGGTGTGGTGTTGGAACAAAACTCAGGGTCTTCCCGCAATTCGGTCTACTTCTACTAGCCTTCAAATTCAAACTTTGACTCAAGTGCGGAAAGGCTCGAGAACTGCGAATACTTTCATCTGATATTGACAGTAGTAATTACCGTGATTGTACTGGTGTTGCTAATAGAGATGCCCTTCACACATACCATGTCGCCAACTCGGACTTGGAAATCGGCATCACATGAGTTGACCTCTGCCGAGGAGATTGACTCGGAATTATTTCATGCTCCCGTGACTGCCCAGTGTCACGATGTTGTACTCGTTCTGCATTATGACATCCCTGTAAGGTGCTCATTATATTCAAGATTTTTTTTTGAACAGCTTTGAAAGATTTTTGGGGATCTGGGTGATTTGTCGGGAGCAAAAGTTGCAAATTACTACTATTTCATTTCTCGGAGCTGCAACTTGATCCAAGGATCAAATATACTGCTTGTACAAACCATCATTTCTGGGTATTCTGCTTATGCCCGAATTCTTTCAATGCCAATCGAGCACGCCGTTGAAGTGTTATGAATTTCTCGTATGTTAGCAAGGTATAAGTTAGTACAAAGAGTTTAAATCATATCAAGGGCCGTGAAGCTTGTGGGTCGAGTTCGAACTCCGGTGGATGACGTGCTATAGTAAACAATGTGTGCCTTCGGACTAATTTCACGTGCTTGAGTTTCTCCGCAGATTGCTGTACTACATAATACTACCGCGGTCATCTCCGAAACTACGGTCCGAACTGGAAGCGTCAGCGGGGATTTCTATGCACGTGTTTGCCACGTTCACGACACTATAGGCATCGAGCTTTGATAGAGTTCGTAACTGTGATTATGGGAAAAGGGACTATACCCGATGCTACTGGAGTTTTCCAAGAATGCTGGCACCCAACATAACTGAGAGGTTGTCTTTGTGTGCAAGGGTAGCTCGGATATACGAGTCTTTTGAGTGGCTGTACGAGCGCTCATGGGTAGCGCACGTGCTGGGCGGTGTTTATAGGGATACGAGGAAAAGCCCACTTTTTTCTTCATTCTGGACCAGGACCGTCATCAGGTTTACGCGCTGTGGGCAGCGGCCTCCCAAAGCTGTGACGGACTTGTGTTTAGAGAGGCTCGAGTGCTTTCAAGTTCGCGTCAGATTCCTCCGGACATATTATATGTCGATTGCAGAACGTGTCCCTTCGGTCGAAAAGTTAGCTAGTCGTAAATCAAGACTGATTATCTTGACGCGGTGTTCGCTGGCCCGGCTCGCGTTCGAATCACGAGGCTTGAGAGCACCACATACGCCGATAAAAAACCTATTCCCTCCGTAATGTAAATGTGTGTTGCTGGGGCACCGTATTTAATCCGAAACAAAGAATTAAAGGTCAACGGTTGCAACCCTGAACTTCGTGCGAGTGAAATGATATTCACACTGTTGACTCACAGGCTCCCCCACTGTTAAACAGATCACGGTGCTTTGAGCAAGCAGTAACTTGACTCGTACAGATTTCCGATCAACTAATCCGCTTGAACATGTCTGGTATATTGGCACCCGGATCCGCATGTGGCCATTGCAACCGTATCGCATTGAGGAGTACTTGTATTCTGTAATTGTTGGGAGTGAGCGGGATCTGTCAAGGTTTCTAAGGCTCACGGATCTTGGGCTCAGTGAACAACCAAACTTCGATATCTAAGATCTGGAAGAACATCAGAAAGTCGCAGGCTGAAATGCTCGAGTGTTGACCTAAATGGATGATTTCCTTTTTTGACAGTTCCGCTTGAAAACTCAAATCTATGATTAGAGATCACAAGCCGGCAGGGCGCAGGAAAACTCCTTTGCAATTGTCATTTTCGCATTCGCACAGATTTGCGCGAAGTGTAACATTAATTATGTCCGTTGAATACAGCTGATTGTAACAATATTTGCAGATGCCTTTCAAGCGACCACCGTCAAGTTTGCATACCTCTGGATCCGACTCGGATTCTCACGGCGGTCCTTCCAAACGACTCCGAGTCAGTTCCCCACGGAATGACAATGTCGTTCTGGTGTACATCTTGCAGGCCAAAATTCATCCAGAAAAGATGTCTGAGCTTGCCATGCTAGTCGAGAACTATAAAGTCCAGCGTAGTCTTGAAGAGCCGAGCGTCGTCGGCGAACTCAACCTTGAACTCACTGACGATGTTGAAAAGGCAGATGTCATTGTCACCGCAACTAACATGAGGCAACGCCTGGAAAGGCACGTTGAGTGGAGAATTGCGGTATGAGCCTACACTTCATCAATTGCGCAGAGCACTTGTTCCAATACTATTTACAGAAAACGAAGGCCATCGTAACACCACTATGGCTTCAAGATTCTGTCAAGTCCGGTTGGCCCCTTCCATGCAGCAATTATATTGCAATTCACGACTTGGAAGATGAAACTTTGCGAAATCATGACACTGTTCAAAACACATCACCCGGAAGTTCATCCCGCTTTCCCTCTGGGGAAGAGACAGAGAGTTCTTGGCAAACAGAACTAGATGAACCCATGGATGCTACCGAAGTTGAGTTATTGTCGTACAATGCGAAATATAGCTGCCTACGACCGTCGCCGCTTGTCTGCCCTAATCAAAGTCTGGTAGAAGAAATTGATGTCATTCGACAAAGCAGGAACGTTGAAGGAGAGGAAAGAAGTATCCTCAGCTACTCGAGGGCTATTTCTGTCAGTCCAATTTATTTCCACTGTGTTGTATTGTAATCTTAACCATCATGCCCAGGTCATCAAGGGTCCGTAACTGCATCCCCGTTCAATGTATAACGAGCTAGATCCAATACGCAGCTTACCCGTATGTCATAACGGAACACAATTTCAAAGATCTCCACGAGCTACCCTTCTTGGGAGTGAAGATTCTCTCAATGGTGCTGTCGGCATCCTCCTCACCGTTCACTTCTTGTTGTTCACATACATATTAGATTGAGGAGTTTCTGAAGACAGGCCGAATAACAGAAGCACGTCCGTGTTTTCCCCTCGCTGTATGACTTGGCGCTGATGCAGATGCAGAAAGAATATTGGGAGATACGCGGTTTCAGTCACTCTCTACTTTCATCACAATATACGGCATCGGACCCCAGACCGCTCGCCGTATTTATGACCTTGGTCTCCGCACGCTCGAGGAACTTGAACGATATTATGAAGTTCAACCAGGCGTGTCTAACGAAGAGACAATGTCACTACTTGATGCTGAAGCAAGCACAACAACAAAGGCTGAGGTGGAACAGCCGATTAGGATTGGGTTGGCTCTGCGACACGACTTGAGTCAGACGTGAGCATTCATCCCTTTGGACGAATGTATCGTGCTGTTTTTATTGACATATGCGCCTTTATAGCATTCCACGCGATGAAGTAGAAGAAATTAATAAAACTATCATGCGAGAACTCAGCCACGTCCAGAAAGGATGCAAAAGTGTGATCGCTGGAGGGTGCGTTTACTTTCTTTTCTCAAGTCAGTAACTGCTGTTAATTGTGTTACCCTTCCGTGGATGTGTGATTTTAGTTACCGTCGAGGAAAGCCACAAAGTAACGATGTTGACATAATCATCACCCATACAGACTGGAACTTAGGATCTCAGAAAGTGAAGGGTCTGTGCAAAAAGCTTGTGCAACGACTGCACGAACAAGGTCAGAAATCTGCAATATAAATACTAGGTCGTCATACCGATCAATCACAGACCTCGTCACGCATGTCATGCGTATGTCTCCAGCATGACCACCACGGGTTGTTTGATTTGACTATTGTATAGACCTTTCGGGATTCCACCGACACAACGTCTTGCGCACTCATCACTGGGACTCTTTAGAGAAGGCCCTGACTGTCTTTGTATCGCATAATAATTTATTGCGGCGGAAAGTTCACCGACGTGTCGATCTGATTTTTGCTCCACCGGAAGTATTCTGGACTGCAGTAGTTGGATGGTAAGCACTAGACCCGGCTGCTTTGGCAAGTGATACGACCGCCAATCTAGGACTGGGTCGACGATGTTTGAAAGGGATTTACGGTTATGGGCGAAGCAGCGAAAGCAAGTATTCGCGCTTCTCCGTGTGGGTCCTGGTTAACATGTCTTATCAGGGGGATGAAATTCGACAGCTCTGGAATGTGAGTCTAGTCAACCAAAACGCTGGACTCGGTGTTTCGACCTATCTCACTGCTTTACAGATCACGACGTCATGATTCCAAATTGTACTATCCCAGAACGGAGCGTGATGTATTCAAAGTACTTGGACTTGTCTATGTTCACCCAACACTGAGGAACGCGGATACATGATCCGGGTGGCTGTCTTCAACTTTCCCACTTGCATGATCTACAAATCTTTGTATTTCGACTCCGTTTTCCAGGATTCCCCGCATATTTTGTGGTTTCTTCCGCAGTTATGCGATGTATGCAATTTCGCTTCAATAATATTCCTAATGACAATCTCCAATTCTGAGCTTGGCAAGATCAACTGCGCTAAATTCGAGTACCAACATCATCTCATATGCGGTCCTGCAATTGTAACACTGATCACTATTCTCCAGGCCCGTACGCATTCAAGTCGTTACCCTAGAATAGCTGCACAGAGATCGGGGAGGCCCGTAGGTTCTGCCGGTTCTCCCATACTTTCAATTTAATCAACTCTTCGATTCGGTGAGTGTCTTCCTGTGTCTTCGCTTCTATGGCTCTGCCTCACGACCGGCTTAATTCGCTTAGCGCTTCTAATAACCATCCGCGCAGTTACGCAGAGCTCCGCTTCACACCACAGGTTCGTAGATTCGATATTTTAGCAACAAGTAGGAGAGCTCAAATTTCTTGCAGGATCAGATCTCCATCACGATGCTGTGGGTGTGGGCACGCCTGGGTCCGTCACAGTTTCCTGGCTACTCCGGATTCTTCTTGAACTCGGCAAGATATCAAGCCAAGCGATGTCCATTGCTCAAGCACTTATCAACTCGATCTGCGAGTCTTGTAAGCGAGCACGTTTATTGGTCTGGTGATTATCTCAAATGAATGGGTGCGAGAGCTCAAACTGCGCTACCAAAAGAAAGGTTACCAGAGGTTACCAGCCTCTAGTACTGTGGGTAATGCATTAATTATCGAAATTCCTGTTTGATGGGATTCAGATAGAGGTTTTCACCTGTTATCATGTCTGTTTTCATTTTTTTTTTGTGTCAAGTTTCTGTCATCAGAGTTTGGAACACCCGAGTCTCAAAGTCGCGTGATGTCTATTTTTGCTGGGTCCAGGGTCAGTTTTCCCTCTCACTTTCCAGCAAGCGTGAAGGACCGATTTCGCTGACCGCTTCAAAGCCCGACGCGTCAAATGCCGAAAAGCCTTACCCATGACAAAACTGAAAACAACTATGAGTTTACGAATTTGAAGTGAATTTGATTATATCCCTCGCAACCGATCGCTACCTGTAACCCTGGACTCGTAAAGTTGTTCTAATATTATTGTTCCATTCGACGTCGATATCGGCGGTCACAGCCATACATAGTATAGGCATATAAAATGCAGTAACTCAAGGAATGACTTACGTCAAGAGGGTTGGACGGGCTCTCACCCATCGCACTGGTCCGGAAGTCGCAAAGCTTGCAGACGAATTCGCCAAAAAGTTTTTGCAAAAGTTTCTGGCCTGCCAGTTGAGGGGCTGTACGCTTGTCGGTGGTCTCAGACCAAGTTTTTTTGGTATCCATCACCATTAGAGAGATATGTACTAGGAGTTGTTATTAATATGCCCCGGTGTGAAGAAACACCCACTGATTGATACGAGCGGGCGCTACTGATGCATATCCAGACTAGCTTACTGTGACTCCTTTGCGGCAAAAAAAAAGATCGACATGACTGTGACCAAATCTGGAGTCGTAACGGTCTGCCTGACTGGAACTCTAGTGTCTTGATTTGTTATTGAAGAGCAATCTCTCCGCATCCACAGCACCCTTTCAGAACACGAGGTTCCGGTTTTTATGCTCACACATACAATTATAGAAAATTGTGGGGGATCGGTCACGACAGCATTGAGGAGGGGGGGAAGAATGAAGACATGCGGTGTTGTCAAAACAAATGATGAGATGAATGAATGACATACTGTAGCTTAACCTTATTTTTTCGAGCAGGCGCATCGATAAGGCGACGAGGCGGGTTTGACTTCCAAAACCAGCCATCGAGGCGCATCGATAAGAGTTCTACCAGTACTTCCTGTGTAACAGCGGCTGGGATATCAAATAGTAAGGTACGCGCTTCCATGGAAGACGCGGGTGCGATATGATTTACCACTTACCTGTACAAACTGTAACAGCCTGTAACTTGTTTGAAAATGGAGGAGTTCCGAGGGGGTTAGGGAAGTTCCCATCCTTTTGGGATGTAAACACCTGATGGCGAATGCCTCCAACTAGCCCCGAAACAACTGAACACTAGGCGCCGTCCCCTCACAAGTGTTGAGCGCTAGGTGTTAAGTGTTTGACCCTCGGAGTCGCCCTGATCTCGGTTACTATCATAATCCCTGTTTGTCTCTGTGTAATACTACAAAATTTCTTTTTTGACACTCAGATCGACTCGCCTGCTCACCGTGCATATCTTCCACAGGGACAGCAGATCTTTTGCTCATGCTTATACTCACGTGAGATCCCCATCGTAATTTAATAAAAAGGACAGTTCCCAAGCCTTTGATCGGGAGCGTCGTGGAGGAAACGAGTCTTCTGTCAACTTTCGTTTCTCTCGAAACCTTTTTAGACCCGACGGTCGGACGGAGGCAATGTGAGTGTGGTCCCTAGTAATGCATGATCATGACCCCCCCGTCTTCATCCGCGAACCGAGACTTGCCGACTTTCAGGATTGTCCTGTCCCGTATTCAAGGGTCAAAGAACGGCGGCGATAATCGCGTGTACGGAAACGGACTTAGCTACTAGATCTATGTCCTGAATTGAACATCAACGCAAGTACATGTGAGAGCCGACATTTGCAAATCAAGATGAGTACTTGATTGTAGTTGATTGGTCGGGTAATTGAAAGGTCCTGACGGTCGTACTTGCTTATGAGCGGGATATAAATCCGGGTGATACAAAAAGTTGGCCCAGTTTCCGTTGCATTGTCGCCTACATAACACCACAATATTTACTTTACCAGCCCCCATCTTATGCCCCGCCACTCAATTTCAACCCATATGTCTCAGATAACTGATGGCGACATGGCTTTGATCACTCCAATCTCCCCCTCAAATGCACCTTGGGACCAGTGCCCCCCATCATACCCTGGAAATTCAATGAACACTATCGGCTGGAGTTATTACCCTTTGCCACCCTCCCCACCTATATCTGTCGGTTCAAATATCACAGACTCTCCTGGACCCATATCTAATATATCTCCTGACTCTGCCCGAGAGAAGGAGCAACAACTGTGCTTGCCGACACACCAGGTTTTTGACTTCCCAGAGGTGCCGAACGTATCGTCACCTTCACCATCCGTCTCCCCACCGCTCTCAAAGTCCTCTCAACCACCCATTTCAATCGACACTCACATGCACGCAGAAGGGCTATCTCCCCTCCCTGTTGCAGGCCCTTCGAAGAGACCACGAAGTGGCGGAGAGCGCATCACCACGAAAGACTTTGTGCCACCCGATGTATCGGGGCTGAGCAAACGGGAGGCACGTCTGGTTAAGAACCGTGCCGCTGCTTTCCTTAGTCGGCAACGGAAGCGGGAAGAATTCGAGGCTATGGAGATGTGAGTTTCTTGAATTCTTCTTGTATACATGACAGAACACTAAACGATGCTCATTCCATCGACTCTATAGTCGCGTCAAGGAGCTAGAGGAAGATAATGCGCGCCTTCAAACGACTGCCAAAAGGGGACACGCCTACGATGAGTTACTCTTGGAAGTCGAACAATTACGCGCTCGCCTTTCTGCATCCGAAAAAAGGGGCCGCGAGCTGAAGGCTGAGCTTTCACGAAGGTCAATCAGTGATGTCCACGTGAAGACGGAAAATTACGAACATTCCTTGACTCCAGTATCACCGTCCGCCTCGCTGCCGATACACTCCCATCAGAGATCGGGAGCAACACTTGGCCTGATGGTAAGCAATCTATTCTTCGTAAATATGAATTACGAGACCGATGACCCAACAGCAGGTTCTCCTATGCACGCTACCGTCCCTTCTTTCCATGTCTCCCAGATCGCTCCCCACCACTTATTATATTCCTTTGACGGATCCCTCGGTCCTACACCCCTCATGCAACTTCGACTACAGCTCCATCATCCCAAGTAATTTCGAATGGTCGCCGCATCCTGACGGGGGAGCAGTGATGAGCCTTGGTTTTGGTGATCTCGGAAAGCTTTCTTCGAGCGCCGGTTCCTCATCCCCTCGCAAAGTCGAAATCCATTCCGAAGCCATCAGAGCTCTTGGGGGATTTGAACTTTCCTTCGACGCCAGTCCAGTCAATGACGGAAAAATTCAAGTTCGAATTCACCCTTCCCAATCACACCATGTCAACCGGGATGCCCAATGTGCGCCCCCATCCTCGATGCCTATGTGGTTCGAGTCAGCACCAAATAACTACGGCTCCGCCTTTTCGGCCGCATTGACATATACTGCATCGTCGACACCAGGATCTTCGTTCGTGCCGTTAACTGGCGATTTTGACTTAGATCCTTTTCTTGGTGGACTTCACGACTCAGGAATGCCGTATGGTAGTGGTGGACCGGTGTTCGGCCATCATCCGTCCGATGCCTCATTTGAACATATACCAGGGTTTATGAATGGCGCTCGCAGCGACTTCTCTAAACACCGTCCGCGAGTTTCCATGAGAAACCTGCCAGCTGTCGGGATGGAGGGAGAGTGGGAGGTTCAAGCTTGTTAATTTCGACCGCGATTGGTCAACCGTGTTACTCGACAACCGTTACTTACATTCAGCTGCTTTGATTGAGGCTAACCCACATTGGAATTTATATCATTAGTATCTACTTTACTGGCTTGAGCTGGCCTTGAAGCAATTGCTCGCATTATTCTTTCACAAACATACTGGATATATAGTTTTTACTTAGCTTCGCAGATATAGAGAAATGTGCTTTCGGCGCGTGAATCTCAAGGTGGCAGAGCCCTGCCTCAGTTTCCTTCCTTTTGCAGACATTGCGCAGATCATCATCCCCACCACCGAAATAAACGCATCCGCGTCAGGAAATGGTCTAGACCCTGGTGCCACCACGTTACAGCAAGGAAGCTATATTTGTGGGGAATCTATCGTCCACTGGCAAGGAACGGGAACGATAGCAGCATTTTGCTCCTCTTGTCCACGACCCCTTCTCGGTAACCGCACCGGTTCCGACGCTCACCATCCAACTCAGTACATGTCTGACACAGCAGTTCGGCGTATTACTCTTCGCTCAAGAGTCTTTTTCATTACCGATAAGAGCGCAAGGGACATGGACTAACATAGATTTGGCTTCAAGCAGAGTGTCGACTAGCGTAGCCTAGTATCGACTCATAGCAACAGCGGATTTCATTTGGCTAGTAACTTTACTCACGGTTTCTTTACGCAAGTCCAATTTGATAACTTTGTGTTCTCCGTTCCCAATGTTGACCGTGTAGCGCGTACATTGTTGCCTTCTGAATTAGAACCAGCTTCTCCAGTCTCCCAGCCCTTACTTTTATCTTTCTCCGCGTACGGTCCATCGTCTAGATACAGATTGTTCTGCTCTATGTAATCGATGACAGCCGCTGGGAGGAGATACTGTACCGAAAGGCCCCTGCGAAAGAACAGCCGTGCTTTCGTCGAGGAAACATCGTTCTGGACCAGCTGAGCAATAGGGTAGATGTTATTCCGCCAACGCACCAGGCTGCCAACCGCTTGATGCAGATCGGCTCCGGTGCGCTCGATGACAAATGTTCCATGGCGGCCAAGTATATGATCGAGCTAAGAAATCACTACGTCAGCCCATAGCCTATGTGATTTTTGAAGACCAAAGTAGATAGATACCTACATCATCATGAGACCAAACGCCCGGCTCAGACATGGTCCTAATCAAGTCTGAACCAGCAAGAAACATGATCTTAACATCACGGTGATCACCGTTTCGAGTGGACACGCCACCAAGAACCGTGTTAATTTCGTAATCGAAGTGGTCGAGCACAACAGCTGTACGTTGATAATTCTGCAACGCCTCCCAGGAATCGACCATTAGCCACGACGACTCCTGCTCTGCGGCAAGCGTGCACATGTTAACCCTGTTTCATGCAGAATGCGATTAGTATTGAGATGTGGTAAATAGTTGCATGATCCAAGACTTCGAAAGTTTCAAGTTTGGGATAAAAATTTAGCCTTTCCGAAAGCTCGGACTGACACAGACATATTTGTGTCAGGGTGTCTTTGTAGAAATGTACATATGCCTCCTTGGGTGTCAGGTCCGCGGTGTGAGACCTCATGATATCTCGTGAGACTCAGTTATGGTCCACAAAAACGAACGCGATAATCTGGCCCGGCCCGACTACTTGAACTGGAGCAGCCCTCTAGGAAAAAAATACAGTTTTTCTAAGGAAGATAGACCACAACTGTGGTACGCATATTATGGGAAGATACAACAGCACTGCCGCACTTACCGATGATGTGCACTGACTAGACCCGCTTTCTTGTACTCGTCACTGACTGGGCTGAGATATCCACCGACGATCTCAAAATCGGTATTCTTCTGAATGAAATCTTCTGTAATCTCGAACATCCGAAGGTGGTGGTATGTGACAGGATTAAAGGAGCCACATGCTACCAAGACGATAGGTTGCTTGGTGGAGGTATGCAGAGTGCGACGGAGCCGATGAGAGGTTAAAGCATAACCTGGAGGATTCGTCAAGGCGATCGTCTTGTGCGGAGGTGTTTCAGCGGCCATAGCTGTGCTAGAAGGAGAGTGATATCATCTTTAGTGCAAGCTGGCTAGTGACGGGAAGCAAATATTGAACGTTCCCCTTTTTTGCCCCTCTCCGCCTCAATGATGATCACTGGCAACTTGGCGACATACATGACATAAATCATAGAAGATGAGACGCTTCCGACTCGGAATCGGCGACCGAGAATGAGTCAACACCCTGACCACCCCGGACGTCGGCCATTCCACCTTCGACCACTGTGACATTGTCAGGGCCACAAATCGCGACCCTTGACTCGTTGGACCGTAGCTTCCGAGCTTTTTCTATATCTTACATCACTTAAGGTTACGGTGCCGCAGGATCAGCCGGCGAAAGGCGACTAGCGCCGAACAATAATAATTATAAGTCTATTTGTCCTTGACATAGTCGGTCAATTCTTGCTACCGACGCGATTTCCGTGGGGAGTCATGATGGCTTTTACATATTGAACTGGCAATCGTAACTTACAAGATCTCAACTTTTCGAGTTTATCACCGTTTCTCATCATCCGAGTCGTAGTTTCAGTCCCCAAGGCATCTGGCTAAAGTTACAGCATAATGATGAGGCTCAATAATATTGGCACAAAAGCTTGGTCTAGAGTAATTAGCTCCTCAAGCCCCGGTCTGTGAAATGTTAACGAGAACCATGGAAGGATCTTAGACTGACATCGGAAACATGCTGAGTCTACTTCCTCACCCACACCATCTTGCCCTTCACCCAGGTGCTTAGTACGTTACCTTGGTGGTCAAGTACCGCCAAGTCCGCGTCTGCACCCGCGCGCAGCGTACCCTTCTTGTTCTCAATGTTAAGGCACCTAGGAGACTGCTAAAGGTAAGGCCTACAAGATCGATGTTCTGCTTACCTTGCAGGATTGTAAGTTGCACATCTGATAGCTTGACCGATGGAGCAGCCCGTATAGCATACGAAATTCCGTACGCATTTGTCGAGAGTGACCACGCTAACGTCCAACCATTAATGTGCAAAACAGGTATTTAGTTCAAACAAACCTTCCGGCAAGGGTGGTGGTGCCCTCCACGTACAGCGCATCGCCTTCCTTGTAGAATCGACGGCCATCGCGCCAGTCATGAACACCATCCTTGAGATGCGGGTCAAGGATCTTCATGGCTGTGAGATCGTGTCAGTAAAGCAACTCCGCGACACAATAGCGCATACCATCGGTAATCAAGATGCACCCGTCTGGATGAGCACTGTACGCCAGCTGCCGAAGATATCAAGTACAGTCTACATGCACATCAACGATAAGAACATACTCTCACGGAGTTAGGATGAGAATGAATCCCATCCACGATGATTTCATAGAATGGTCGATCGAATGGTATAGTCGTCGGATATTTCTTAAGCTCAATTTCGCCCGATTGCCTGCTCCCCAGGGGAGTGGCGCTGATAACGGCAGAGCCCGGGCTCGCCGTCGACTTGCCTGTGGGAAGGAGAGATTTCTTGTGGGCTTGTTCCGCAAGGAGCATAGGTGTCTGAGGCGGCGTCTTAATCTCATCGAATGCTTCCGATATGTGATCAATCGAAGGCTCCTTGGCAATTGGAAGCGAAGGCATCGAGGCATTGAGGGCATTAATGATAGCGGAAGGAAATGGCAAAAAGGTCGAAGAAGACGAAGGAGATAGATAAGGAGAAGCTCCAAGTAAACCAATGATAGACGGGTCGCGATGGTGAAGCTGTGGCATTGCATTGAAGAGGTGTGTGATGCATCTCGCACCATTCCGTAGTGCTGCAGTTGCAATATCCGTTGTAGCCATGCTATCTTCGTTAGGAGTAACTCAACATCGTCATTTTCAACGGGAACATACCTGTGACCAATACTGAAACAGATTCCACGCTTGCTGGCTTCGTTAATAGCCTCCATAACGCCCTCGACTTCAGGTGCAGCTGTTATCATGCGCACTCCCACAGTATTATCGACGGTGTCGCCTGACATGAGCCAATCTTCTGCATCCGCAAGGTTCTCTGGACTGTAAGTAGACTCAAAAGTCTTAAAACCCTCTGGGGCAGGTATGATTAATGCGGGCGAATGAGCGCCTCGTTTGGACATCTGTAGGAACGGCCCCTCAACATGCCACCCGAGGAGGTGTGCTGCGTGTGGAGGCGACCATGGACGAAGCAAGTTAAGAAGCTTGGGGTACAATGTCTTTTCCTGAGTCTGTTATATCACGCATATGTTATGCGAACGAAACACCCCAAGGACCGGAAGCTTACAATAATCGTGGGGACCAAGCTGAGAGTTGACAAAGAAATAAGGTGCTATGAAGCAGTGGATAGTAGATGCATTGACAACGCACGCAGTCACACCCGTCTCAACAATTTTCTCTGCGACCAACTTCATCCCGTCTCGATAAATTTGGTCGTCGCCTTCGTATACAGAGAAGTCGAAACCAAAGCCTCCATTGATCTGAACGTCAATAAAGCCTGGACTGTTCAAGATAATTTAGTTGTTAGAAATCAACAATACGTAACCAGGGACGTCGGTTAAAGACTCGTTGCAGGGCTTGGCACTCACCTCAAGATGTTTCCCCCAAGATCGATGATTGTATTCGGACGCTCCTTGCGCAGGAAAAAGGTTCGCTGGACACGATTAATAGTTGAATCCGACACAGACACACGTCTATAGCCTGGGCAAGGCGACCCACCTGCGCGTCTAGTATGACACCACGCCGCTCATCAATCCACAAATCCTTTTCAACCAAACTACCGTCTTCTTGCGGAAGGAAGCAATTTGTGAAGCAGATAAGGTTATTCGATGTTGTCGCTACCATAGCAGATGACTGTAATTGTGTAAGAGGCTGGATTGGCACTGGTGTACTGATAGTTGCCTGGCAGTGGTGCTCGCTAGAAGTACCCAGATGATACCGACAGCTACATTACTGGCGGACCAGACCGCCGATGGTTCATACCATATCATGCGGGCGATAGTAGCACGCAGGTCACAAGGACACGTTCGAACTCGTGAGTTACATTTAGTTTCTAAACCGCGTGGTAACTTCAGCGAGAGATTATTCTGATAGGTCACAGCTATCTTTACAACTAAGGGCAACGCCAAGGACATTCGACGACATGTTGTGCAGCCACCTCGAGACTGTTGTTGAATCTACCATAACCAATGACCCACAGACATACTGGCGCACCAACGAACATGTTCGAATCCTCTACATAACGTTTGTCTGCGACTTGACACTTCGCCCAGGACTCACAATTTCGTTGTAGTCCGAGCTCCTCGGAAATCACTCGCGTGGGACATCGAGATACGACGGCCCGGTAGGGTGTCAGGCCTGGGTAGAGAATGTACGTGATACCAGCGTGTAAATTTGGATGCTGCTTATGATTCTGCATACTCCTGAAATTCGGAAGGTGGCGACCTGCGCCACACAAGAATGGAGAGCACTGGAAGATGTCAAAGCCCTTGGTCCGCTACTGAAGCTCGCCATATTTGTCTTGAAGCTGTGCATTGCAATGAAGACCACTGACGAGATAGTTAGGACATGACTTTCGACGCCACTCTCGTACGTGCTTTCACTCGCCTTGTACACGTTTACCTCGGATCAATTCACCATCTCAATTGACGTATCAATTCCCAATTCCTCTCCCCATTGAATAGCCTATCAAAGTCTTTTGAGCCAAGACTCAGGGGTGAGCTCTTTTATTTACGATTCTATGTACACTTTCCTGATCATTACCCTGATTAGTCTCTTTCTGGTTCCTAGGTATGATCCAACCCATCTTCGCTCGCACGTTTTGATGTGGCCTTTGTCGTCCAAGACCGCCGATTATGGAAGCTGAAGCGCTGAATATTGTAATTCTACTATGTCTGTCACCCTTCCCAGCAGCACAGGATTGCGGCTTGCATAAATGCGTGCAATATATAAATTACCCACTACGGCAAATTTCCTCATCCGCTGGTGTACGTCGAATATGTGGTTTCGACCTCTACGAGATCCGAAACCCGCAACCAACCTTTTATTGTTTCGTAGCCGTCAGCACTCAACACCTTCAACAAACAGGGCCATTTGATGCCTTGATTTAGTTCAAGTCAGGTAAATATGTCATGGTATGAGCTCGCCGACGATTTCCATGTTGATCCTTGAATCAATTCCTTGTTTGGTACTGAAGAGCGCTTGTAGCACGATGTACTCATTGTCCATCAATGCGACTGCTGCATCACGAGGATTACCATTGTTCTCATAACGCTTCGCATGACCGAACTAGCCTGCATACAGTTCTGTGACACGAGCATGCGTCGACCGTTGCTCAGGTGCTGCATGTTTGTCTACCACAAGCTTCTGAACCTCCTAGGGTCGATATAGCGTTGGCGTGGGATTACAAGTCAAGGTGCTTTTCTTGATATACCCTATCGCGAAATGGACTGTGATGATTGTTAGCATGAGATGAGGAGTCGATGGAATAATACACAGAAGCTCAACCCTGTTTTATTTCTTTGCTCTGGACTCTCTTCAAGGCATAGATGTGAGAATTTATAGCGAAAGAGAGAGCACTACATCAATGATCGTAGTACGCGCCATTGAGAGACTTCGAGGTAGATTGAGACAGCACGTGACAACAACTTTTGAATCAAACGAACATTCATTGGGAGATTCAGGTGAGAGGTGTTAGTGACTGCTCGCACCTGCTGCGCTATGAATCCCCATATCGGCCGCGGCATCTGAACAAAGCTTTCCAACTCCAAGACTTCGGAAGAGCTTCGTCACTCCAGATACTGCAGCCAGGGATTTATCTCTTCTTGAAGTTGTCACTTTTGTCTTGTTCTGCCTCGAGGGCGACCTCCGATTCAAAAGTGTACTACGTAGTAAGTGGCAGTGCCAAATTATACCAGGTGCAAGGCCTAGTCATACGTGAGGATCTGAACCAGCTTCTATAGACTTCCGCCCATGGGTCATGGGTTACCGTTTGGTGAGCAGTAAGCGCTATAATAGCACTGGTAGCTGCGGTCAGTGGTCACTTATGTACTAGTTGCAGCTTGATCTCCAAAAAACCGATGGCATCGCAGCATTCGGGATCATTTTTAGAGCCCATCTCCAAGAAGCACTGCTTGTACAATCTTTACACGCCGCTGATGGGCCCACATTACGTTGACATTGTCTTGCTTGCCAAGAGCAAAACGTTTTGATCAATTAGCGTGTTGGCCACAAATGGCAGTCTCAGACTTTCAGACTACATATTGACTTGTGCAAGATGACCAACAACCAGTGATACTGAACGCAGCCGGTAAATAACAAAACACCTAATATCTTCTCGATTACATCACTGGCACCCTTGTTTCAAGAACGCGGAGCCGTTTTCCATATTTACATAAACGAATACAGCTGGCAATTGCTGTGCCTCTCGGAATCGGATCAAATGTGACCTACATACAAAGGGTCACTGACGTTTTTAATAGCATGGCTCAGGTTAAATCTCATTCTAACCCAACATAATTTGTGTCTGCGCTGAGGACTATAATGACTTCACGACGAACCCATACTGCAGGTGAGTTTTTTTCGTTAGTTTCACACAAATTGAGGTACTCAATGTCTCCGAGTCCATGAACAAGCAGAATCAGTTCGAGCAAGCAGCATTCAAGTGCCATCTCGTTCCCGCACAGAAACGTCCGATGTGCTCCGGCAAATGGGGTTTCGCGGACGCATAGAGGAAGACGAACACGAGTTTGATGTCGTTTTTCCTCCTAGGAAACGTATGTCGCAATGCTTCGAATGCAAGAGTTTTGCTAACTTTCCGTGCAGGCACGCAGAAGGAGCAAGATAAACAAGACGAAGAGGCTCGTAAGCGGGCAATGAGAAACCTTGTGAACTCGTGGCAGGAGCGACTGCAGCTCATCAGTGTCATTGTGAGTGAGGTCATGACTTACCTGGTGAATAACATTCATCTGATGAACGAATTCCCTTGGCATTACACAGACGACATTCTTCGCATCCATAGAAGCAGGAATGTTAGTACCAGTGAATACTGATCCAAATGCAGCCGACGCATTGCCAGGTCTCCTCAAAACTGCGAATGCAGGATTTTTGGGTGCATTGATCATGCACGTTTACGCAGGTGAGTTGGATGGTTATTAGCGCCAGTGCACAGCTAATGACTTACTCGTGCGCAACACGTTAATCGCGCAGCCGTCCTATCATTCCTTGCAGCCTTTCTTTTGATTCGGTATAAACTGAAAGAAGCCTCAAACGAAGAGTTATTCGCAGAAGGCAGAGCCAAGGGATTTCAAATTACAGCATCTCCAGTGACTGGTGCATTCCAGGTCCAAGACATCGAGAGAGATGCCCAAAACAATGACAATGACGTCGATAAATTCGACCCAGAGAACCCGCAGAAAGGCACATCAGAGAACAACATGGACACTAAATATGCTCCAGCGCTGTCGCGGATGGGATCAACACCTGCAGAGCCCCCTATATTTGCCAGGGAGCCACATCTGGAGCAAGTTGGCTTTTGGAGTCCTACGATTTCATCGCACCTGCTGAGCCGCGTGCATACCCTGTGCATTCTCTTCGCCGCGATTGGCTTTATACTTGCAATCATGGGTATCCTGACTTACGCGTGGGCGCTGCAATCAAAGGAGGTCAGCATTTTTGTGTCTGTGTGCTTCGGAGCTGCTCTCCTTGCGATGGGGGTGCTTTTTTTGCCTGATCCCTAGGAGTCGAGGCTCATCGCTATTCGTTTCATTTCTTGAACTTTGCTTCCCTCAAACTTATATCTCTATATTTGTGATATCCACCATCCTCGTAGTCTTTTTGCACACATGGATTCTATGATACTTCAAATACCACTCCAATAAATTGCGCGATACAACATTGAGTACGATATACACAACAATGAAGTGCAAGGCACAACATATCAAAGTGTACAAACCGGGGATTAATATGACGATGAGGGGCAAATGGGCTATTAGGGTCGCAGGTACGTACCATGCGAGGATTATATCGGATGGTTGGGGCACTACAATGACAGGTGGCACAACGATATGACGAAGAACACTTGGAAAATGGAAGTAAATCAGCGGTAGTGATGGATGGGTCTGACCAGGTCCTCTCGACAAGCAGAACCGTGGACCGAACCATCAGTTCGGCCCTGAATCAAGAAAAGACGACAACGTTAATTGAGGCACCGAAGAGCTAGATGCAGGTGACCTTCAAGTTAAGAACATAGTAGACGGAGGCAGACTCAATAACTTGAAGTCTTGAACGGCCCAGTCATGGCCTTTGAAAGTGAACCGAGTGATTCGGTTTGTGATGAATGTCACTGTGTGGAGAGAGGCAGAAACGGAGAAGGTGGGCAGTCCTTTCAAAAGGTGATAAAAATGCTGCGCTACTTGTTAGAAAGTGAAAGAAGGCAATCTATCGCGGTGTAGACAACGGTAGGCAAAGCTCGTTGTTCGATGAGGCAGAGACCTAGTGACGCCAAAGCTTCCAATAAAGCCTGTGCCATTGATTTTGATGAGGATGGGCCGAGTATGTTTCCTAGGGTATTTGAGCTATAGATGGTGCTGCCAAAGTCGTGCCTAAAATGATGAAGATATGGGCGGTTTCTGCCCTGCAGCAAGGCAGAAGAGATTAGAAAATACGAGCCCAACTTGGGGGGCCCGGCTTCGGGAAATTGGCGCTACTAGTACCTCCGAGTCGGCAAGTCCCACAGTGACAGAGTCAGAGCAAACTTCCTGACCCAAGACTTTAACGCAACTTAACTTACCTTACACCAGTCGATAATTGGACGAGCTAGTGTCCTTTCTGATAACAGACATGTCAATGTATCTCGGGTTCGTCTCGCACACGCACCAAAATCGGTTCAAAAGAGCGTCAAGCATTCTGCAGGAACTTGCACGATGCGAGGCACCTGCAGTGGAAGGCCGTGTCATGTCCCAAATTGTACTTTCGAGAATACTCGTCCAGCTGACGATCTCATCGGTTAAGCCCAGCTTCGAAGATTTTGGCCGTCCAGTTTACTAGAAGTAGCGTCTAGACAAGGCGTATGGTGCACTCAGTACGTAGTATATCACGCATTCAATGTCATATTGGGCGCTAGCTATCGCAATAAGTTCACGAAGCCTGTAACTCGGCCGATGAGTGACTTACCGGATCTTGAACCCGATGTTATTTATGTCTTTAACTCCGAAACATTTTACAGACGGTCGTTAAAGTTTTCGAGTCAAGTCGTATAGTAGACACTCGACAAGTCAAGCTTTGTCACCCGTTGGTTTTCATTCCAAAGTTCTTGCAGGCCACTGGTTGCATTTTGCTTCGTGCATCTATATGACTGATTAGCTCATTAAGTCTGTATCTTACCATCTTTGCCCATCCCAGGACCCAACATCAGGAATCATATGCTCAATCGATAAAATGGTTCAGAATGGCAGCCAGCACGAGAAAAACACGCTCTGCATCAGGCTGACCGAATCCGTCGTCTTCCTCCGCACTTCTGATCCGACTGGTCGAGACCGCAACCAGAACAATGAAGCGCCTGCGATGGTTCGCGGATTACTCACCCTGAACATCGTGAAACCCACTCGCATCTCCAGCATCGAGAGCGAACTGCAGGGGAAAGCTACTACTTCGTCTTTTGAAGGTATGTGTACCTTGACTTTGCAGGAACCTAAAACAATCCTCCATAGGGGTTGGTGCACGCCGCATAGAGGTGACAGAGCAGCATAAAGTGTTTTCTGCATCTATCGTCTTCTTCAAAGCGGCATCTTCGCCGTCTGCCCGACGTACTGCTTCAGTTGGCCCCGGTCTTCCAGACCCTGACTACGACCACGATCATGCCCATGAAGTTCATCACCCCGAAGAAAATAGTTCCGTTTCTTCTCCACAACACGGGCCTTATCCCAACGGCTTTCCAAGTCCAACATTCTACACCAGGAGCGCTAGTATGGATCCGCGTCAACCACCTTCCTCGATAAGTGGGCGTTCTTTCAGTGACAACACTATTATGCAACATGACATTCATGTACCTCAGCACCAAGACACTATCCATCTTCCTCCTACTCCCCCTTATAGCCCACCCTTCAACTGTCCTTCGTTTATTGCAGATCATTGTCCCTCGCCCTCCGAGTCACATTCGCACTCGGGCTCAATTTCTCATTCTCCTAATCACCCCAAACCAGAAGACAGTCCAGCACAGACGCTTGAAGACCTTCGACGAGCGCTCATGAATAACATAGAGGCAGGCCAACCGAGTATGCCATTTTCTAATGCTTTTGATTGCTCATGTCTACACACCTTACAGGTCTAGGCCATCGTAGCTCATTCCATGCGCCCACTGTTGGTTCTTCTGCGTCAAGCATATACTCACACCGCGATATCACCCTCTCCCGTCGACCAAGTATCGAAGACATCTCTGAAAACGAGCAGTTGTCTGCACAGTCATCCCGATTCAGTTCCCGCACGCGTACATCTCCTGCAGAGACGCAAAATCCAGTGCAGAGTCCAAGCGTCGTCTCAAATACTGCAGCACACGAGGATCGTGGGAGAAAACACGCCCGGTTTTCGTTTCACACTGTTGCCAATGTGATCGACACAATGGTTGAGCGTGTGAGGTCGCGTTCCCCACGTGCTGAATCACACAGAAGAAGCAAGAGTATAAATCGTGAGGACGAACGAGGGAGGACGTTGGATAGGGGAAAGGGGAAGTTGCCAGAGCTGTCCTCACATGAAAATGATAAACATAAGCATCATTCTACTTTGGGAAAAGTAGGAGAACTCTTAGGGCTGGAAGAAGAGCATAAAGAGGTGGGGGAAGGTTGGAAGGAATTCAAGAAAGGTGGGTTTTGATGTACATCGCTTCGCGCGGCTGCGTGCTTACTCGCTCTAAGGAACATATACCTATCCCATCTCATTTACTATACCAAACAACTCCCCTCCCACCATTGAGTGCGATTACGGATCTATGATCTGGAGACTCAAGGCCGAAGTACATCGACCTGGTGCGTTCACACCAAAGCTGACTGCACAACGCGAAGTCCTTGTGGTTGCAGCTCCTTGTGAAGACGATACCGAGGATTCGGAAAACACCATCATCGAACGTCAGTGGGAGTCACAGCTGCAGTATATGATAGCAATATCGGGACGCAGATTTCCCACTGGCGGCACCATACCCATGGATCTCACGATAATTCCTTTCACGAAAGCCAAGGTGCATCGGATATCTGTCCACATCGATGGTGAGTAGCTACAGTTGCGCTTACCGGTTATGGAACCTGAATTGTGCAGAACGAATTGAGTATCACACAGCAACGAGGCGGCTCGTGCGCTCACAACTTGGACACCGAATACCTTTGCTTTTGCTCGAAAACGAGGTCAAGGGCGAGAGTCACCCGTTACTCCCTCTCATCTCCGACGACCCGGAGGCATTCCGAAAGTCACCTCTTTACCAACTCCTAAGTGCTCATGACGACGAGAACGAGATGGCCGTAGCTGTCATGGGCCCAGGGCCATGGACATTCCACAGCGAAATGCAGCTTCCTCAACACTGCTCCCTCATTCATTTCTCCAATCGAAACAAGAAGAGCAACATCACTATCAGCCACACACTCAAGATTGCCATTCGCGTCGAACGTGGCGATGACGAAGCGACCGACCCGCAAACAAAGAAGGCGAAATTATTTGACATTCTCGTCCAAATGCCTATACGCATCTTATCCGTAGGTTCTTTGCATATATTCCATTTCAATGCACCTGTCTGAACAAGTCGTGTTTCCAGTGTCACTGTACCCCAGCGTGGACATCTCTACCTAGGTACTACGAGGTGCTAGAACGTGACTTTGACAACAAACGTGTATCCTGTCCATGCGACCTCAGGGCCGCACACACCTCACACAGCGGTCCGAATGATAGCGAACTGCACATGCCCGTCTCATTGAACCGCGTAGGCTCGATCGACTCCACCGTGTCGTCGTCTGCGGAGAATCACTCGCCGGCGGGGCACAGCGGGACGCTCGTGCAAACACTTGTGGGGCGGAGCACGCAGTATGAACGGCTAATGTCGGGAATGGAGAGTGAGGCGGGCGAAGCGCCTCCGGCGTATGAGAGTATTGGTAATGCATTTCGGTCTCAAAGGGGGCGTTTCTATCATGCTTGAGGGGTCTCAAATTTTGTTCATGCGAGATATATTAATATTTATGGGTTGTATGTTGGGTTCTGGTGCTGCCAGTGGTGATAGTTTAATCAGCAGTTGCTACATACTTAGTTGGTTTTGTTACTATTAGAAGTATTGAAAGAGTGCTGAAGCGCTGAAGTCTTGACTCCTGACAGCGACATTTACCATGTCCTTTCGTAATTGTACTATCATCATCTGTTTTTCATCTCAAGTCACTGATCAGTGTATCAATGATCACACACCTAGCCCTCCTGGAACCTCTCCCAAGCGAAAACAACACCAAGTTCTATCACAGCTGTTAGCAGGGGATTGATTACCAGCGGCTATCGCGCCAAGTCGTTGTGTTGGCTACCGAGGGCTTGTTGATGGGCCGACGACGGTATAGGACTGCAATGATTCGCCCTGTCCATCCTGGTCCCTGGAACAGGGAATCGTGCAGCACTCTTGCTAATTCACAAGATAGACTCGGAGCCTGGAGGGACTCAGTAATTCATCCTGTTTGACATGTGAGCTTGAGATTTTGCTTTCTTATCGCAAATTAGTTTCTGATCAATAATCGCCCTGCACAAGTAATCATGGTCCGACAATCCAGGCACTTCTTCAAGTTGGAGCTTAGGTCAACTCACATGCAGTCTAAAACGGCGGGAGCAACCGGTCATAATAAGCCTTCTTGAGCCCATAATTAGGCGGCCGCGGGGCTGCACAATTCTCAGAGTTCGCGTTCGCTTGGAAGGGCAGTTCAAGTTATTTCAGTCTTAAGCGCTTGATTCCCGCCTCCGTGAACTAGTACTGGTTCAAGGCTCCAAGCCCGTAGAAGGCCGCATGTATCTGGTGTGCTGCTTAATTCTAAAATATCGCTGTCAGGGTTTATTTGAGCTAATAGCTTTCCTCTCGTACATTGATTACACAGGGACGAGGATTCTCTGCGACAACTTGAAGGCATGATGCGAAGGTTTTAGTAACTGACGTGGCTAAATTAGGAAAGGTTTTAAGGTCCGTCTAAGGAATTTACAAGAGGACAGCCATATACGTAACAGCCGACATTGAAATATTGACTGCAGTCTGCAGCGCACAGCCTAGGTGAACGCGAACCGAGCCTGCCTGGACTTTTGGTAAATCCAAACGCATGATGCAAAGTTCAGAATAGGCCGTCTCACACGCTCTACCTCTTCATCATGTGGAGGGCCATTGATCCCGCCAACCTCACATTCACAGCCAAGCCTGAAAATTGATCCACTTGGAGCTGAGTCCAGCATTAGGTCACCCGAGGTCGTGATTCATCAGCTCATCCGTGAAAGTATGGCTGATGGGATATTCTTAGGCGTTATAACACATGGATCCCTCATGAGTAGCGACTGCCCGCATGGTTGTCTTGTTATCTCTATCTAGAATTCTGTGGCTTTCGAGCGCCGTTCTGCCCCGACTGATGCTATAAATCCCCGACAAGCTTTCTCGGTGGGGGCGCCCAATATCATCAGGATGCGCCTACTCCCATCCTTCGTAGCTCTTGCTCTCGGACTGTTGGCTTCTGCCGACTCATTCCTGTCGCCTTACCGTCTTCATGAGAGACGTGGGCACGTCCCTGCTGGATGGTCATACGACCGAAAGCACGACAATGAGGCTGCTATCCCTCTGCGATTTGCTCTGAAGCAAAGTAATATTGACGCGATTGGTGACTACTTGATGGAAGTCTCTCACCCAGAGTCTGCCAAATACGGTAAACATTGGACTGCTGGAGAAGTTTTCAGGAAGTTTTCGCCTGCTGCTGAAAGTGTTGAAGCCGTCCTTGCCTGGCTTGAAGAGAACGGTTTTGATTCCTCCCGTGCCAAGCTCACTCGTAACAGAGGTTGGATCGAAGTCCAAGCCACTGTAGAGGAGGCTGAGCGTCTCCTGCAGACTGAGTACCATGTGTACAGTCACGAAACTGGTCAAGAGCATGTTGGTGAGTAGTATTCTCGATCTTCTTATTTCGTGAAATTTACCAGTTATATAGCGTGCGATTCATACCACTTGCCTGAGCATGTCCAGGATCATGTCGACTTCGTGACTCCTACTGTACATTTTGATGCTAAGATCTCGAGGCGCTCCGGCTCCGATTCCACCGAGGGGATCGCGCGCACTGTTGGACAGCCAGGACAGGGCACTTACCCAAAGACCACTGGAGAGGTCCAAAGTCTCCTGACTCAACTGGAAAACTGTGATGTGCAAATCACTCCAATTTGTTTGAGGGCTCTGTATGGGTTGGTTTACGAGCCGCTGGCAGCGGACAAGAACAGCTATGGAATTGGTAAGTTATGCAACATGACATTAGGCGCACGAAGTTGACTCGGCAAACAGTGGAGTACACCCCACAAGCCTACCTGCAAAATGACCTGGACATGTTCCAAAGCACTTTCGCCCCAGACCTTGTTGGAGTTGCACCCAAGATGGTATCAATAGATGGAGGTCCGTTAGAATCACGGCTCTTTGAATTTTGATAGTTAACCTTCCACCAGGCTATGCACAAACCGAATACACTGGCTTCGAGTACAACGGTGAATCCGATCTTGACCTCGAGTACGCGATGAACCTCGTCACCGCCGCGCAGCCAGTCACCTTATACCAGGCTGGAGATATGGTAGAGGGTGAGTGCTTTCACATGGTATTGGTATATTACTAACAATGTCTGAAGGTGCCTCTTTCAACAACTTCCTTGACGCAATCGATGGCACATACTGCACCTTTGAGGGTGGAGACGATCCAACTCAAGACGCCATTTACCCTGACCCATACGGTGGAGGCTACGAGGGCCCCGAAGATTGCGGCACCGCAGCGCCTACCAATGTTATCTCGACATCTTATTCATACAACGAAGCTGATCTGACGCCCTTCTATACTGCCCGTCAATGTGCGGAGTATGCTAAACTTGGCTTGATGGGAGTTACTGTCCTCTATAGCTCTGGTGACTATGGAGTTGCTGGAAACGGCGGTTACTGTCTGACGTCTAACGGTGAGTTTTCTCAGCATGCTTGTGGCAAGATGCTAATATCTCTCGTAGGAACCCAGACCCTGAACGGCACCATCTTCAACCCCAGTTTCCCGGGAACTTGCCCCTACATCACATCTGTTGGTGCTACTCAGGTCAACCCTAATTCAACGGTCTATGAGCCGGAAGGGGCCTGTGAACAAGTCATCTACTCTGGCGGTGGTTTCAGCAACTACTTTGCGATGCCTGATTACCAGAAGACAGCGGTCGAATACTATCTAACAAATTATTACCCTCAGTATCCTCCCAACATCTGGAACGCCTCAGGAACGGTACGTGCTGCTCAAGTGGTATGGTTTGTAAATGACAGCATCTAATCTCAATTTCCTTTCACAGTCCCGTGGCTTCCCTGACATTGCTGCCAATGGAGCCGTAAGTTCTCGTCGTTGAAGATCTACCAGCTGATACTAACAGTATACAGAACTACGTTGTTGCTATTGATGGTACATATGAATTGGTTTATGGAACGTCCTGCTCTTCCCCAGTCAGTGGATCCATCTTGACGATGGTCAACGATGCCCGCCTGGCAGTTGGAAAGAAACCGATAGGATTCATCAACCCAACTGTAAGTGTCTGTCTCAAATCCCTGTTGCCTTTTTCTCACCAACTGTTGCAATGAAGATCTACTCGCCTAGCTTTGCCGGCGTTTTCAACGATATCACCATGGGCGGAAACCAAGGATGTGGTACTGCTGGATACACTGCCGTTCCTGGCTGGGATCCAGTTACTGGACTGGGGACCCCCAATTTCCCGAAGCTTCTTGCGTCGTGGTTACTCCTTCCGTAGACTTTGAGCTCGGCATTTTGGAATAAAGTCGATGCTGCGTGGTGTAAATTATCATGTAGATATCATTATTATTATTGAAGACATTTGAAACTTCTCATTAGCTCCACAAGCTGCAATATGGATGCGAGATATTATCGCTGGATACTAAGGTTTGCCTGTCAATCGACTAATGCAACCATAGCCCTGCCATGCTTTACTGTAACTCATCAAAGACGCGCAACGAGGTATAGCATAACCAATTACAGAGTTAGAGTTGTTGGCTTTTGCAAAGTAAGCGACAGCAGCGAGGCTGTCTCTCGGAGATCAGTGTCGAGCTGGCAATATATTGTTCGCATCTTACAACATCTGTGACCGGAATCGAGTACTTTGGGCCAACAAATGGGAAAAGGGCCTATGTGCTCCGCGGCAACGATCTGCGTGTGAGATTGCCTTCAATGAGAAAGCCTTGAGATGGTCTTATAGCCTCACGCGAATACAGGGTTGAGACGAGACGAGGTATGAGTTATGTGGTTTTAAGCTACCTTTCAATAATGTAGAATTCTTTTCAGCAACTAGCCAATGGATCTAGCCCCTTCCATCCCTTTCCTGATAGAATCAAGGACTCCGAGATTTGCCTTTCGCTGCTCTTCTATCGGCCCATTCAACGCATCTTCCCACCACCTCTCGTCTTCAGGCACATCGCGCCAGCCTCCTTTCAGAAATTTTGCAAATGCAGGCATACTGCCTGATGGAGAGACACGCAATGCCTGGGCCTTCTTCCAGTGAGGAGGAGGGTTTGTTGACGAGAACGGCGCGGCAGGATTAGTACTGGGAGGTTTCGAAAAACCTTCACATGGGAGAATAACGCCAGGAGGTACTGTGATGCGGCCGTGCTTGAAGCAAATATATGAGATCGCCACACAGTGAAGTACAGCGCCATCGGGTTCAGGCAATTTTGACTGTGCGGCAGCCAGGGCTTCTATTTCCCTTTTTGTCTTTTCAGCTTGAAGGTTGTAGTTCGCCTCAGTCGTATCACCGGGGGTTGCAGGGGTGGCCAAGTCTTCTGCAGGCGTACTCAGCAGAATTCGAGGGAAGTCATCTAATGCTGTCGGTGTCTTTGATGGTCTGGCACTATCATTACCAGTCCCTAGTTGCTGACCTGCCCCGTCAACCTGTAGTTTATGGGTGGCACTGTGCCTGTTCTTTGGGCCCGGGAAAGAGATGTAGCGAGCAATCACGAACATCTTGTCCATGTTAGATGATTTCCTGCGTATATTCTATAACCACCAAGAACTCACCCATTTATTGTCCCATGCCCCGATGGAGAGTCTTATCTCGTAGCTACTTAGGAACGGTATTTCTCGAATGAAATGAAAGTGAGTAGCTACATGTGGAATGAATATTGATTGAGAAATGTGTGGAGTAAAGTTGACGCACAGCCTAGAGCCATCCACCCGCCACTCCTTGCGAAAGCAGGGACAGTTTTCAGAACCAGTTTCAAGCGAGCAGCATCGAGGGCCTGAAAAAAGATTGTCATCATTGTGTTATTTGAATGTACTGAACACCTACCTTCGCGTAACTAGAATTGCTGAGGTGTCCATTGTAATCGACGTCATCCACACCTAAAGTCAGGTGAGTTTATATTCATGAGAGACTTGGATGAAAGCGTACTCGTCCAGCTACGATGAATGCTCACGAGCTCGAAGGGGTTTGCACCAATTGGACATAGATCTTCGCCCCAGTCGGCAAGAATCTTTGCCCTGACCTCTTTGGGCTTGAACAGGATGCGAAGTCGTAGAAGGTAGTACTGGAGACGGAGTCGCAGGACTGGCAGGAACACGCGAACTCAAAGAAGTCATTTTGTAGACATCATTGGTAGAAATGAATGCGTACTCACTGTGCCAGGCAAACGGTAAAGACCGACAATTAACGAATAGCAAGACTAAGAAGATATACTTGAAAGCCGACAGCGCTAACGTCGTCGACTGGCTGTGGGGTAACTTTTGCAAGTTAAAGGCTAGCATTGGTGGTATCTTGGCAAGAAGATGCAAACTGTCGCGAGACTGCCGGCCCAACATTGTGTCTTCAATGACAAAAGGTGAGTTGAAGTAGTAGTAGGAATTTAACAATGCGTTCCAGATAGGACCGGCAGTTGTCAGTATTCCAAGGTGGGATGACTCTGATAACTAGGAGTCAGGACTAGAAGACAGACCCAAACCCAGGCTTGGGCTGCACCGTATTGCATATGATACTTTCGGAAGATAGTACTAGTCGGACTCTCAGAATGGTAAAAATAAAGTTGGCGAAACCAGTGCATATTGCACGTGCTGCAGCGTTGGAACAAAACCATGTCTCGGCATTTCTAACTGCCAGCTTCCCTCGCAGGTGAGAAGGTTTTTCACGCAAGCATATCAACCGGCGCACGATGTCAACCTCGCTCTGCAGTTTAAAGATTTCTTCACAAGCGTTCTCCACAAGGTGTGATACTGGTACCTGCTGAACAATACGCGACTGGTCACGTCACGTCCCACGTCTGGCACTCTCCATCATGCTCGAGTCGTGCCCAGAAACCTCCCTTGCCAAAGAAAAAATGAAGATCCAGCTGCGTCCGGCTCGAGAATCCCTGACATGGTCCAATAGGTTCGGCTGGACTGAGCGTTAGCTCGGGGTGAGGCGCTACGATAGGATGTGATGTTCCATGCCTCACCGCGCTACGTATAGGGCCTGGCCTGGCCTGCTGTGTTGCCTGGCACTTTCGTGTTCGCAACCTATCCATTGCATTTATGCCATCGATGCTAGCATCGACCTCCACACTGAGGAGCATCAGTAAAGGTGCTTAGCTTGGCTATCTCAGCCTGCTTTATTCGTGCGTCCTTCGTGTGGACCCCTTGCCAATGCATATCACCATCTTTGTGGCCAAATCGAACCGAGATACGGTCTCACCTTCGCCGCCGCTCCCTTACTCCACCGCAATCTCACCATTTGAAACTAGACTTCGCGATGAGCCGAATTTGCTGGACTCCACGAGTTGTAATAGGCGAGCGCCCAACAGGTCCAAGATATCGAACGGTCACAATTCGTTTATCAAGTTTCAAACTCCGGTTATGCTTGGCCCAGGCAAGCTGTTCTACGAACTTGACACCGCCTGGGTGCTATGTATAGGTAGTGACATACCACTGGAGAGAATCAAGCTTAAACTAGAATGCCGATGCCGTCTGAGACGTCGACGCGCTCATGTTTGTCCTCCTCGCGCACTACTGAAGAAGCGTGCGCCGTCGATCACAAGTGTGCACGACTGTGGAGTCACGCCAAACCAATCCCATCAGGATCTAATGGCCGCAAATTTGTAGGTGGAACGCCCAGAGAAATGAGGTACATACTGATGGTGTAGCCCACGGCAATTGCGCGATGTCAATGCATACTGAAAACTTGAACACATTCCTACGGTGACCTTGGAAGACATGCTGAGAGCAGGCAGGCCAGTGGTACTGCTGTGAGCAACCACTACAAGGTAATAAACCGGTTCTTCCCACGTCCACGCGGTGCTAAGCAACCACTACTTCATATTAAACTTAGCCTCACCACCAGCAGGGTATTTCGGACTTCGTGAACATGCAAAGGTTGGGCGGCTGCAGATGCTGAATAAGGTCGATATTATGAACACGCAGTCTCGTTAACGTTGCGTCTACAAAAGTTCCGCGGGGGAATGGTTCCCTGTGCGAACTCCAAAAATTATATTGCACAACTTCAGATTGTGCTATACAAATTACAACATGCATGCCATGTGTGATACTCCCCGCGTGTTCCTTCGGTCTCACCATCGTTAGCTTAGTAGTTAGCATGTTGTTCAATGAGTGCAAGGGCAGTTGCAGAGCGAGGCTTGATAGAACACTTGAAGGGTTTGGGGTGGCTTGAAATACGCCAAATCAGACCTACCCCGTACGTGACAAGATGTCCGACATACCTGGCTATACCTGGTAAGGGATCAACCTCGGGGGTGATCTCAACACCATTCTCAACAACCTTGGAAATATCAAACACGGCCAGTGACATCGCAGTGGATATCCAAATGGAAGCATCAGCAAGGTGGAGACCTATACATCAAAAACAAGCAAATGTCAGAATACCGGTAGTTAATTGATGTGAATTGGACACACCTGGGCAAATACTGCGGAGGAAAAAGTTAGTACTCTGATCAGATTTAGAACCAATTTTGTGCTTGCCGTCTACCGAAGCCGAAGCACATTGTGGAAGGCTCCGTCTCAGGTTCCTTTCCATCCTTAGCCAAGAAACGTTCAGGATTGAATTGTGAGGGGTTAGCATATGTGCGTGGATCGTTGAGCATGAACCTGTTGCAATTAACAGCATTACATTCTTGTTTATCAATCGAAGGGGGCACCTACCAAAGGTTAGGCATTACTAAGGAACCTTTTGGAATATAGTATCCGTCGTGGATATCGTCTTCAGCCACACAGTGGGGGAAGCCTGTCATTGAGATACCCGTTGGTACATAAATAATGTCATGAACGAGATCCGCATACCGGTGGGAAAGATAGCATTCCAGCGCAGAACTTCTTTGACAAGCGCATTAGTATAGGGGAGGGAGTCGCGGTCGGCGAAGGAGGGAAGACGGTCATGACCAACAACCGCATCTATTTCGGCCTGAGCTTTCTTCTGCACATCAGGGAAAAGTGTCATAGCTAGAAAAAGCGAGTATACTGCAGAAATAGTCTGAGGAAATAGGCGCAGCACTTTCAGAAGATGGTGATTAGAAATATAGATAAGTAGGGACAAACCGTATCGGAACCACCGGCGTATATGGAAAACGCAGACCATTTTACGACGTGGTCCTCTTCCGCCGATACATCACCCCCTTTCAAAAGATTCGAGGTAAAAGACACAGGGGCGATATCAGCAACCTGTAAAATTTGAACTTCGACGAATGATCGCAAAACTGCAAACTGGTCACCATCTGGTCCTTGACGAATTTGTGGGGTGTAGAGACCATCTGTTCGAGGGTCCCACGCCATTCACGTGCTATGCGTTTGAAGCCAGCACCTGGGAACCACGCGGGGACCTTTGCCACTACAATTGACAGGTTATCGAAAGCCAATGCCAACGTCAGAATAATATAGCTCACAGAATGGTAAAATATCAACCATAAAGGCACCGGGAGCCGAGGCCTGCGAGCAATTTTCTGTAACACGATTTGCAAGATCAACCCAAGGATCATTGTTCTCTTGCACTTCGTAGCCGTGAGTGATACGCAGAACAACAGCGACAGCAGTGCTATAGTCAAAATTCAAGATCGTGTGATTGCAAAGATGAATAATACATACTGTCGGATATGATCCTGCAGTTGGTCAGGTTTCGCAAGCACACGCTTCAGGAATCGACGAGTCTCAACCTCTTCAGTCTCGTTGTATACGTCCATTGCGGCGCGACTGCCGATAACGCGATGTATCTTCTTGCGTTGCTGGCGAAAACTGCGACCATAAGGAAGAAAAGGCAAAGAGTACTTCCAGCCAACAAGTTCGCCAGCCATAGGAAGCACAGGACGGTCAGAATACAAAGTGCTTTTACTGTCCATCATTTCTATTGCAGTCTTGACAGAGTTCAGCACAATGATGTGCCGACCCAGAACCTCGATATGCGTGATATCACCTGTAGAAAATATTTTTTAAAATGCGTGATTTTGGAAGAAGGGATGCCACTCGCCATACTTCTGACCCCACTCAGTAAATGTGAGCCAGGGTTTGCTGCGAGGCATATCTAAAATATTGCCAATGAGAGGCCACCCCCGGGGACCAGGTGGATATGGACCAGGATTCTTCTTGATGACCACCTGCTTTGCCAGATAGACTGCGACTGTAACACCGCCAAAGCATAGTAGCTCTAGCCAAGCAACATTCAAGTTAGTGATTGTCAACATGGTCCACTACTATCAGAGAATGAGTAACTCAAGGACGGGGATGAGTAGAGTGAATGATCAGATAAGAGATAGACATCTGACCTCGTATTTATGTTCACCAAAAGCAACACACCGTGTGGGGATGGCGGTCACGGGTATGGCGGGTACTACAGGTTCGGTGTTCATACCGTACCCCGTGACGTCAGCACGGTATACGGGTATATTCACGAGTAGCTACAGCAATATTGATCTTTCGACCGACGGGGATACCCTAATTACCCATGATCAGAAGGAAGCGAGTAGGGGTCACTGTGCCCCGTCCGAGCCAGGATTGTCACGTAATGTTCGTCGAATAGCCTATTGGCATTACCGATGAACCGTCCAGACGGTCCAACGCAAACTTGAATTCATCCAATCGTTATTCTCATGAATGCGTTAGATATCTATGTAAGAACTATAGCGCCTGGCAACACCCACTACCTGTTTCCGCATTCGGTCTTCTCGACCAATCCCCGATACCCACGTTAGCAGAGTACACTGCGGGCAAAGTCAAGAAGGTAAGGCCGTTGAAAATAGAGATCAAATGTGGTGGGAATGTATAGGTGGCGCAGTAGACGTGGCGCTGTAATTTTAAAAGGGAAAGGACTCTTCGTCTTAGTGTTGTTGTCGAGGTGAGGTCAACTCGAGCTAAACTCGGCTCGGCTCGAAAATGACCCAATTCGTTTCAACTCGAACCTTCCGAACTAAATCGAGTTACAACTCGTTGGACTCGCGAGTTAGAAACGAGTTCATGTAGTTTACATCCATACATCGTAATCCCCTGTACTACATCATAATGGTCATTATTGTTGTATCCCTTCATTGCAATTGGCACACAGATTGGCAGCTAAGTTCCCCTCCAACATCCAAAAGAACTTGGAATCTGGATTGTCACTCTCGGCTATTGAGACCCTGACTGGACACTGAAATTTTCAATTGAAGTAAAACACTTAAATATCATCGTGGCTCAGAGCTATTGCTGCGAGCAACATTTTACCCCATGTCATTGCAGCAGAATCCTGGCCCATGGTCATTTCCTCCGAGTCATCTCAGCCCTGAACACTCTCAACAAGGTACATTGTCTCCACTCCAGACTCCAAGTGGATCCTTCCAATCACTTCGGAACACACATTCCCGCTTCTATTTCGTGTTGCCATGGACGTTCTGCCTGCTCAAGCTTCATCTGTGCCTTCCGAGCGCATATTCTCATCAAGCAAAGAGACCTGCACTCTACGGCGCAGCAACCTATCTCCGACCATACTCGAGGCGCTACAAGTTCTGAAGTTCACTTACAAGCAAGACCGCCTCAATTTTACGGAGGACCTGGTAGCTAATGAGCAGGACTACACGATATCTGGACCTGTGACTTCAAGAGCAGTTGACGAGCTAATGGCTGCCGGGAATCTTCGCGAGCTCGATCAGTTGCTTGCAAATGCAAGGGAAATTGATTGTAACTAGTTTATTGTAGTTTCTGTCTGCTCATCGTGTATTTACTTGCAAAAATCGTCGTTGGCAGTATCTAGCATCCCTGGCTTCTCATTGGCTGAACCACCGGTTCGCATAATTCCGAACTCGTTAGTAACTCGCGAGTCGAACGAGGCGCAACTCGTAAGTATCGAACTGTGTCGAGGTACCACAAATTTCCACCTCGATTCGATTCGATTCGCCTCGCGGCAACACTAGTTCGTCTGAACTCAAAGACGCGACGCCACGCGTCAAGTTCCCAATTGAGGCACAAAATTTTAAATCACTGCAAGATTGATTTTATGCGGAAAACATGATGCAGGACTACATGCAATCTCGATTTAAACCATGTCGGCATGTATGGCTCATGGCCAGCTTAATTTTTAACACTCTATTCATCAGGCAATGGGGCTAGGGACATGCATAGGATGTAAAATCTTTGTCCTAAGGTTGCCACTGCAGCCACAGAGTGCTGATGTTACATTTCCTCACACTTCGTGTTTTGTAGCTTCTCTTTTTCTCGTTCGCCCGTTCATGTGTTTGGGATGTAAATTCGCTGCTCAGCGTCAGCGCCAGCGCTCATATCAGCTCGCCATCAGCGCACGTGACCTACTAGCACTTGCACCTCTCTTAGGATCTACCCTGGGGCTAATACGTTGTCACTGCATCTAAACTTCTGTAAAATTGCCATCTAAAGCGAAAAAGAGAGGGGGGACAAAATCGAGAAATCTACCGCCAAAACGTGAAAATAGTGAGCTTATAATACCCACTCCCTAAAGGTAGCGGGAATATTTGACTCAGAAAGTCACAACAACAAATTTTTCAAACATTTAGTATTCACTTCACATATAATTGGCAAATGAACTTCAAAGGTCTTTCGACTTTCGCATGCCAGTGCGGTGACTCTCACAACTCGGACAATGAATTTTATCTTTTGAGAGCGGTATTATTGATCAGCATTAATGAGGTGGAGGAGGTTGACACCTGCAGGATATGTTGAAGAGATTGATGTAGTTCGATGAGGCATCTGGAACATTATTACTGTTATTATTAGTATCATAGCCTAACACGCAGAAATACTCAAAATAATTCCGCAGATTCTTGCCATTCTGTTTTTATTTTTGGCAGAACTCGTCCCAAAATATTTCTGGCTTTGTCCAATCGATCAAATTGAACAAGGTGGCACTCTAGAAGTTCTACTTATGTCCAGGTCTACTTCTGGGAACCTTTCCTTTTGCCTTATGCTTAATTCCCTGGGCGATTTCAAAAGGATTGAAAGGTGCTCGCCGAACAGACGATCACAGGCTTCACAGCTCTGAGTAGTCCTTGTAACAATGGCCGAGAAATAGGTTAATCTATGATAGGGAATCAGGGATCTAACCAAAAGCAGAGACCTCTCCGGTGTCCTCCTCGACTGTGGACAGTATAATCCCGGAGTGTTTCATCCATGTGTTTCTCGGGGAAACAACTCGCAGTGTGGGAGGACTTGAGATGGTGTCTCATCGAGGACGCTCTGTTTCGTGTGCTTACAGTCTAATCCTGGCACACGACCATGCTGCTCCTGTGCTCGAGAAAGTTATAAAAGACGTGACTGGTGATTGGATTTTGTTGTCAGCTTCTTCTCGTCTCGGTCGGCATGCGCTGCTTATTGACCGCCTTTGTCACCCTCAGCCTCGCAGTAGTTTCCTTAGCGGCGCCCACTTTCAGCCCATATAATGTGCATGAGAAACGCATCGCCCTTCCTATTGGATGGTCTCATAGTCGAAGACACAAAAGTACGGCAACCCTCCCTCTGCGCATTGCTCTGAAACAGAACAACATCGAGTCCATCGATGAATATCTTAACGATGTTTCTCACCCAAAGTCAGCTAACTACGGCAAGCACTGGACTGCAGGAGAGATTGCCCGAAAATTCGCACCCTCGGAGGAATCCATTTCCACTGTCAGAGACTGGCTTATTGAGAATGGGCTAACAAGCGAGCGCATTGGTGTAAGTCCCACCAAGGGTTGGATTAACGTCGATATCACTGTCGAAGAAGCGGAACGGCTCATGAACACCGAGTATAATGTTTACACTCATGTTTCTGGACAGGAGCACGTTGGTCAGTATCTTCATAGAGGACAATATTGAGGCACTCATCCACCACTTTTTAGCTTGCGAAGCATATCACCTCCCTGAGAACATCAGGGCTCATGTCGACTTTGTCCTACCTTCCGTCAACTTCGATGCGAAACTCAAGCGTCGATCTGATAGTCAGCAGGAATCCACTCTCGCGATTGGTCAACCTGGTGTAGGAATCACCCCGAAGACTACTGGCACCATTTCGCAGACAGTGACTGAGCTTGAGCAGTGTGATGAGTACATCACTCCGATTTGCTTGAGGGCTCTATATGGACTTGTATACGAGCCTGTTTCTACTGAGAAGAACAGCTTCGGCGTCGGTATGGTTTCTATTCCATTGACCACCCTGTGAGCTAATTCATCACCTAGTGGAATATACTCCTCAGGCGTACTTGCAGTCTGACCTGCAACTGTTCGCTATGAACTATTCTACTGATCTCATCGGAAAGGAGCCAGTCCTGGTTTCCATTGATGGAGGTAGTTACCTTAAGCGTCCTTTTTTGATCAAACCATGAAGACATGTTGCAGGCTATGCACAAACCGAGTACCAAGGTTTCGAATACAACGGCGAGTCAGACCTCGATCTCCAATATGGAATGACACTCGTCACTGGCAAGCAAAATGTCACTCTTTACCAGACTGGTGATATGGTGGAAGGTAGGATGGAAACAGGAGAAAATGTTCTAAACATATTGCTAACCTCATTGACAGGGGCCTCTTTCAACAACTTCCTCGATGCCATTGATGGGTCATACTGCACGTTTGAGGGTGGTAACAATTACACTGTAGATTCCGAATATCCCGACCCATACGGAGGGGGTTATGAGGGTAAGCCTCCGTCTTTGCTGAATCGTAAATACAATAAACTTGGATGCTGCGATAGGGCCCGAGGACTGTGGCACTGTTACGCCTGCCTACGTTATATCAACATCATATGGGTACAATGAGGCTGATCTCACTCCGTTCTATACTGCCCGTCAGTGCGCAGAGTATGCCAAGCTTGGCTTGATGGGTGTTACCATCCTGTACAGCTCTGGAGATGATGGTGTTGCTGGTAATGGTGATGTTTGCTTGAACCCTAATGGTATACCTTGAGTTCGACTTTTCACTTTTATCTTCTCACACGACAACAGGCACTCAGAGCGTAAACGGTACAATTTTCAATCCCACTTTCCCTGGTGTCTGCCCCTACGTCACATCTGTCGGCGCTACCATGGTCAAGCCAAATGCAAGCGTCCTCGAGGCTCAACCTGAAATGGCTTGCATGGAAGTCATCTACTCGGGTGGAGGCTTCAGTAACTACTTCGCGATGCCCTCGTACCAGCAGAGCGCTGTCGATTACTATTTGGAAAACTATCCTCCCAACTACCCTCCAAATATCTGGAACTCGACTGGGAAGGTAAGTGTCAGAGTGAATGTGATATGTTCAATCAAGTGAAGCCAGCTATTAGTCTCGTGCTTTGCCTGACATTTCTGCCAACGGAGCTGTGAGTGTCTGTCACAAGTTGCATGGATACGCGGTTTAACGTCTATTATTTCCTTGTCAGAACTACGTTGTCGCTATCGACGGTGAATTCGAGCTTGTGTATGGAACTTCCTGTTCTTCACCAGTTAGTGGCGCCATCTTTACGATGATCAACGACGCCCGTCTCGCCATAGGAAAGAGCCCGATTGGGTTCATCAACCCTACGGTATATCCCTCCCCTTTTGCCCTGTCTCACAGCTGATTATTTATGATGTTAGATCTACTCTGAGGATTTCGCAGGTGCCTTCCATGACATAACTGAAGGGTCAAACCCAGGCTGTGGTACTGAAGGTTACAACGCAACCGTTGGATGGGATCCAGTCACTGGTCTTGGTACTCCCAATTTCCCTATATTGCTCGAGAAATGGCTGGCTCTTCCATAGAATATGATAATCGCATCTAGTGATCCTGCTATAAAGCAAATCCGCACTTCTGTGTTCATAATTGGCTCAATAGAATTTTCTTGATCTCTGCCCCCGTGTTACATATCTGCTCAAATAACATGGCCGAATGCCTTGCGCTTCCTCCCGTCTTCTAGTTCTTCATCGTGGTTGCCCTGATAGCGGTATGGAATTTCTGACCATCTTGCTCCGTGATTCATGCCTTCGTTGACGCATTGATATTCCACCCTCAAAGCTGCATCTGACAGCAAACTTCGGGACACTCGCAAAAAACGAGCCAAGCTGATTCAAGCTACCGATGGTTCACTTGGTACGACATGGTAGTGGTAGAGACTACTACGCTACCGCTGAGGTATGCTATTCTATTTGACAGGCAACGACCATATCACCAACTGAATTCCCACAGACTCAAAAGCAGGCTGCAGTCGGGAGGATATCGCAACGACCACTGGCCCTCAGACTGGCGGAAATATTCTCGATTGGGAAGGCATGATCTTTCTGCCTTTTCCTATGACGTTCACCTATTTGTATTGCAACTTCTCGTCTGGTTTGTCAGGTAATGTGAGGGATCATGACACCTGAACTATGAATGAAGCGATAAGTAATTCCGGGACGAGCCTGCGGGTTTTGCGAGGTGAAATGTAACTCGAGGGCAACGTTGCAGGGTCAAGACCCGGCACCATTCCATGCATTGGTGACTCGTCATCACTACAGGGACCTCTGATTTCCAAGTATGGCTCAATCGTATGGCGTGCGTCCAAAATCATTTTTATATCCAGTATCCACGCGCTTTATCCCGTGCCGACATCCTTTCCGTCCATATTTCGGCACACTAAACCGACGTCGATAAGGATGACCTCATAGGTTGTCACAGCACCTTCTACAACGATTCCGCTTGGGTTTGTGAAACAAACTACAAGGAAAAGGAGGAGTGATGGGCATGGGTCTAGAGAGTGATGATGTGAAAGAACTTGCTAGTATAGGAACGACAAGATGAATAAAAAGAATGACTGAGAAAATTCGGAGACACTAGTCCGCACTGCGCAGCAATCCGGAACAAGTATAAAATTATACATAGATACTGATGGAACAATCAAGGGTATATACTGAACGAATCCATCTTAGCAATGGAGCACGCTACTGGTATCCCACGTTAGGTCAATGTCCGTTTCATCCAGAGAAACAAAAGTTAAATTAGGATATTTTACTCTAAGTTCCCGCTTGCATCTTGCAATGCGGTGTTCCGTGGCGAGGCCGCTATGCGACACAGGTGAATAAGAAGAGAGTTGCAAATGCTGAATGGTAGAGGGAAGGGGGAGGGTCGGAAGGGCGTCCATTATCATCTAGAACACACAATTTAGCCCGAAAAAAAAAGGATGAGCGATTTGACATGTACCTCAGGGTCCCACGCCTGCGTGGCAGTGTCTGGAAAGAAACCTTTTGCCGCATACACGTATAACGATCGCAGTATTGGGAAGCAGGTGCAGATAGTAAAAAGCATGAGGGCATTAACATGCGTAACGCTCAACTCCAGTATTTGTACAGTCCTGAGGACCTCTGGATCGCATGCGCTCACGAGTTCATCGCCTCCCGCAAGCGCTCCGTGCAGTTCCATGGGATTGATCGAACCATCAGTGGACACAGAGCGTGTACTCCACAAGTTAAGATGTTCAAGCGCACCAGGGCGAACAAAATGGGGTAAAAGTTGACGAGGACCTTGGTATTTCGAGAGGGGTTTGAGGGGATTGGAATGTGTAGACAGGGAAAAATATTCATCTTTGGGAAGGCTGTGTTGAATTTGAGAGGGGCGGGCGAATTTGAGTTCGGCCAACTCTGGGATAAGATGAAGTAAAGAACGTAAAGCGCGCACGACTTCTAAATTACAAGGTAATGTAAGACATCGGAGTTGTAGCAGGCCGTGCGATGCGTTCCCCATGAAATTGTTTAGGAATTGCAAAGCTACGAGTGGGTTGATTATAGAGACGGAACGTAGGTGGTCGGGTGAGAACACAGATAGTCCATGACCGTTGCCAAGTATATTTGTGTTATCGCAGATGATGGTCAAGTTGGCCACCTGCAATTTGGGAGGTGAAAGCAATTGGACATGTTCCACTGTACAGTTGCCCAAGAAAAGGTTTCCAAGGCTTCGTAGCGCGCATAGTTTCAATAACTGTGACTGGCTGAGGTCCACAAACATGAACGAAAGCGATTGGAGATTGACGAAAAGCGGTAGGGTATCGAGCAGTATATCCAGAAGCACATTATATGGAATCTCCGGATTGAACACGGCACCAACAATATATCGGGGATAAAATTTACATTCACGAACAGCGTGAGCAATGCGTACTGAGGAACAAAATTGTATGCGGTGTTTTGTACGCTCTACAGTTTCCAGACGGTGAATGAAGCACTGGTTGATGGTGTCCAAAGAGTAGGGACAGAATGTCAGGGAGCGAAATAAGAGAGGTTGTGCCAGATGACGAAAGGAGTGGCAAGTGAGGGTAACGTCGTGAAGGGTTCGGCAAGGAAGGTGCTCGAAGATTGCGAGCCAAAGTTCTGGTGCCAGGCTGACTTTGGGTATATTAGTGGAGTCCCTGGAAAATCTGTTCAATAACTGGCCCATGACCTCAAAATGCTTGGTATAATCAAGATATTGAATCATGAGTGTAGGCAATCACTTACTTTGAAGTTCGAATGGTGGCCAAAGGCAAGGCGGTATACTGCGGGTTATGAGTCTAAGTATAAACTCCGCGCACTCCGCTATACACGTAATTATAATGACGAGAGCCTGCAAGCTGCAGGCCATGCGGAGATGAAATTGAAAACGTTGAAAAGCCTGGAACTCAATTAATATTGAGAGTGTCGTGATTCGGCCGCCTGTACTTTTTATCGATGGTCACTGCCTCAATCTCAGGGGTATTACCCGGTCCAAGGTTTTTGCGTCGTGGAATGCGACATGATCTGGCTCAGCCTTCCAACGGTCAGAAGTACTGCACTGCGTGGTACAGATCATCGAGTTCTAGCCTAATATTTACCCGCATATTTTTGTACAAAAATTGGAATTAAAGTCATGATGCAGCCTGATCGTTAAACCGATGAAGAGCTATCTTGTGACTCAGGAGTATCATATCGTTTCGTGACAGGCGTGATGTTCTTTTCTTTGTGTATTACGCCTATCAGTTCGCACGAGCACAAATAAAACCACACAAAGTAATTTGGGTGTAGGCAGTGAGGGTTCCTGCCACTGGTTAAGAGTTCCGACTGAGCCCTTTCTTTCGTGCGGCGCGTTCCCCTAAATCTACACTTCACGCGCGTTGACGCCTTTTAACGATGTCTACTTGGACTCCACAACCTGCAGGTCTGCAGGAAATCCTCCAGACCATACGCGACTCAACTGATACACAAGGCAATGTACAACGAGCAATCACTCATGTATGCATTTTCCTTGTCATGATCTGCAGCGCGTTAACATTCGCTTAAATAGAAATTGAATTCCTTTACACGTGTACCAGATTATATTGCATATCTGGCCTACATCTTAACCGCTCTCCCCCAAGAGGAAGACCAAATCCGCACGATAGCTGGATATCTATTGAAGAATAACGCGCGTCTCCTCCTTAGCGTATCTCCGGAGGTGGCAGAATATGCAAAGTCGGCTGTTCTTCAAGCTTTCGTCACCTCTCCTCCTTTGATAAGGAATGCTGCAGGCCATGATATCGTTGCATTCCTTGGTGCTCTCGAGCCTAGAAATTGGCCAGATTGCTTGCAGCAGTTGGTGAATATGCTAGACTCCCCTGATCCAGCTCTCCAGGAGGTGAGTGTCCGAATGATGGTATTCCGAGCCTGGAACATGGGACCGCGTCAGAGCAATTGTCTTCCCATAAATATCGACGTGCTTGATAATCGGGCGAAGCCTATGCGAGTGCAGCTCTGCCTCGGCAGCTCTCCTCATCGAATGTCGCATTTAATCAAACGTGACTTTATGCTAAACCCGAATATCTCCAAAGCACGCGGCTTTTATATCCCATCATTATCTGTGTCACTATTCGATTACGAATGCTGAAAATTACTACCCAGGCCGCTTTCAGCGTTTTTGAGAAAGCTTGCGAGGACTTCCCTCGCAAAATGGATGTTGAGATTAACGGAACGCGTCCTCTGGATTACATGATCCCCAAATTCCTCGTGCTATCGGAGCACCCAATGCCAAAAATGCGATCACATGCCGTTGCCTGTCTTTCATATTTTGTGCCCATTAATTCTCAATCCCTTTTCGCTCACATCGACACCTTCATCGCTTGCCTCTTCAAGCGTGCATCTGACGAGGATCCATCTGTCCGAAGGCATGTCTGCCAGGCCCTTGTATTGCTTCTTGCAGCCCGCCCTGAGAAGTTAATGCCGGAAATGTCAAATGTCGCAGAGTACATGTTATACTCGACGAAAGATAAGAATGAAAGCGTGGCCCTCGAAGCCTGCGAGTTCTGGCTCACTTTCGCCGAAGATCCTGACCTCGCAGCATTCCTCCATCCTCTCCTAGGTCGAGTTGCCCCGGTGTTGCTCGATTGTATGATTTACGGAGAGGACGATCTTCTCTGGCTCGATGGCGACGCAGAAGATACCAATGTCCCCGACAAGGAAACTGATATCAAGCCACGGCATTATGGGGGTAAAACACACGGTCTAGATCGGGATCAGGCCCAAGCCAATGGACAGGAGCGGAAGCGAGGGGCGTATGGGGAGGAGACATTGGACGATGAGGAAGAAGATGATTACGATCTTGATGACGATGATTTTGCTGATGAGATGTCTACGGAGTGGAACTTGAGGAAATGCGCTGCTGCTGCGCTGGATGTGCTGGCTGTGAGGTTTGGGTCCGAGTTACTTAACGTGCTTCTTGGTCCCTTGAAGAATAAACTCTGGAGTGCTGAGTGGTTAGAGAGGGAAAGTGGCATATTGGCATTAGGCGCGATGGCAGAAGGTGCTAGTGATTCTTATCCGATGGTCGCATATTGATTTTATTCCTCAAGGCTGCATTGACGCGATCGAGCCTCATTTGACAACCCTCGTCCCATATCTAATCAACACACTCAATGACCCTAAGGTACGATGTTGCCCTGTTACTATGTAGGATGATTGACGAATAAGTGTATAGCCCCTTGTTCGATCGATCGCCTGCTGGACATTGGGTCGGTATGCAAGCTGGTGTACACAACCTATATCGGAGCAACATAAGAACTTATACTTCGTCCCGACAATGGAAGGCGTGCGTATTTTCTACTTCGCATGTGATTGTGATGACTTAAAGACTCTAGCTTTTGCGAATGGTCCTGGATGACAACAAACGTGTACAAGAAGCAGGATGTAGCGCATTTGCAACGTTAGAGGAAGATGCCGGGCCCGAGCTTGTGCCCTATTTGGAACCTGTCCTCCGGAATCTGGTGTTCGCATTCGAAAAATATCAGCACAAGAATACGCTCATATTGTATGATGCTGTTGGCACATTAGCGGACGCCGTCGGCAGGGCATTGCAGAATCCCGCATATGTGGAAATCTTGATGCCCCCTCTGACATCTCGATGGGCCAAATTGTCAGACGGCGACGATGATTTGATTCCGCTTCTTGAGGTATGACCTTGATCTATTTGTTAATACTTTGAGTTCTCATGATTTGTTATCTATCCCAGTGCATTGCGTCTGTCACAATTGCCATGGGACCAGCATTTTCTCCTTACGCACTACCGGTCTTCCAGCGCTGCGTGAACATCATCCACCAGTCTCTGCTCCAGTATCAAGCATACCAGCAGAACCCCGACCTTGATGAGCCTGACAAATCCTTCCTTGTGGTATCACTGGATCTGCTATCGGGCCTTGCCCAGGGCATGGGCATGCATCTAGAGTCTCTCATCGGGCAGACAACTCCGAACCTTCTTCAGCTCCTGACGGTGTGTCTCAAACACCCTCAGGCACCGGTCCGTCAGAGTGCGTATGCTCTCGTTGGGGATCTTGCGATGGGCTGCTTCCAGCTTCTACGCCCTCATCTGCCTGCCATTATGGCGGAACTTATCGAACAACTTGACCCTGAGCCCAAGGTTGAGTTCATTAGTGCATGCAATAACGCAGCTTGGTCTGTCGGGGAAGTAGCGTTGCGCTATGGACGTGGTGAGTAGACTTGCTCGTTCTCAATACTGAGTCACTAGACACGCCATTTTCTAGACGATCCGGAGTTCCAGCAATGGGTTAACCCTCTCATTGCGCGCCTCATTCCTATCTTGCTGCACCCGAAGGCTCCACGCAGCCTTCACGAGAACGCTGCTGTGTCCATTGGGAGGATTGGGCTGATGCACCCCAGCATTGTCGCTCCCCATTTGCCTGAGTTTGCACAAGCATGGTGCTTGGCCTTGTATGAGATCCGTGATAATGAAGAAAAAGACTCCGCGTTCCGCGGTCTATGCACTCTCGTGCAGACCAACCCAGCGGGCATTGCCAAGGTATGTCGAAGTTCCTATTTTGTCAGTGTACGATTATACTGATTTTTTCAAACGCAGAGCCTTCTCTGGTTCTGCAATGCCATCATCAGGTGGCATCAACCTTCCGCAGAGCTGAATTCGATGTTCCAACAACTTTTGTCTGGTTTCAAGCACCACGATGAGGCAGGTTGGGCCGCACAGGTTTCGAGCTTCCCTCCTGTAATCCAGGAGCGCCTCGCTACGCGATATGGTGTATAGTTTACTCTTGTGACGTATGTATCACCAAAATAACCCGACATCTCATTGTATTTCGGCATCCTTTTGTTCATTGCGTCCTCTATCTCTGTTGTTCCGGATCTTCTAGTAGCAGTAGTATTTCTTTCATCAGCAATTTGCGTGTGTCTCTGTAGTTACATAAATACCTACGTCCTCTCGCTCAGTCTGCCTCTTGTATATCTTTTACGTAGCATTAGTCGTAGTAGTAGTAGTACTTAGCTTTTCTGTCATCGGCATTACACTTTAGTAGATAGTAGTACTTATGTAGTAGATCGTACAAACACTGAGTTCAGCTGACATCAATACGATACAATCTTGATGGAATCAAAATCTGGTCCGCAAGATCTGCAAACCCATCTCCCCCGGTGATTTCATTGAATGAAGTCTGAATGTACATGAGCTCGACATAATCCATCAGAACCGCCTCCGGCTCTCGTAACCCAAGCCCCCAAATGGAGAACCTCCGTAACCCCTCGTCTTATTAAGCGTGTAGGTTTTATACCCATATGAAGCACCTACACAAACGGCCACAAAGAGCAGCAATTTGAAGATGAAGGCGAGCAACGAGCCGCCTGTCGACTTAGGCTTGCTCAAAGACGCGCCCCTCCCGCTGCCGCCGCCAAACCTGTTGCGCTGCGCATCAGAGGCCGACAGAATTGCCGACCATGTCGTCACGGAAATGACACTGAGGAGCGTGTTAGCGGGAGGCACCTGTAGGCGAATGTAATACGCACTCATGCGAATCATATACTTCGCCTGTCATCGCGGTGATGCCGATGTATGGAGCGGAAGGAAGACTTGTGCCCGTAAGGCGGAAACAGTCAGACCAGTCATCCCCTGGGTGTTTGTCAGAGTTAATTCTACGATCAAAAAAAAGTGCGCACAGGCTCGATAGTGGACCTTTACCTATTTTACAATTAGGTGAGAAAGAGAGGGATGATAATACAAGCATCCATACGTACATCAAGATAGGTATCCTTCACGTAGGTGATTTTAAGCTTTGTGATCACGTTCGTACGACGGAAATTGGCTGAACACGAGCCTATGCTGTTAGCTTCACCATCATGCGCTTGGTCGTAGGACGTCTGGCCATCCCCCAACATTGCAATAACGCGGGGAAAGCCATACGGATGCCGGGAGTTTGCATAACTGCATCATAGGTAAGAAGGGAAACACAATGGTCTGGTGACTCACGTGTCCAAAAAGATACCAAGCCCTTCAAAGTTATCTGGAAGGGGAACAGCGTCAAAGAAAGCTGACCATAGTAAGACTGGAACTAACCTTTACTGCCGAAGACAGGGCCTGGTTCAGCTCGGTCCTTTGTGAGCCAGATAGCCATCCCATCTCCGTAGAGGTGTGTTGATTCACCAGTGATCTGATAACGCGTTTGAGCATGCTAAAAATCAGAATATTGTCGCTTACTTTAAATTCTACCTCAATAATAAAATTGGAAGCAGTGAGTGGCATGCGTGACCAGAGCCATCCCTAATATAAAACATGAATTGAAGAGAGGTTCGGATAACGTGTCTAGCGCACCATTTGAGACGGCCGAGCACGCGCCAGACGAATATGTTTGTTGGTGTTCTATGTGGCATTAGAAATATAGGAAGTCGGTTTCGAAAACTGACTGTACTCACAATATATGCATCTGCACCAAAATCCCACCAACTGAAATTTAAGTAGGTATAAGACTGCATCTTGATCGCAAAACATCTTTGTCTCACCGATTTTGTAGGTCTTGATCGATGTATGGAGGAAATATTGAATGTGTACGAAGCTGTATGGTCTTGGGTGGATGAAAACAATGAGATATTCTGGTTTTGCGCACTGACGGAGAGAAGTGAAGCAAGCCCAAAACAAGGTTGTTCCTGCTCACACGTCACAAATGTTACAACTCACTCGGTCAATCGTTTTGTTGTTCACCGTCGTGTCCGCTTTACCGAGGACGCATGGGAGGCTTGCAAACAGTACATATGCAAGATAGCATACGGAAAAGTAGCGTATCATTGCAAACCGTGAGCTGAAGAGAGAAGTGGTGTTCTCGGAGTCGCGCGTCGTGTGTGCGGGATGCTTGCCGCAACCTATACAATGTATGCTCAAGTGCCGTGGTGCCGGTATTCTTCAAAGTCCGACGAAAATGTAAACATGTACAAGCAACACATTTTGCGGAGTACTCTTAAATTTTACATCTATGGACACTTTTTCTCGAGTGAAGCGAAGAGAAAGTAAGGTCTGACAACCCAGGCTAACCACCACCCGTATTCAGCGCTGCAGCCGCTGTCCCCCGAAGTAAGGCGCTGCTACAGCTAAAGGTTTTACTACAATGATATCGATTCGAATACATTTACGGGCACTTTCCCGAGTGAAGCGAAGAGAATATAAGGTCTATGACAGCTCCCGCTGTCCCGACTCCCCTAAGTTTAAGCGCTGTTACAACTAGAGGCTAGTAGAGCAGTAGGGCAGCCTGCGAAAGGGGGCTACCGCTACCTTGACCGCTTGCACTATTCTAGTTCTATGTAGCTCTTAGTATGTGGATGGGAGTAGTAAATGGTCCGTGTACGGGTCCCCTCAGATGGCAGCCAGGCTGCTGTTCGAACTCATGACCCACTCATGGAAAGGCCTAGCTAGTATAGGTGGGTTATATTATGTATCGTAGTCACGAGCCTTGTGTCTAGGCCGTCAGGCCCTGAGACATGATAAGATCTACACGGGATCAGTCTGAATTCGAGCCGACCAGGCTCGGACTTCCAGGTATCCATATAGACTAAGCTTAGACATAAATTAAAATCTCTGGTCATGAGATAGACATGGAAGGCCCGAGCTCCTACGTCTCAGGTGTCCGAGTCATCCTTCTCTCAATGATTGTGCAAGTGCATCCGCACCTCCACGACACTAGATTTGTGCATTTTGTGTCTTAGTGACAGATCTACGGCTGAAAAATCAACAGTCACGATAAGATGAATCCTAGGCATTGATAACATGATTTAATTCTGCTCTTGCTGAATATTAATTTTTATACTGTGAGCAATTCGAGTTGAACAGTGGCCACATTCCCTAGAGGGAACAAGAAAAGCTCAAGGGACGGGTGATTTTATAGCGCCTGGCAGATATGGACATGGTATATCGCTACAAGTAATATAAACATAATAGCTAGTGCTCTACTTCGAAATGTGAACAATATACAGAAAATTAAGAAGTACCACAAGAAAGATATCCATCATGAAGACGACCTCTCAGACATGAGCTCCTCCAGCTTGTACCTTTTCAAGGTAGCATGGAATTTGATATACCCATCAAAAAATCTGACATAAGCGTTATACGCTTCAGGACGCGGTCTCAGGAATTCGAGGACATTGTGATGCGCTTGCACAGTTTTCTCGATAAGGTCACGGAGAGCGTCCTGTTTGGTGAGAGCACGGGATGCTGCCATAAGCGATAGGTAGTTTACGGAGTCGCCTTCTAGCTCCTCTTTGTAGTATGACAATATATCACTATATCATGGCGGGTTAGAAAGGTTAATAGAAAATCATCCGTGTACTTACTTTGTGTGGTTTATGACTATGGATAGATCCGGAATGCACTGAACGTATTCCCGAAGCGGGAGTGTGGAAGGAAAAATGCAGAGTCCGTATGTAACCGACAAGCCTGATAGCATCCTAGAAAACTCAGGGTACGAGGGAGCCTGCGGCGAGATCTGTTCACGCAAAGGGTAAATATTAAATCTGCTTTTAAGAAGAAATATCATACCGGCATGTCTTCGGTCTCATTGTCAAGTATAATGGAAGTCATGAAGTCAAGCGAGGACGTGACGATAAAATTTGACACCGGTGCAGAATAATGGCAAGTGACCTCCCGCATGAGCTCATCAAGCATATTCATAACTGGATGCAAATGTGGCTGGCAATTCGCAAACCGCTCGTTGAAACAGTACAGATGCACTAGATCTTCCGCCCTGATCATTATGTCGTCGACGCAAGTGCATGCGACGGTGAAGAGGCAGATCCATATCTTTGTTGCACGGTCTTGGAGGTGGTTGTAAGCATTGGACATTATGGCTACGCCAACGGGCATGTATGGGAGGATGGCGTCCATCGGATAGCCGCGGTTGATGGCTTCCTGAGTGCATTCGGAGTACCACGCTTCGTCAAGTGCGATATTCTTATATTGCAAGCCACAACGCTGGTAAAAATCGGCGACGGACTGGCGGATCGCTAGAGCCTATATTCGTCATTAAAATCAGGATATGGAAGCGTTCAAAACACAAGCACGTACTGTGCCATCGAGGGTGGATGTGTACAGGTTGTTCATTGTTATTATGAGAACTTGTTAGAGAGAAAATTGAGGAGAATGGCTGTTATGGGCTGCATGTAGCCTGTACTTATAATTTGTGAACCTTGTACGCTATGCAGGTCAAGTTCCCGGCACCCGAGACTACATGATCGCATGCTGTGACTGGAAGCGATCGTTATCGTTGAGATTTTGCCCGATATGAAGTGGCAACGTTAAAGCATCACAGCTCGCTTGGGGACAACGTGATTTTTAGCTAGTGATTGCTAAGTCGCCTAGCGCCATCGGAGATTACAAGACCGTACTGTTCGAGTCTGTCAACCAAGGGTAATGTAACTGCCGAATGGTGGAAGTGAACCTTGTATCTGACGCCCAATGGTGTTGTTCTTTTTATGGTCACGGCCCGGGGTATGACAACGACTTGATGCTTGCTTATAGCAAGGACATAATTTGCGCCATGTAGTGCCAGGCTGAAAACTCGGCAGTAATGCGACCCGGCGTGCCAGCAGAACAACCAGATGAGTGCGCTGAATCAAAGACCTGAATAATGAAAGAATTGACCATTTAGTGAGTACTGATACACATCCGACACTGAAGAGTACCTAAAAGAATTGAACAGCGCTAGTGCGACGTTAATGGAAGCTGATTCTGATACCAAACGGGCAAGCGCTCGGGAACAGACACCGTATCCCATGACTAGTTTATGACAAAAACTTCCCATTCTTCGTCCAATGATACCTGAATACTTGCCCAGCGCTGATTCATGAACAACTGAGCTCTCAGTAGATAAGGAGTGGCCGAATATAATTTATATGACGGTATATTCAAAAGCCCAGCCCAACAGCGGAATTAAGCTTTTGACAACTTACAAAATCACGTTTAACGACATTGCTAGCTGGCATACATCGTTGCAATCTCTCAATTGAACGCAAGAGCGTAAGGTGTGTCAACAATGACATACGTTTACTAGTGAGCAAAGCCGAGGAGGCCCCGGACGAGTTTATACATTCTGTAATGAAGTTCACATTAATGATAAGAGAATTGCGAGTATGACGGACCGCCCTATACATATACCACACGGCACACTCGGTGAGCTGCTAGCCGCCGCTTGCTGGTGTCGCCCGGGGGAAATATCCCTTATGCGACAAAATCTACTGAGTGTCCGACATGGGTAGAATTTTTACTTTTGGGGTAGTCCTTTGGAGTCGTAGAACCTGTGCTTCACCCCTCGTATATGGGCAGAGGAGCTTGCGTGGATCAGGACTCGGGTACAGCGGTGCGAGTAGCACCCGGGCATATATGGACTTCGGTCACCCTTCCCACTTTAGTGCTCAGCGCTCAGGCTCGTTGAGTGGTTAGTGCGGGGGATAGAACTACTTGGAGTCAGTTCTGCCGGTCAAATTATTCCAACCGGCAGAACTCGCAAAGCTCTGGGTTATGACATTCCTAATGATGACATGAATGACGAGTGTAATTGAACACGTGCACCACAGCGTATCTGTAGAATGACTGTGTCTTTGAGGTTTGAAGGCTTCCTTGTCCAAGCTTGCCGCGGCTCCGGTTTCATCTTGAACCGCAAGCTCAGAATTGTCCCCAGTGTCACGACGCTGTGGTACACGCTGTTTATGATGATATTGATCACCGAGAAATAGCTAGAAACTATGGCTCAATAGATGCCCTGGCGGTGGGATCCGCGCTGGACCTGACGCCGATTCAGCTGAGACATGTGACATGTTTAACTCACTAACGAACTATGAGCTACCAAGGTAGTGACTCAAATATCTCGCTTGCTATGCACTGCAAAGTTCTATGATCTCCGAAGTATACGTGAACGCGCAAGAGTGGTTCGTAATAACCAAAGCTCTGATTAACGACATGTCGAACTCTGATAGACCAAAATACGCCAACTCATGCCGGAAGTTCGAATTTCTGGCCGTGGAGGACTCTGGGAATGACATCATTGGTAAGCATACGTTTGGCGCAGGAATCATGAAAGACTCACTTTGTAAAGTAGACGTAGAAGAAGTCGAGGTAAAGTCCGGTTTGCACCAGTCCAGCTGTGACAGCTATGGGATCCACTACGTCCTCAGTAAAGTATCTGGAGGGCGAAATCGGTCAATCATGAACAAAATCCAATGGACGCGTGCGTACCTATATATCCAGTTGGGGAGGTACAGAGCACGATAAAGACCCAAAGCAGCCAGGTAGTGCGTTGTAATAGTCTCCGCCTCGCCAGTACGCTGCAACATGAACAACTGGGGAAAAATGGCGACAGATTCGAGATATATAGAGAATGTCCAGAGAATTTCGGTTGGCTCGAATGCGTAGTTGAATATCAGCGATAGAACAAAGGATGGCCCAAGAAGATATTCAACCTTGAACGTGTCAATGGAAGGGTCATGCGTTGGGCTGTCAAAACCACGGTCAACATTCACACAAAAGGCGGACATCAGTGAATACATACCGGAAACGGTATTTCATGAGGTAGAGAATGTAACAACTACTGCTTATAAAGAATATCTTCATCACGAAGTTGTAAACAGATACCCAGCGGAATAGCAGGTCAATGTAGCGTGTCACGAATACGAGGGCGTAGAGAGCCTGTGTCTTGAAGGAAATACCTAGTAGGCATACAAGTGACACGCCTGAGCAAGGACAAATCAGTAAATCTAAAGAAAACCCACCCCTGCATGACCTGGTCGTCTGAATCTTCTGAATAAGGATGAATATGGAGGCCAAGTGAGCCAAATCCCCTACAACCACGACCTGTTAGCTTTCCAGACAGCTTACACAGCGCGAACGCGAACCAAACAACCGGAAGATATTCATGTTTTGACGTGTCCACTCCTATATCCTCCAACGTGCTGCAGTTTTCTGAATGATAGTCCTAAAATTTGAGCGTCGTGAAGAAAGTGTAGGAGATTAACGTGCCGACGTGTTCAAACAGTTGCTGGCATGAGGCAAAATATTCACACGCCTTCTCTCCTTCAATCCCAGGGCTGGACGCCTTGCCATTGGCCAAGTGCCTTTATCTCATGCTGGACGACGGCTTCCAGCCTTATAACCTCGTATTATTGACGACAAGAGCTTCTCTGGCTTCTAGCAAGCATTTTTGTCTCACATAGATAGGCAAGTGATCCTACCTTTCTCTTGTTTGCAACGATGTCCTAGTAAAAGGGTCGACCTTGACCGTAATGCGCCCTGTCCATGGCTCTTGAGCCCAGATGTGTCTGTTTCCCATTGCCTTGCCCAAACTTGCCGCATTGCATTGTAAGGCCAGACCGACATTGTGTGGCTCTCATTGGCTGGCGAGACTGAAAGGCCCACAGCTCGCTAGCAAAGGCAGAGCCGTCACTTCGCAGTCATTTGTATATTTTGCAGTCCTAGATGATTGCAAAAATGCAGACGAATTGCAGCGTTTTAGCCGAGCCCTGGCAGCAGAGAATTTGTCTGTCATGGGTGGTCTCTAGATGTGGATTTCTATTAAACGCAAGATCTGCCTGTCTTTGCACGGGTACGCACATTATAAAGTACCCACACTCAAGATATATGTTTGGGTGCGTGGTTATGTGCGAACAAACTGCAGGCACGAGTTCCAGTGGACATGTGGCGCACCTAGTCAAGGACATGAGATCATTCTGGCTGCTTGCAGCCCTGAGCTTCCTGGTTTTCATTGATGCTCATCCTTACAGTTTGACTGATGCAAACTATAGTACATCTAGATCACCTATTCATGTCCGCAGCACTCTTCCGCATTGTTGGCTGGTCGTACCTCCCAGATTTTGCAACAAAACAAGCTCTTCGTGTAATTCACCGGACATCTTCTAGCATCTTTCACCGGCCTCCGCCTGATCCACGAACACCTATTTATGCATTACACTATCGACTTACTTTTGCCACGGTTGTCCTTTGTTATCTCATCTATAATTTCTTGGATGCTTCTGGACGTATCACACACAACTTTTACGAGCTTCTCGGCGTATATCCGAACTCTAGCGATGCTACCCTAAAAACGGCATTTCGCGGATTCGCAAGGAAATATCACCCAGATCGAGCAGGTCCATCAGGAGAAGCACTGTTCATCGAGGTAAGAGACGCTTTTGAAGCCTTGAAAGACCCGGTGGTCAGGTTTGCGTACGACAGGTAGGTGGTCTTGAGAGCGATATGGCTTTGTCACCTTACATTTATATTTCAGATTTGGACCTGATGTCCTGGAGTGGAAAGAGTGTACAACAATGCGCGAGTATCTCCGACGTGGGCTTCTGAGCTCATCATTGTACCACATCATGACTGGTGCTGGTCTCATTCTTTTCTCAGCTATCGGAAAGTCCAGTCCAATAGCAGCAGTGAGTATCCAGGATACTTGCTGTGCTGCCCATTTTGACCAGCTTCCTTGTGCCTGTTTCAAGTGGCGTTATCTTCTTTTCCTTTGCCTTTTCGCATCCGAGCTTTATCTCCTCCTTGCCCCCTCGCCCTCCACACTACCACCGAGCCCCTTTGTTGATGCATCAACCTCGCATACCACAATCCTCGATGTTATATTTCCTAAACGGACTGTATACCAGCATATTCTCCTCCTCCATCAGGTCTTCTTTTTCCTTTCAGTTGCATTGTCCCGTGTAGCTCCGGTCCTTTTTCCCTCGCTGATGCGGGGAGATCCTGTCATGGATCAGCAGATCGTACGCGCTATGGCTGAGAGACTTGGTGCGTTGGCAAAGACAACAGAACGGGAGTGTAAGTGGGTTATTACCTTTCTTGGCACATCCATTAAGTTTCTGGTATACACCAATATTTCTTTGGACTCTAGTTTCGATTATGCTGGATACGGAATTGCTCGCAATCCACGAAACGCCTATGGCCACTTCTGAGTTGAGCACGCTACCTCGGCCGCGTGAGATGCTCAACAGTGATATCATGCATACTTTGACCATGGAAATGGAAGATGTCGTTGTGGAGAACAAGCTGAAGTCGGAAGTCGGGCCTGTGAAGACTGCATGGGACTTGGCTGTTGACAAAGAGATGAAGAGAGTTCAAGATCAGCAATTACAAGAAATAGTGGATAAACTGCCGTCACCACCTCCAGAAACAGGTCGAGGGAAGATACACGTCCGCGCTCGATCTTTATCATTTTAACCCCTTCAAGTATTTTAAAACTTTGCCAAGGTTGGCCCGTCCAATCATTTGTCACACCGACAGACGATTATCAGTTTTGTTTGAGAATCTCATGGCAGTAACGAGAGATCCTGTGTAGATCCGCAAGTACCTGAATGCAGGTAAAGGGTGACCTGGAAAATGAGGGTTCTGATGCCCTGAGGCCAACACGACTCACCTGCAAGCAAAACATGCACGATGAAGGTGTTTGCTTCATGGCTCGCCTTGATGCAAAAGCATGTAGAGTGACTCTTGAGTTATTAGCCATACAGTCTGCCTCGATCAAACTTGGTTATCTCGGAGTGACATCCAAGAAAACGGGGTCGGATCTGCTCCCCGACGTCACGGCATGGTTATCCATATGGTAGATTTTGAAAAGAAAGGTTAAAGAAAATTGCGTTATTTTTGTGTTTAAAAAATACGGACCTATGGGTTGATTTTACCTAAGGATCCACAAAGAGTGGCTCACACTGCTACTTATACAACAGTCGCCGCACCCCCATTCAAATTACATGAAACCTCTTTTCTTTCCTCCCCCTTCTATTCAAACGTCATGGAGGGAGATTCTCAACACGCCGAGACATCAGCAACAGGTGCTAAACGCCAACGATTGAGCTCAGATGCTAGAAAGCTCCTAAAAGGTCTGTCATCCTCCATCCATTCACACAAAGAAAAATGGTTTGCCCAGTTGTGCCTCTGCTGAGGCACAGTGGCATGTTAGACCCAATACTAGACTCTATAGGCGCGCTGACCCTTTCTATCCAGATTTCGCCGAGCATGTCTCATTGCATCCTGATTCATACCAAAGACAACACTTGCTTGACCAGGTGCGACGCTTGCACGGATGTGGACAGACCGATGCCAAACATATAAACTCGTGGTTTGCACGCTACCGCGCTTCCGTGAGGAAGAAATCAACGCAAGATGACGACAATATCCGTGCGTGTTCTTGCTCCCGAACACCCCCATGTATGCATCTTGATTTACACCATGATCTTGCCGACCAGTGTTTCCGGATTTCACGTCAGAGCAACTCGATGTACTAAGGCCGTTGATGCGAAACAATCCGTTCCCCAAGAAAGAAATGGTGGACATCTGGTCTGTATGCATCAAGGCAGAACCCGAGCAAGTAAACAAGTGGGTCTCATATCATCAAGCAAAGGCCGCGCCACCGACACTGCGAGGGACGTCGGAACAGTCTATGAGTGTATCGCCCACCGCACCACTTCCTCATCTTCCTACACCTGCAAGGTCACTATCACCTGCTCATGCTCGCGGCATGTCATTACCATTGATTGCAACAAAGGATGAACCTCCCCCCACCAGTCCTTTATGGCCCACTCCCGCAACATCTGTATCACACACGAGCTCGCCGCAGCATGCGACGGTGGGTTCAGACGTCCTTGATGAACTCCACCCGCCTTTTACGCGAAGGCCTTCTTTAAATGGTCCCCCACCTGTGAGTACTACTTACAGCAGCCATAGCACATTCTGTAACTAAACATATTTTTAGCTGCGTGGTGTTCCTGCAACGATATTATCTCCAGCAAAGCAATTGGCAAAAGACATAAATGATAGCATAACATCACATCGTCCAGGCTCAACACGCAAGCCCTCTACACATGCAGAGTTCAATGATATGTTCAAGCCGTACGAAAAGATAATGACGCAGTTTATTCACGATGTTGAGAGCGGAAAGTTGCAACATTTGGGTTGGGAGCCTGGTGAGTTGATGATTTACTGACTTTCAAGTTGTTGAAGTGATATGCCATCAGGTTTGCGCAAAGCAACATGAATGTATCATCCTGATTGAATCCATTGGAACCACTTGTATCATTATCTCTACTGAGTGCTCGCATGCCTCGTGCAACCATTTTGCTGTCCTTGTCATTTATGTCAATATGACATACGGAGTAGCATGTGAATCTGTTTGGTTCAGCACACTAGTATCATATTGATAGTATAATAATGAAGCACTGGTGGTGATACGGTCTAGGTCTCACTGAGGCCGCCCTGATGATGTGTACTAGTAGGAGCGTCACTGACCAAGTCAGATGCGGCTAACACGCTGATAGTATAAACAAGGATGTGACTATATCCATATCCTCGCTTTTCTCTTTGGCTGTGACAAGCACTGAAGACCAAAACCTCAGATCTGGCGTGTGCCGCATGCGTGCTCTCTTCAAACAAACTTGCAACGCACATCCATTCCGCGCTCCGTCGCAGTCTCGGCATGATGTGTGTGTTTCCAACTTACTCACAATTGTACAATTTCCAGGGATATACATTCTCTTTAATTACAGGCATTCAACTTTGCCTCAGCCGCCCCCAACGTTTCCCGGGGCGGACAGTACTAGAAGTAGCTGTAAGTAGGTTAACAGGACGCGGCACAACTCTACTCTAGATGGACAACATGATGACTGTTCACGTTCTGAAGACGTATAATCGAACAAGGATATATGTCTCCTAATCCTTGTTTTTCCCCTTGGTTGCGACACTCCAAACCTCCTGAACTGAAGACCAATACCTCTCTGGCTCGACTCGGGCGTGCGCTACATGCGCGCTCTCTTCAAACAGCTCGCAACGCACATCCATTCCGTGCTCCTTCGCAATCTCTGCATGTCGTGAGACCTCTTGCCACGAAATCAGTTCATCTCTGCGCGAAAAAAGGTAGAGGCGGGGTGTGTGGAGACCCATCCACGATAGGATTGAGGGATTCCACATTTCGATTTGGAGTTTTTCCAGCATAATCATTTGCTTGCCGAACAACAAAGAGAGCCCGAAGCGGACAGAGTATACTGCGTGTACGATTGCGAGTACGATGTGCCTGGCGATTGGGTTCTGGATGACAGTTCTGACAACGCGTTTGACTGATTTAAGGTCACCTGCTGCGGGGCACGAGTCAAGAATCAATGCGCTCGCAGATGACTCTAGAACTGGTGCGGAACCATATTTCTGCTGCAGCATATGTCCAAGAAGTGTCATTTGCAGGGAACCTCCTGGTGTTGCCGTACGGAGTTAAGCATTTTCCAAGTTCAACCGGGGAGAAATCACCATTGGAAAACACGTGAGTAAGTATTCGCGCAGGCCGTGGGGCAGGAGAAGATGGTAAGCAATGCAGGGCTTCTAAGGCATCGATGACAGGCTTGAGCTTCCGAGACTTTCGATTGTAAGGCCACAAGACAACAGTGAACAATTATCATTGTGAGGCGCTCACCCTAGTACTGGTTGTAGTCCAGAGCAAGTCGGCATTGCACTGAACAACGATCTGAGATGCTTTTGGGTACAGTTTGGCATATGCACTGATATAATTCCGCAAGTGCCTAGGATGTGCTCCCACTGTGGACAATACTCATTAGACATGAAGTACAAGAAGGCAAACTCGGGAATTTACGCCATCCGAATATCAAAATGACGCTACAAATATACATCAGCTATCTTATTCAATAACGGAGTCCGACTCACTTTGGACATTTAGTATCCTGACATTGTTCGTGACTATCCCGGAGATATATCCCAGTGCCAATCGTACGGAAGCCTTCCAGAGAACAAACTGTAGACCGCGACAGACTTGGTACTGTAGCAAAACGAAAAGCAAAAAAACGCGGGTGTTTAGGTGAGACACTGAACGACTATAATATTAGTTACCGATTGCGAACCGACCCGGGATCATACTGGTACCGGGAAACGGCGTTTGAGAGCTTGACTTGCCAAGAAAACGACCATATCCGGGAGCACAGCGAGTTTGAAACATGTAATGCGTGTCAGTCAGAACAACCCACTAAGTTAAAAGTGAAATCTATCTTATCGTACGACAACCCTCTACAAGTATTATCTTAACATTTCGCACGACATTCAAGTCTTCAATATGTGTTATGCATTATGTCTGCATTTTCTCTACAGCTAGTATATCGTGTTGGCTATTTTAATCGATATCTCAACCCTAGAATGTGCATCTGAGCGCTCCCAGTGTACAAATCTCACGCACACTGTCAATGAGGCTATGGCCTGGGGTAGCTCGGTATTTTGCGAGTCGCTTCTATGCTGTCCCTGAACTCATTGCTGTATGCATCCTTGGTTCCCCCCTTTATAATCCTTCAAAAAGTCACAGGTATTACAGTGTTTCCTGACCCCCAGCACACGTCTTATTCTCAAGTGTTAGTTTAGATCCATCCCTCAGCCATCATTATGGCCCGTCGTCGACGTGTCACCTTCGAGTCTTCAAACTCGTCAGAATCAGACTCTGATTCTGAACTTTCTTCAGCGTCATCGCGCAAACCATCTCCTACTCCTCCAGGAGAGAAATCTGCTTCCGGTGTCGAGCCCTTGGAAGGGACAAAGCGTAAACGTAAGTCGTCAAACAACAAGATGAAGAGTTCAAAGCGTCTTCGGTCGTAAGTTCTTGTGTTGTACAGCACATGTCTCGAGTTAATCTCGCATTTTTAGGCAAAAAAAGGATGAGTAAGCACATACAGCTCTGATCATTTAAATACATAACAATATGCATATTGTTTAGTCAGGAGACAAGCCACCCAGGATATACCCAGGATCCGGGTGAGGTACACCTGAGTGAAGTGCAACAAGTCCTCATTACCAGTATGTAATATCGATCTCTGTTTAGCACATATTGACAATTTCCAAGCCATTCGCGCAACTGATGTCACCCTTGGTCTCCGACGGATCCCCGCTGGGTTCCACGCGGTGATCAAGGCTGACAGTGTTGAATACCAGACAAGCAATAAGTTTGTACACGTAGATCAGGCTTTCGTCGAATGGCACGAGCACATTCTTCTGTGAGTGATCCTTAACCCCGTCTGTCCTGCAGTTTTGAGAAAGACTCTAGGCCGCGCGAGCCATCTTCTAAAGTTCGGGTCAGCGTGTATGCTTCATTTGAATCAGGTCACATGGTCTGTCACGGAGAACTCCTGCGCACATTCGAGACCTCCGTTGGTGAACTACTGGATCTCAGCGAAAAATCGCATCGTCAGTATTGTCTATTAAAGAAGCACCTAACAAATACTAACGAGTATCACAGCCATAATCTTTGAGCCAAAGGAGGAGGAAGTCGTATCCTCTCGTACTTCACTTTTTATGACTGTGGAGCAGCAGCTTCCTGACCAAATCGACGCCGCAGGTCTCTGCCCCCTTGCTACCGTGAGTGGTCGATGCAGTCGGACACTCTGATGCTGAGACGTGTAACATGTAGCCTACATCACGCGATATGGATTCATTAGCACTAGAGACTGATGCCGGACATCGTCTTCTCGCACAATATCGCAGGATGCAGAACGGCGGGGATCTCGGCCAATCCGTAAACCATTTTGAACGCGCCTTGAATCTCTGCCCCATGGACCATCCCTACCGCCCTGCAGCACTATTCAATATAGCCACCGCAAAGTTTACTAGTTGCCAAGCTGATGGGATATACCTCTACCTCGACATTCCTATCTCTCTTTTTCAAGTTGCCCTTGATTTGCGTCCCGCGGGTCATCCAGATCGACCTACCACTCAACTCCATCTTGCCATTTCTCTGCTCTCTCGCTTCGCGAAACACGGCTTTCAAACAGATGCCGACACAGCTAAAGAGTTACTGAGCGACGTCCTCAATGTCTGCCACTTCAACAGCCACATTTACAGAGCAGCTCTAGTTACAATTGAAACATCTGCTCTGCGTTCTGCCGGAAACATCGATGCAAATGATTTTGAGCAGGAGCAGCGGGCAGCATCTGTGCTTCCTTTATCGCCGGATCAACTTGTTGATAGAGTAGAGAGATGTTTGCAGAGAGATAAACCCCGTGACTTAGATGAAGTAATATCCCTTCATTTTGATGTACTGGGATATTACAACACCGGGCATGCTTGTCGAGCACAGCTGCTAAGCAATTTAGCTGTTATGCTGCGAACTCGCTTCGAGCGTGGAGGCCAAAGCAAAGACTTGGATCAGGCTATCGCACTTCACAAGGAAGCACTATCCTTGCGCCCGGTTGGTCACACAGATCGGTCCATGTCATTAAATAACCTCGCGACTGAATTCTCCTTCCGCTTTAAGCACCGAGGCGACGACGAAGACTTAGATCAGGCTATTGCACTGCACACGGAAGCGCTGACCTTGTGCCCAGTCGGTCACACGGATCGGTCCACGTCATTAAATGGCCTCGCGAATCGACTGTCTTCCCGCTTTGAGCACAGAGGCAACGAGGAAGACTTGGATCAGGCTATCGCACTTCATACAGAAGCACTGGCCTTGAGCCCCGTCGGTCATACAGATCGGCCCACATCATTAAATGACCTCGCGAGTCAACTCTCCTCCCGTTTTCAGCACCGAGGCAACGAGGAAGATTTGGATCAGTCTATCACACTTCACATGGAAGCGCTGGCCTTGCGCCCCATCGGTCACACAGATCGGTCTATGTCATTAAATAACCTTGCGAATCAACTCTCCTCCCAGTTTCACCACCGAGGCAACGAGGAAGACTTGGATCAGTCTATCGCACTTCACACGGAAGCGCTGGTATTGCGCCCCGTCGGTCACACAGATCGGTCCACGTCATTAAATAACCTCGCGAATCAACTCTCCTCCCGTTTTCAGCACCGAGGCAATGACGAAGACTTGGATCAGGCTATCGCACTTTACACGGAAGCGCTGGCCTTGTGCCCCGTCGGTCACACAGATCGGTTCATGCCACTAAATAACCTCGCACTTGAAATCTCATCCCGCTTTGAGTACCGAGGCGACGACGAAGACTTAGATCAGGCTATTGCACTGCACACGGAAGCCCTGACCTTGTGCCCAGTCGGTCACACGGATCGGTCCATGTCATTAAATAATCTTGCGAAAGCACTCTCCTCCCGCTTTGAGCACCGAGGCAACGATGAAGACTTGGATCAGACTATTGGATTTCATACGGAAGCACTGGCCTTGTGCTCCGTCGGTCACACAGATCGGTCCACATTATTATATAACCTTGCGAATGATCTCTCCGTCCGCTTCGGCCGCAGAGGCAACGAGGAAGACTTGGATGAGGCTATCGCACTTCACACGGAAGCGCTGACCTTGCGCCCCGTCGGTCACACAGATCGGTCCATATCATTAAATAAGCTTGCGACTGAACTCTCCTCCCGCTTTGAGCAACGAGGCGACGACGAAGACTTGGATGAGGCTATCGCACTTCACACGGAAGCGCTGGCCTTGAGCCCGGTTGCTCACACCGGTCGATTCCTGTCATTAAGCAACCTCGCGAATCAACTCTCTTCCCGTTTTCAGCACCGAGGTAATGATGAAGACTTGGATCAGTCTATCGCACTTCACACGGAAGCGCTGGCCTTGTGCCCGGTTGGTCACACCGGTCGATCTATGTCATTAAGTAACCTCGCGAATCAACTCTCCTCCCATTTTCAGCACCGAGGCAATGTCGAAGACTTGGATCAGGCTATCGCACTTCACACGGAAGCGCTGGCCTTGTGCCCCGTCGGTCACACCGGTCGGTCTATGTCACTGAATAACCTCGCGAATGAACTCTCCTCCCGCTTTGAGCACCGAGGTAACGAGGAAGACTTGGATCAGGCTATCGCACTTCACACGGAAGCGCTGGCCTTGAGCCCCGTCGGTCACACCGGTCGATCTATGTCATTAAATAACCTCGCGAATCAACTCTCCTCCCGTTTTCAGCACCGAGGCAATGTCGAAGACTTTGATCAGGCTATCGCACTTCACACGGAAGCGCTGGCCTTGCGCCCCGTCGGTCACACAGATCGGTTTATGTCATTAAATAACCTCGCGAATCAACTCTCCTCCCGGTTTCAGCACGGAGGCAACGATGAAGACTTGGACCAGGCTATCGCACTTCACACGGAAGCGCTGGCCTTGTGCCCCGTTGGTCACACTGGTCGATCTATGTCATTAAGTAACCTCGCGAGTCAACTCTCCTTCCGTTTTAAGCACCGAGGCAATGACGAAGACTTGGATCAGACTATCGCACTTCATACGGAAGCGCTGGCCTTGTGCCCCGTCGGTCACACAGATCGGTCTATGTCATTAAATAACCTCGCGACTGAACTGTCCTCCCGCTTCAAGCACCGAGGCAACGAGGAAGACTTGGATCAGGCTATCGCACTTCACACGGAAGCGTTGGCCTTGCGCCCCGTCGGTCACACAGATCGGTTCATGCCACTAAATAACCTCGCAAATCGACTGTCCTCCCGCTTTGAGCACCGAGGTAACGAGGAAGACTTGGATCAGGCTATCGCACTTTACACGGAAGCGCTGGACTTGAGCCCCGTCGGTCACACAGATCGGTTCATATCATTAAATAACCTTGCGAGTGAACTCTCCTCCCGCTTTGAGCACCGAGGCAACGAGGAAGACTTGGATCAGTCTATTGCACTTCACACGGAAGCGCTGGCCTTGCGCCCCGTCGGTCACACAGATCGGTCGATGTCATTAAATAACCTCGCGATTGAACTCTCCTCCCGCTTTAAGTACAGAGGCACCGAGGAAGACTTGGATCAGGCTATCGCACTTTACACGGAAGCGATAGCCTTGCGCCCCGTCGGTCACATAGATCGGTCCATATCATTAAATAACCTCGCGGCTGAACTCTCCTCCCGCTTTAAGCACAGAGGCGACGACCAAGACTTGGATCAGGCTATCGCACTTTACACAGAAGCGCTGGCCTTGCGCCCCGTCGGTCACACCGGTCGGTCTATGTCACTAAATAACCTCGCGAATGAACTCTCCTCCCGCTTTGAGCACCGAGGCAACGAGGAAGAATTGGATCAGGCTATCGCACTTCACACGGAAGCGCTGGCCTTGTTACCCGTCGGTCACACCAGTCGATCCAAATCATTATGTCACCTCTCAAAATCACTCATCTCCCGCTTTGAGCACCGAGGTAACAGAGAAGACCTCGACGAGGCACGAGAGAACCTCTGTTGTGCATTGATTGTCCTGAGGCAACATGATCCTCATCGAATATCAGTCCATGGATTGCTAGCTAATGTCTATCTATCATACCATCGTTCAGGGCTTGATGACATTGGTGCAGGCGAAGATACGGACAGCTTCAATGTTGCTATGCATCACCTCAAGGCGGCAGCAAATGTTGTCTCTGGAGGCCTGCTATCCCGCCTACAAAAAAGCTTCCGCTGGGTTAGCTATGCTGAACAAAACAGACATGATACTCAATTGGAGGCTTATGAGACTTGGATGAGAATCATGGACGCTCACCTGTCCAGGACAGCTTCGCTATCCTCTCGTCATAGGGCCATGAAGGACTTCCCATTGGCACTTGCTGTGGATGCTGCATCGTGTGCTCTTCGTAGCGGTGACGTGTGTCATGCTGTCGAGTTGTTGGAGCAAGGCAGGACTATCATCTGGACCCAGATAACACGACTCCGCATGTCTCTTGACGGTCTCCAGACACGCGGTGATCATGCAGCGGCCCTCTTGAAGAGATTTAGAGACCTTAGCTCCCTCCTCGATCAACCTCCTGCGAGTCATTCAGACGCAACCTCAAGAGTCAACGTAGACGCTGAAGAAACCCGATACAGACGTCTAGTGAAGGAGTGGAATAGTGCTGTAGAAGAGATCCGGAACATCGAGGGCTTCTCTCGCTTCCTCCTCCCCCCTTTATTCTCCGATCTTCAAGAAGCAGCTCGTGAAGGGCCTATCATCGTGCTCATTGGAAGCAAGTCATCTTGCTATGCCATTATCATCCCATATAAGCAAACTCCGATCAGCATTCAACTATCTACCAGTGTTGAGAAGCTTCAGATATTGGTGGACAAACTCCACCGCACAGATAGTCCAGCGCTCAAAAAAGTCTTGATGGAGTTGTGGGATGACGTTGTCCGCCCGGTGGTCGAGAATCTGGACGGAATTGCACCACGAGGTTCTCGAATATGGTGGTGCCCAACATCTGTCTTCAATTTCTTGCCGTTGCATGCTGCAGGCGAGTACAGGAAACAGGGACAGTTCCTTTCACATCTCTACATCTCTTCATACACGCCATCGCTCACTGCGCTGATCAAGGCTCGCAGAAGTCATGAAAGGTCCCCGTCGGTGCCCTTCGTTGCCATTGGTCAGAATCGCCCAGCCGGCGCCTCATTCACTTTGGATGCTGTGGAGCCTGAACTGGAATTGGTGCGGAGCCTTTTGCCCCCTCACCCAACTGTTTCGTTCTCCAAGATAACCAGTATGGATGCCACGAAATCGAGAGCACTGTGCGCATTGCGAGACAATACTTGGCTTCATCTTGCGTGTCACGGGACACAGAACATTGCCGAACCCTTCAAATCGGCCTTTCTTATGCGCGACGAGCCGCTTTCACTCCTCGACATCACACAAACAGATCTGTCTCAGCATCAATTTATATTTCTTTCTGCCTGCGAAACCGCAGTTGGTGACCATAATACTCCTGATGAAGTGATACACCTAGCGGCTGGCCTGCAGTTTGCAGGGGTCAAGAGCGTCATTGGGACATTATGGAAGGTCAATGATAATACCGTGGAACGCTTAGTCAAGGCATTCTACGAAAACTTTTGTGGGGATCGCACGATGAACTCCAAACGAGCTGCCCGGGCGCTGCACCGAGCGGTCTATTCTCTAGGTTCTGACAAAGACATACCTTTGGACCAGCGCATAGTGTTCGTGCATATTGGCATATGATCAATACCGTGTGTCTTCCCTCCTTCTTGATTAAAGTATTTTTGACAACTTTGCGTGTAGCATTCAATCATGGCCACGTAAAACCCTTTGCCAAGGACTTCAATATTTGAAACTATATACCTACACGATATGGACACTTGATTTTGACTTGAGTTTGTATTTTCTAGTTTGTTGCCTCGAAGCTAAAGGTGATCGCTCTTAAGGTGAACTGATGGTTTGTGGGTACTATTAAGATAAAAATAAAGTTGCACAACATTGATCTGACATAACACCTCATGCTCATGTTGCAAGACGCAATTTGCGACGATTAAGGTGTCGAGGCATGAGGGCGTTGAATGCACTCTCACTTACCATCACTGATGTTACGAAAAGGTCGGGGAGTTCTGGCGAGGGGACCAAAGTATGATCATTTTCTGGAGTTTTTCGATTTATGGAGTTTGGTCAAGTTCCTAGATACTGAAGGTACTACCTACGCTAGCAGCATTGGAAACAACTTTATTACATTTTTTATGTGATTGGGATCATCTTCAGATCCCCCCTAAAGGTATTGCCAAGGTACTATGTACACCTGACCAGCTGAAACATATGCTCAATCGCCCAAGTAGAATTCCACCCCCCTTCACAGGCATGATTTGAGTTGCGACTCTTATTGTGCCTCCCACTGCTGCGAGTTGCGCGACCTAGTAGTAATTCCGAATTTGATGAGGGCTTGGAGAGTCATCGAGTCATCCGTGACGGTTCTAAATACTAGGGACTGTATTTTTCATAGTGCCTCGCTACTTTAGATTTGGTATCTCTCGATATCTAGTAAGGCTAGTGTGTAAAGTTTGTGTTTTTTTCCCCGTCTTTACGATGCATTGCTATTATCATTGTTTGGAACTCAGTGATTCATACAATGAGGTATGACAAGCTCACTGGCAGAGGCTTGAGTTAAATAACACCTCAGTGCGGGGCGTTCACTGCTGACTATCCGAGTTCCGGTTGACGTGAATGTAGAGATCGTGACTGTGGCCTTATACACATATGTTTGAGGTGGGTATACAGACCGCGTGACCCGGGGAAGCTCGTCGTCACACAATGGCCATGGCTGAAATACCAAGGATTGAGCGGTTCATTGATTAGTGCGTATGTGCCAAATGCGACACTAAGCCTTCCTGGATCATTGCAGTGTTGCTGACATTTTGCCATTAAAATTGCCCCGTCCAGTGTACATATATCGTGATACCGTTTGCATGGTTGCGTTTGTTGACATACTGAACACCTGACGTACTGAGGCGCTCTTGATGGTGTCAACATTGGTTTCATAAGATGCAGTTAGTTGTTACAGACTCGGATAACATCTTAGGTACATGTAGTCATACCTGATCAAGCCCTGACCCAATCATTGAACAGTGTGGTAAGTGTAAGTGTGACAAGCTGTGGATCAAGATGAACTTTTACGTTGAGAACAGGGCCGACAGAGCATGTGTACGACAGTGGTCGTTCAGGAGATCGTTGAACAAGGAGTCGTTGTACTCATTCGCTTTTGTTTGCGACTTGTTTGGTAAGAACAATACAATCTGGGTCATGCTCGAGAGCGCTCGCTGACATGTGGACTTTGATTGACCAGAGTTCTCATCATTTTTTTTTCTTTCAGTCCTCTGTGTCATAGTCTGTGTTCGGTCTCCTCTTTCTATATTCTACTACTCTGCCGCATGATCAAACGAATGGCTGATAAGATTGGGCAATTTGGCCAGTCTCAGGAGCAGTCTAGTCAACCAGAACTTGCAAACTTGCCTTACTCTTCAATGTCTCATTCGATATCTGTTGTTGCAGACTGTCATCGTGGCTCGATATCAACGCAGCGAACATCGTCCAGCGAATGGACCCAGGAAAATAACGTCGAAGCAAAGATGTTTCCACTACCGCGCGTGTCGAGGCCAAAAGCATCTTACCGGCTCTCCGATTTCATAATACAACGGACCCTTGGGACGGGTTCCTTTGGCAGAGTACATTTAGGTATGTCCTTGGAGTTATTCATCATACCATCATCTCATTTGGTTTCTCAGTTAGGAGCAAACACAATCTCCGCTTTTACGCCATCAAAGTGTTGAACAAAGAAAAGATTGTTCGGACGAAACAGGTTGAACATACCAACAATGAGAAGATGATGCTTGAAGCAGTTCAACACCCCTTCATCATCAATCTTTGGGGCGCGTTTCAGGACGCTTCCAACTTATTCATGGTAATGGACTTCGTACCTGGTGGTGAACTTTTTACCCTGCTACGGCGGTCGAATGTGAGTCTTTTCCAACATCTTCTTTAAAATATTCTGATACCTTCCTGGAAGCGTTTCCCGGATCCCGTAGCTAAGTTTTACGCCGCAGAGGTCGCACTTGCTTTAAATCACCTGCATTCCCTCGACATAATATATCGCGACCTCAAGCCAGAGAACATTCTTCTCAACCATGACGGTCACATTAAAATAGCAGACTTTGGATTCTCAAAGCTATGTTCATCAGTGACGTGGACACTATGCGGTACACCTGATTATCTTGCACCTGAAGTGAGCGCCCGTAGTCATTTTCCAATTTTCAAGTTCGACTTTATATTGCCTCAACAGATCATAGGACAACAACGGTACAACAAGAGTGTTGACTGGTACGCCCTAGGCGTGTTGATCTTTGAGATGCTTTCTGGACTTCCTCCTTATCACCAACCCGATCATAATCCTGTTGTACTTTACGAAAAGATCACTCGTGGTCCAGCCTTCATTCGCTGGCCATCATTTCACGAAAATGCTACAGATATCATTCGAAAACTGATGGAGGGGGAGCCCTCCAAACGATATGGAAACTTGCGGCATGGGGCAGGTGATGTCTTCGCACATCCATGGTTCCGTGAAGTCGACTGGGACAAGTTGCGAAATAGAGAGATTACTGCCCCTTACCTGCCTAAAATTTCAGGAGAAGGAGATGCGAGCGCGTAAGTCTCATAACTCTCTAATTTCAAGCTTTGAGGCTCAATTTGGTGCAGTTTTGAACAATATCCCGAAGACAACGCTGCTTCACTATACGGACTTCCAGCTGACGACAAATGGGGACAGGATTTCCCTAATTTCGAGTATACCAGCCTTTAGAAGGGACTTCGATTCAGTTATCACTACATTATTCTTGTTTGGAACGTTGACACCATCCATTACCTGCATTTGTTGTTGTAATACCCAGACACGCCGACACCCCCTGTGCATTGTACATTGTATACCAGCCATGGCAGGTTGTTCTCAGTAGAACCTCTTGTTTGTTTCTTCTTTTAATCCGAAAGTTAGCAACATCATCTCGCGTGTGATTTTTGGTTTTGCACCCGCCGCGCAAACGTGGTCAAGTATCATCCATCCTCGCATTCCTATTTGTTCGGAACAAACATCAACATCATGTCGAAAAATGGACTGCCGTTTCCCCGGAACCTCGAACAACCAGCTAGTTCAGAATCTAGTCTCATAATTTTTCACCAGTGGGCCCCCATTCTTTTCCACTTGCCCAGAGGTCCAAGAAGCTCGTCAAACCGTTAAGAATTTGAGGAGATCGACTTGTGCGGGCGCTAAGGTTAGGTGCTAGCGGGGTATATTCGTTTATGGCTGCAAAACATGCCGACAAAACATACAAAATGGTCAGCAATGTCGAAGAAGAGCGAGAAAGGTGTCAAGGGTGGCTCGGGGAACGGGAAAAGGGCGGGTCGTGGCAGACGAAATGGGGTAACCAAGGACGCGCAGTCAGTGTCACAGGAGGATGTTGCTGTTGAAAGGACCAGAATGCTACTTGAAAGACAGGCTGACTTGAATCAAATTATGGACAAACATGACACGATGGTGAGTTTGTCCGCCACCAGGGGAGTTCATTGTTTCATATTCGGATTAGGTGCGGGAGGTTTTTCACTTGGAGAAGTTCGTGACTCTCATTGAATATGACCCAACTGTAAGCTCTTCTGAACCCGCACTTTTTTTTGGCACTTATTGGTTCCTAGATTGCAAAGCAGGACAATTCGATCGTGTTTCAGGAGGTGGGTAAGAAGGAAACTAAGATCGTGACACTTACGGAACGACCTATCTTGTCTTCACAGTATAAGTCGGACTATGACCTGCTTAAGAAAGCCTCTACATCGGCAGGTCCATCGCGTGCTACAAGGAGGGCTCATGTCGAGCGCGTTCAAAACCTCACTACACCACTTCTACCTTCCACGACTTCTCGATTGCACACCGAACCAGAATTACCCCTCTCCGCTAAATCAAAAGGGAAACAGAAGGCGGTTGATCAAGTCAATGGTGCCGCGCCTATTGATTTGGTTACGCCGAATAAGCCTGGGAGAGAGAAATCTATATCTCAGCCTCCCAAACTTCGAGCTTTGGCTCCGATTTTGCCTGTGGACGCCGAGGCTTCTATTTCCGTGGGACTTGTGCGTGGCAAGAAGAGGAATATTGCTGTTGCTTCCCCAACAGATTCATCCGCTGTTTCGCCCTCTGCAAAAAAGAAGCGGAAATTTCAGGAGGGACTCGCATTGGAAATGGCGGAGATTCCCAAAGTCTTAGGGCACAAGTCAGCTGGGCCAGATGATATGTCGTTGGATCCTGTCCAGATTTCTGCTCGTCGCAAGTCTTTAGTGAGTGCTGATTACCTCTTTACAGTTTCCTCGCTCAAACATCTTTCAGCGACATCCTCCAACTACGATACAAGAACCACCAGCACTTTCTCAAATTCCCAGTGAAGAACCGCCACAATCACAATTTAATATCAGACGCGTGAAGCTCATAGTGCGACCACCACCTCCGTTGTACTCTAATCCCCGCCAGCAAGCTCCTCGACCTCGATTCCATTCCTCGCTTTCTAGCTTTTTGAACTCATATGTTTGTATCTATGACTCGGACTTACGCGAGGACGATCTAAATATCATGGCCCAGAAGAAGGCTGCACTACTGGACAAGATGGAGAGCTTCCGGAAACAGGGTCGGCTCATCATTGACAACGCGACCTTCAATGAGATGTCCAAAACAAGAGGTGGCGTGATTTTCCACGAACCAAAGCAACATCGCGACACTTGGGATGTAATCCTAGAAGGAATTACCCAACGCTCCCGACGAGAGCAGGTGAAAGGTCGAGTGATAGCTTCGCAGATATCGAGCCGCATTAAGGCGTATTGGGATCAACGGGCACAACGGGAGGACAAGGCAAAAATGCACGAAGAGAGAAGACTTCGTGCCTTGGCGAAGGCAACTATTAAGGTGGTCACCAGTGAATGGAAAAAGGCTGTATTCGTACGCACTACATTCTTATTTCGAGGATATTGCTTTAATTTTCAAATTTCCTCGACATAGCACATTCGTGAACAACATCGACTGCGCGCGGAGGCTGAGGAAAGGCGCCGTGGTCACGAGCATCTAGATGCTATCCTCGATCGGTCTGGTCATATATTGGAAACTCAGCAAGCAGAACTTGCTAGAGGTGATATGTCTCGCAGTAGATCCAGTAGTGTTTCCGGTCACTTCCTGGAACCGGGGTACGGCCCTGAAAGCTCGGAAAATTCGGAGTCTGGAGTGGATGAGGAAGGTGTGGATGGTGTGGAGGGGCAATTTTCGTCGCAGGCGAGTGACCGAGATACAGAGGACGCTGAGGAAGAAAGCACTAAAGATGAAGAAGAGGATGGTGATGATGAGGGCGGAACCGGTGTGTCGGCATTACTGGGGCCATCACTCCCTCGGCTTGGAGTTGATGATACTTTGAGTGCCACCTCCCAAGCTGGTGCCAATCTATTGGATGCCGAGATGAATGATGAAGAAGAGTCGGAGGCTGCCTTGTCTGTTATGGCCATAGAGTCACCCTTGCCTCACCCTAAGTTCAACCTTCTGATGTCCCGGGAGACTCCTACCGACTCCGACTCCGTTTTTCACGAGCAGACGACCGAAGACTACAGGTCTCCCCATTTCGAGAGTTTCAACGAGGCACCTTCACCAGCCAGCACTGTTGCTGGTCATGAAGAGGAACCTGAGTCGAATTTTGATGGCAACAAGGGGATGAAGATAACAGCCACTGAATCTGCTTCGGACACGTTGGCTCCAGGTGCTGACGACATTGATATGGGCCAAAGTACTGAAGTCGAGACCAAAGACGATTATGCGGGCTTCCCAGCGGTCGAAACATCATCTTCTCGGCCCTCATCCCCTGCCTTTGGTATGGAAGTCAATGAATCCGAGTTACTTGACGAAGCAGAGGACGTCCATCAACAAGAGGACAACATACCAGACTATCTAAAACCGTACGCTGTTGCGCCGGTCCATTGGGACACGGAAAACAAGGTGAAAGTTCCCGTATTATTACGGGGTGTCCTCCGTCCATACCAGCAGTCCGGTTTGGAATGGCTCGCAAGCCTCCATGTCAATAATTTAAACGGCATACTTGCTGATGAAATGGGATTGGGGTATGCTTTTGGGCTCCTTGTTTAACGCTTTAGCTCACTATTCAATAGGAAAACTATACAGACAATTTCGCTCCTTGCCCATCTAGCTTGTGACCGTGGAATATGGGGTCCGCATCTCATTGTACGTGATTCACGTCTTGCTCTTCGCGTTTACAGACCAGCTATCTAGATTGTCCCCACAAGTGTCCTCCTCAACTGGGAAATGGAATTCAAGAAGTTTCTGCCTGGGTTCAAAACTCTGAGTTATCACGGATCGACAAAACGCCGCAAGGAGCTCCGCCAAGGGTGGTACAACAAGCACCACTTTAATGTCTGCATAACCTCATACACACTCGCCAGTCGCGATGCTCACATATTCAAGCGTAAAGCTTGGTATTACATGATACTGGACGAAGCACACATGATCAAAAATTTCAGGTCACAACGATGGAATATTCTCTTAATGTTCCGCTCCTTTCGGCGTCTTCTCCTGACTGGCACCCCGCTACAAAACAATCTAACCGAGTTATGGGCACTTTTACAATTCCTAATGTCTGGTACCAACTTTGCCAACCTAAAAGAGTTTGGCGAATGGTTTTCAAGTATGCATGCTCGCGTTTTCGGGTGTAATGGATCATTGCTTACTTCTGATGTTTAGATCCCTTGGAGAAAGCGATTGAAATGGGTACCCTGTTGGACGACGAAAATATGCAACGCGTGACCAAACTCCACACAGTTCTCCGTCCCTATCTGCTCCGCCGCCTCAAACGTGACGTTGAGAAAGAGCTCCCCAGCAAGTATGAACATCTCGTCCTGTGCCCCTTATCAAAACGGCAGCGATTTCTCTACGACGAGTTCATGGATCGTGCACATACCAGAGACGCCTTGCAATCTGGTGTGTACCAGAAAATTGCAAATATTCTCATGCAGCTCCGCAAAGTCTGTAATCATCCGGATCTTTTTGAAGTCCGTCCAATCGTGACATCTTTCGCTATATCGCGTTCTGTCGCCGCAGACTTCGAGATCAAGGAGCTACTAGTTCGGCGGGAGCTGCTTCGGGCAAGTGATGAAGACAGCGTTAATCTTGATCTGCTTGGCCTGCGTTTCATCAACCAACAAAACGTACCTCTACTTCCCGCTCTGGAAATGCGGCGCCTTGATGCGACACATCGATTCCCACACATCTCGGACATGCCTGAGGAGCCGCCACCAAAGGACACTCGTACAATTCAAGGATATCGTGCTTACCATGCATACCAACAGCGGGTTGCACAAGCAGCTCGCTGGGCACAAATCGGTTATCTCAATCGTCTGCGCTGTACCCAGCTACCGGTCTACAGCCAAGAGCTGTTGACTATTGCTAAGCAGTGTCATCGACCAATCCTCCCTCTTTCTGCATCGGACATCAGTCATAACGTCATGGACACGGTTTTACCTCTTCATTCGGCCGTCAAGACTTACGTAGACCGGGCTAAAGAGCTACAACCTGCGGTCGAAAGGTTCGCTTTCGTCACTCCAGCCGCGGTTGCTTTGGACCTACCTCGTTTTTCCCTGGCAGGATGCGAACACGTTATATCTTGTCAACCATCTGGCTTTGATAGTGTCCTGCATCACGCGAGCGTCAAGCTGCAGATAGCGTTCCCAGATCCATCCCTTCTCCAATATGATTGTGGCAAACTGCAGGAACTTAGTCGCCTTCTCCGACAGAAGAAACTGGAAGGACACCGTGTTCTCATCTTTACACAGATGACAAGGATTTTGGATATCCTGGAAAATTTTCTCAACTTTCATGGTCATCTCTATCTTCGTCTTGATGGTGCCACCAAAATCGAAGACAGGCAATATATCACTGAGCGGTTTAATGCAGACTCCAGGATTTTTTGCTTCATTTCTTCCTCTCGGTCAGGTGGAGTAGGTATCAAGTAAGTATCTGTAGATTTCCTTGTCTGTTGATTGCTAACCACCCTAATAGTCTTACTGGAGCAGACACTGTCATCTTCTACGATAGCGACTTCAACCCTCAAATGGACAAACAGTGCGAGGATCGGTAAGATACTTGCTCAATCCTTGCATCGTTCATAAGTGATCAAACCTTTTCTCAGTGCTCATCGCATCGGCCAAATAAGAGATGTTCACATCTACCGATTTATCTCTGCGCATACGGTTGAGGAGGCTATGTTGTTGAAGGCTAACCAGAAGCGCTCGTTGGATGATCTCGTCATCCAAAAAGGCGAATTTGACTGGCGATCCCTGTTTGATGATCAAGGAGCTCTATCGAAGGCGCTGGTTGAATTTGAGGACAAAGAAGATGTCCATGCTGCCGCTGTAGCCGCGAGAGAAGAAGTCGTCATGGAAGGCGCTGATCAAGCTGACTTTGGTGCTGAGGGAGAAATTGATGCACCTCTAAACGAAGGCAGATTACCAAATAATGCTGAAGAAGGACAGCCTACTGGTAAGGAAATGTTGGATGTTTCCGAGATGGACCAAGTTGCAGAGGAAGAGGATGAAGGAGGGGCGGTGTCAGACTACATGATTAGCTTTGTCCGGATGGATTACGACTTCTTCAGGGATTGGCGACTATGATGGCAGCCTCGTATTCTGTGGATGTCTAGGTTGTTTGTAGTGTTGCTTCTTCACAGTGCTATTTATCAAATTTTTATGCCGGTACTGGTCGAACAGTACTAGTAGTTGACTAGTAGTACTGTTGCTGAACAATTGATTGAGCGTCTGGTCAACAGTATGCCGTAACTTTCGGGAGTTCACGTGCACGCCGATCGTGTTTGAAATTACCACGATACTAGCATTTTCACCTGCTTCAACCACACTTGTGGTAGCAGTCCCATTGTTGGGCAAGATGATGATAACAGACGTCCTGCACCGCACTTTCGTCAGTGGACTGGCTGCACTAAGTGTGTATGGACTGTTCATGGGCTATGCCGTGCACCGCGAAACACTAGCCAAAGGGAGAGGTGAGATGATGTATACCACCAATCTTGCTCCAAGTTTCTGACGCAATTTGTGCAGAGGTGAGAAAACCTTAGGCCCATCGGCTTCTATTAGCATATGTGGGCAACTCACGTCGACTATCATAGTTCATGGCAATGAAAGAAGCTGAAGCAAAGCAGCGCGAACAAACAACTGTAAGTTTTCACTTTTACACATATCTTATCCTTTTTGACACTGCTCTCAGGCTGAGGAGGAGGCGAAGGAACTTGCGTTAGCAGAGGCTGCCCAGGCTATTTTCCGCAAAGGGTCGTGACATGACTGCGCACTGGCCATCTGCTGCACCTTTAGTTCAAGGATAATCATGCAGTTTCATGTAACTGCACACCATAGATGTCGTAGTTCATCTTGGGCTCGCTTCGTGTAACGTTCCTGTAACTGCCATCACGATGTGCAGCAAGCTATCCATTCCAATCATTTAGCGCCTCGTGGGTCTATTAACAAGGTCATTTTTCTTCTGCTTTGATTGCTCAAGCAGTGACTACGACTGAGCTCGGCTCGTATAGCAGCTCAGCTGAACGTGTGCCGGCTGAAGAAGCGCGAACATTTTGCTTTAATATATGCTTCACCACCTTCCGCGACGAATAATTATGTCAGAGGATGAGAAGGGTCCTCGTCATCTAATGAAAGACGCTTTCAAAAAGCATGATCAATCAACTCCTGCGATGAACGCCTACGACTACAAGAATATACTAGGAATCGATCAAGGTGACGTGTAAGCATTAACAAGGCCTAACTTTTGAGCCCAAAAGACATCTCACATTTCCGCACTGCAGACCCGTAAAACCATGAGTGGTTCAACCTTAGATGTATTTTGCTGATCACAATGCTTTACATTGCAGCTTTAGTATGCAGAAGTCTTTCCGGTAGCTCTTCCAGCCATGAACCATACTTAAATGGTTCACCATTCCAGCGACTGTGGTTTCCGTAAGGCAAATTACACACTTCCTTATGTCGTTTTGCTACCAGGAGTTGTGTTTTCTACGGCTTTCTGGTGGGCTGAGGAGCAAAATTTAAAGTGAGTTCTGAAGCTAAGATATTATACTCATTCATTTATAACACATCGTCTAGATCCGTTTGCCTAAGTTGTTCAATTCCGAATGACCGTCGTGATCTTACCGTCATCTATCTGATAGGATATGAGAAGAATGACTTGGTATATATATATTTGCATATGGGGATGTATTCTTCTCATCTCCTCCATCCAGGGAAGGATCCAACTTCATGCCATCAGCGGGAAATATTGCGCTACAGAGTTCTACAAAGCACTCTGTAGCAAATTATGTTTCCCCAGTGCTATCACAAGATTCACAACGACTCCGACCCCAAACGTAACAACATGGGCGTTCTCGAAAGAGAACAAAATCCATGTCTCCGCACTTCTCACGCTATCTAAAGGGCCCGAGGATAGAAGCTGCGCCTTAGTGTCAGATTAGATGAACCAGTGACGACGGTAAAGACGGTCTGAAAGTCAGCCTGTGAATGAATCATCGGGAGTAATCTGGATGCTATAGGAAAGAAGATTTTCGAGCTCTCTGCGGACACAGTCTTTGATCCCATATAGTCACCCATAATCAGCTGGTCTGTGGAAGCTTTAGTTGTTCACAGGCTTCAAAACTCTATCATGGCGCCCTAGGAATGCGATCACGACCTGCCTATCAGAATCGTCCATATCCAACTATCAGCAACCACGCGACCTTCAAGTTATCCGAATAGTCATATGCGTCATATTCGTCATTTCATTGGCTGTCCAGGAGTCTGGAATTCTACTAATCCGAGTGCGGTGTGTGATAATCTATTTTGCTGTTTGTCATTCGTTCTAGTACTTCTCCACCAAACTGATTCAAATAATACTCCTGCGGATACTATACCTAGAGTATGTGGTGTGACTCAGGCTGTAGGGATGGACTCTTCAGTCTCTCGCCTGAGTGTATCATAACTAAGAAGACTGCGCGTCTAGAAAATTCTTTTCTAATTTGATGTCTACAGGTCAGCGAGGGATGAGTATTATAGATTGCTGGTACTTTTGTCAATATTGGCTTTTAGCAAGATGGTTTCGATACGCTGCGGCACTGACCCGTGTCGTAGCCTAGGCACTCGAGCCTATTCGCAGTTATAGTCATCTTCGGAAGGTACATTTATATATCTACACCACACATAAAATTATCAGAAACTAAATCGTGAGTCGACGTCCACATGAAGGGTCATTACAATCGTTGTGATATACCGAGCAAAAGTTCGTCACACTTGCACTTGCTTACTTCTTTCCTCAGTTGGACTGGAAACAACAGTTTTCTCACCGTCTAATTCGTGTTGTTGAGCTTCGAGAATTTTGCGAGAGACTTTACTATGTGAACGGATCTTTGAACCAAAGAAGAGAAGGACCTGTATGAAAAAGTGGAAGCATTCAAGACTTCAAGTTCTCCACCAATCAGTGTACATGAATTTACACACCCATGGAGTCGGTGCCATCAACACCGATAGAAACGCCCAGAGCGTTAGCCCCCACTTATATGTCATACCAGCGAACATCTGCTGTGTGAAGAGTGGGAAGACCAATGCCATGAAATTTCCTGTGATGATCTGATTCAGCAGAAGAGATAAACAAAACGTGCAGACTAACGAGACAAACTCTGCCCTGCTTGGGCCGAGGAGGTATATGGACCGTAGCTAGTTTTATCTGTCAAACACATGCAGGATAGATGCGGCGAGACACATACCAGTCTGCAAGATACAAGAATGAAACTTGGAATATTACGAAGACGCCGGACATAAATGTCTGTGAATCCGTCAAAACGACCAAATTTGAATACCGTCGAGAAATCGGCGTACAGTTAATGCAATCAGAGGTACTATCCAAGGAATGTTAGGTGATGCTGTCCATGCGTAGATAAACATTGAGGCGGGCAGGACAATAGCAGCGACACACGCCATGTATAGGCGTGCTTCTTGGCCCTTTGTCAAAAAGTATTTTCTAAATGGCATGAGCCACGACGAATGTTTGATACTGACTTTCTTACTTGTACAAGGTTTCCTGGTACATATTCGCCATAAATCCAAGAATGGCTCCGACACTGTTAAGATGAAAGATCAAATACGGTGTACACATGCACAACAAAACAACTTTCCTCTGACAAAGGAATACAAATCCTGTTTCGCTGACGCTGAAGTTGTAGACAGACTGAAACTCCGTGGTGATGGATCTTTTATTAAACTCACTTTAGTGGCTGGCTTCTATCAGGAGTCAATATAACTTACTCGAGCAAACAGTACACGACCCCCCAAGTGAAGCCACTCCAGATCTGTCATCAAAGATTGTCAATTGCCAGTGAGGGTACATCATCGATGGTTACAGACACTGAAGCTCTGCACAATAGGTTCAGTTAAGAGTAGATCTGTGATTGTCAGGTTAGGAAGAATTGACAAATAACTGTTTTGCGTACACAAGGGCCGTGTACACGACGTCTTGATGAGAGATGACATGCTTCGTTTGTTAATTTCAGCGCTGGACCGATACCTAGGGTCACCGGTCATCTTTCTGGTGTCCTTCGCGATGCGGGTTAGAACAATGGATGAACGGGTCTCGCTCATCACCAAAATGACATCAAGAATATATGCCGCAGAAAACCTAGGAAGAATATTCAAAGAGATGACAGGACACAGTCTTTTTTGACGCACATGGCATGTACCCATTGCACCCACCGCCAACCTAGGTGTGGGTTGGCAGCTATGAGCCCCCCAAACGCTGACCCAAGGCCAAAAGAGAAAATCGATGAGAATGCAAACAAAGACATCGGCAATCCACGTCTGGAACATTTATCAACAAGGGAGTCGCGTTACCGCAGGGACTCTGCCTTACTCGTGTGGCTGCCATATATCGGCGATGCTGCCTCCGACTAAGGATGCACCAGTTGAGCCAAAGACTCCTTGTAGCATACGTGATACGATCACAACTTGTATGTTTGGTGCCCTGTCAGTGATGAGCACCTGCATGTTTCAACAATTGCACGACAACTTACAATGCATTCATTACTTCTGCGAGCATAAATAATACGGACGACGCGATGTAAAGGGGCCGTCTGCCGCACTCCTGAATATAGATGCCAGTCAATGATTCAACAACAGCAACCTGGTCAGTTCTTACCTCACTGAACGACGAAGAAATCAAAGGGACAATCCCAAAACCTGCTACATATAGGCTCAGTCCAACGGTCGCCTGAAGTTGAGTACAATCTAGATCACGCATCATGGACTCATAACTGATGGAATAAGATGACGCTGATGCTGCTGTTGGTAAATGTCAGATAGAGTGATATCGATATGAAAACCCGAAGTTACCCGTGATTCCAGCGAACACACAACATGTCAGCGTGATGGCCCACTTCCGCAGATAAGAGAAGTTTTGTGGATCGCGTGGGTCACCTTCGTCAAATTTAATCTGACCAGCGTAAACCTTTGTGTATGAGAATTGAAATATATCATGACTTACGAGTATCAATTCTTGCTCAGGCTCCTGGGGAACATGAGTTGTACACGAGGGTGAGCTGATGCGTTTACTGTCATCGTCCATTGTCATCGAAACTGGATATTTCGGTACCAAAAACTAGATGTGCTTTTAAATGCTAATGGAGGATGGACCTGGGTATCAATGAGATTGACAAGCAGTCAGGTTATCAGTATATTCCCTTATAGTGGACCGGGATGCCTCACCCATTAAACCATAAAGCCCATGGATGAGTAATACCAACATGATTTCTCACCTATGACGAAAATGTCACAAGAGACGTTTTCCTCTTCGCCTCGGGGAGGCTAGGTCAAGAATAGACTTTCGGCCGATACTGCCAAATAAGAGTAGTTGTAGTGCGATCGAAGACAGCACAAGTGCGGGAATCCCTTTAGAAATTGTGAGCACCAGAAACAACATATTCCAGGACATCAGCAACCACTACACCATTGCTGTTCACCTTTCCCTTTGGACATCTCACAAGTAGAAGGAAAGGAATCCCCGGCTCAGTGATAGTGACCGGGTAGGGTGGTGATCGTATGTGGTGGCGTGGCCAAGTGAGTGTAAATGTTTGGCATATTCATACCGCGATGAATGGGGAAGGCATGATTATGGACCCTGCTTGAAGATAACAAGATCTCATTCGTGGAACTCGACAACTCAGTCATCGACATGTATCATGTCCAGATCTATCGATAGCATCACAAATTAATGCTATTAGGCAATAAAGAGGAGTCATGGGGTCACTGTAAGGGAAAATTCTGATAGGAAAAGGCATTACTTACGATTGAAAATGCATCCTCATCATGCGACCGTCACGGTGACTAGACTAAAATGAACCATGTCAGAGTCTCTACTGAACAACCTACTTGGGGCTGAAGGGTCTACGGACCACCGTGTACGTATAAGCTTCATGTCAATGTCACTATATACGTAAAACGAATGGCAGAACTGATAACCAAGGGATGAGTACTAACAGCGTTCATCGGATTTTCCCGGATACCACACGTTCGAGCTTCGGGGCTTTTGTTGGCTAAACCCTACAGCCTCTGAGCTTTGCATCTTAGACTGGGTGAGTAGACTCGTGACCAGTTCGTCTATGAGGCATGAGTCCAAATTAGAGCTTTAGCCCAATCAGCCCCATCGTGACGTGGAGCAGCTCAGGGCATGGAGCCATTGTCCTGCGATATTCGCACTGCCAGAGGCCGAGCTCGACGCGTGTCATCCCAGACTTCAAATCACAACGCATGGACCTCAACAGAGTCGTGGAAGAGGTGGGAGTGAAGGGAAGGTGCATTGTGTTCGAATGGTCGAGCATCGTTATGGCGCAGGCTGCAGAGAAATAATTAAATGCTTTGGACGTCGTGGGTCTCGTTGGCTGAGATTTATCATATAGTCTGATAGCTGGGGTTGATGCAGTAGCAAACGCTGTCGGCATGAATCTTATGTTGATTGTACAGTGAGCGCTCAGCGCTCTGCGCTGTTTCCGATCTCACCCGATAGTTGCCCTCACTGATTTTGATATGATCTTCCACAGGACGATGTTGACCAGTATGCACGCCATCTGCCTCAGTCTTGCAATCAGATAATAATATGCGTTGAAACGGACACGGACTGCAGGGAAAACCCCAAAGCAAACCTCTATACTAGCGGGAGGCTACGGCTCCGAGTCTATCTGTGGAAGACCGACTGACTACCGACTACTACATATACTACGAGTCAGGACTCCTGCTACTGCACTAGGACCCCTAGTGCTCCCGAGGACCTGCGACAGACCACCCCAATATGGCGTGTGCAGTCCAAACCTCTACCAACGAATGGGCAAAACAGCTTAGAGCAACTGATAAGAAAACATTGAACGTCCGATTGATCCAAACCGTATATCTCGGCCTCTCTCGATGAGGCTCGCGGCGCCTAACATCACGGACGTGATGTCGTTGCTCGCAGGCAAATAATTGCCAATGGAGCAAACGATTCTCTTACAGTCGTTCTCGAAAGTCTTGACTCACGTGTTTGTGGTGGTTCAAAATAGTGGAAAAGCTGAAAATTCAGCAAACTTGCCCCACCCTCACTCAAACTCAAGCAGAAAAGCATAAATGACACTCTTTGCGAGTCACTTGGAGCAGTTCTGCTTGGAGAATTCAATTAATATTGCCTCTACTACCGTGCTATGAACATTCGATGTCCACGATCCTCGATATATCCTATTCTGAGCGATTTGGGCGAAGGCGCGCAGCGCCTCCCGGTCCCGAGTTGCGTGTCCTGCCAGATAAAAGGCGAGCTGCGGTTCCCAACTGTCTAGGAGTTCGACGACGCATCGAGCGAACCGAAGATACCCATAAGACTAGGAGGAGAATGGATGCTTACATGAAGAAGCCGTTACCGAACGCGGGGCATTGTGTGCCGCAGGAATTCATCTTGAATGGCGGGTGTTGCTTGAAGGTATGGTGCGAGAATCTGAGCGTGATCTCGAAGATAGATCTGGAAGGCATCACTGGCCCACCTTCCCATTGTCTTGACGACCTCGAATGGGATGTTTCGGAGGAGGTATTCCAAGGTAGCACCTATTCTGATAGCGTGGCCTTGCAATGGGTCGAGGCCAGCATCCTTTGCAGCGCGAGCAAGCCTTGCAATGAACTTTGTTTTCGTCAAAGGACGGTGTGCCTTGCCGAACTTATAGGAAAAGAGTGCGATGTCGAAGTGGGGGTTGTTGATGTTGAGATGGTTGGATAATGCGGCCTCAGGATCAGTGGGACCCTCTTGTTTCGCCCAGAAAACGTCCTCCCCGTTTTGTGATGTTTTCGTGCGGGGTAAATGAAAAACGGTAGTCGCGAGCCCATTGCGATCTGTTTCGTGACGAATGTCGGAGCGTTTGACGTGAATGGAGGGATCAAATGATGAAAGAGTTCGGATCGTGAATTCTCCAGCTCTGGCCATTGAATAAAAGGCTGTTGTGAGACAGCTACCCACTGCAGCATCGAGAGGGTTGTTGGGGTCTAGTTTCTGCAAGATGCTAGTTATAAAAGCCATGGTGTATGGTGGTCTTTTCTTCCTTCTTGATGACGAGGGCGTGAGGTTCTTGGCCGCTTTCAGCATAGCATCTATTTTGTCATCATCTAAGGACCATGATTTTCCGTGCAAAATATGCCATGCGCAAATACCGTGGACATAACTTGATATAGTTTTCCCTGAATATGATCCGGCTAAGTCTGAAATGAAAGCTGAAATGAGTTCGGAAGACGCGGGTGCACGCATGGCTTCATTGATGGAGTGTGAGTCACAATAAACATGGTAGGCGAGGATGCCGCTTCCATATGCCTCCTGGGTGCTGCCAGCCCATGCGTGGATCATGACATCTTGAATGCGCTGTGCATCTGCGTGGGGGAGGCAAGATATCGATGTGTCGTCTGTGGCTGGTCGCCAAAGACGGAGCCTGTCTTTTGCTGTGCAATGGGGTCTTAGGACAGAAATACGAGGGGTGAGATTAGCAGGATAAGCTGCAACTAAGAATCTCGATGAGGGGGAAGCCTGCAGTGTGATGTTCGCTGACTTACTAAGCTTGCGTCGCTTTAAAGAGCTCTTCTCCTTGACGACGGAGCTCGTCATTGAGGTGCTCAGCTGATTCTCGTGAGTGGGCTCGGTCATTGACGTGTGGGAGCGCTTTGAGTTTCTTACTGCGTGCATGGCACTCAGAAGGGATAGCAGGATTGTCAAAGTCCGTGACGAAGGGTTGGAGTGGCTGGGGGATGCTAATTGGGGGAAGCAGAAGGTCTGAGGGAGGGTAGATTCCCCTGGATGGGCCATCCGCTGGGTTGTAGTTGCTGGGTACATAGCGCGTGAGGAAAGTGCATTGCGTAGATGCGGCGAGCTCGTGGATCCTTTTGAAGACGGTATTGGTGGCCCTGTTGTGGCTACGCCCTTTCCACCACCCTTCAACGACTCCCCGGTTGTCCCCGAATATTTTGATGCAGCTGCCCGTTGGGCATAAACCGAGGAGTGCAATAATGAGGAATTCCATGCCGACTGCCTCTGCCCAGCCAATGTCTCTGTCTTCGGCTTTCCAGCCTGGGAGGAGACACCACGCTCGCCATCTGCCATTGATCCAAATCGCGATACCAGTGCCTGAGCTAGCGTCTGAGTAAGCCGAGGGGTCAATGACTTCGACGGGCCCTGGGATTGGCCGAGAGACGAGTGATTGTGAGAGGCTGGCTTTCCACCACCGGAGGTCATCACCTGTGTGCTTGGGGGGGGGAACGAGGCATGTGCGGACGGTCGTGAAAAATGGATAGCATGGTCTTGAGAGAAACGAGGTAAGCTCTTCCTGCTGGGAGGACCAGAGAAGCATGTAAGAGCTTCCCATAAAGCTCCTGGACTTCCCGTAGCATGTGTGAAGATCGAATCTCCCATTCTTTGATAGCTGCCACGTACTTCTCCTTCTTGCTCTGTGGGATCGAGACAGAACGCGACTCGATGTCCCAGAGGAAGCCAATAAAGGGGGCACATGACGAGAAAAGGATGTCTTTTGCCAGCTCCCAGGGTATTCCGAGAATTTTGGATAGGCGGTTGATGTCGTCAAAGCAAAATGTGAAGCGAGCATCTTCTGGGGATCGTGGGGAGGCTGTTGAGATATCAATGATGGGAAACGAACAGTCTTCATCAAACTCTTCAATTCTGTTGTCAGGCATAGTTGAACCCCGATACCATTTTCGACCTCCTTCAATGAGCATGCCACCATTTCGTGCAATGATAGCGGCACGAGATTTGCGCAGGTTATTGTAGCTAGCAAGGTGCTCTCGCAGAATCCGAATGAATAGGTGATCGTCCACCCATTTGGATATCGGGCCAATTCCTTGTGATCGGAATATGTCTGCGCCAGCATCTGCGACCTCGCCATAGGTTCCTGCTGATGCCGAGAACCCGAAACAAAAGCTAGAATCAATGGCGAAGCTGTCTTCTCCTGTCCTGACAACCAGGCCCGGCCATTGAGAAGGATGAAGAGGTACTGTGCGGTAGGCTTCGGCCATGTCACGAACGGCTGCCTGAGATCCTGGGGGGAGAGACCAGATGAGTAGACAGATCGTCGATGCTGTACCCCATGTGCACGGATATAAGTTAGAGTTGATAGAGGAATTAATGGATGATATAGTGGCTGATGGACGAAGCGGGAACGAGAGGTTTTGTACAAGGCGGAATTTTCCTGGCTTTCCTGGCTTAGGAACCATGGAGAGTGGGGCTGTCTGGAAAGGACCGATGAGTTCTTCAGTCTCCAATTTAGATATAGGTCTGATATAACGACCAGTGGAATATTCACGGTCCAGAATAGCAGCAAAAGCGTCAAAATGTGCATGTAGCGAGGGGCTATTAGGTGGGATATAAGTTTGAGATATGGTTGGGACACTGCCCATGAAACCAAAGCGAAAACCATTCGGAATATGTGCATATTTACGTATGAGATTTGACGAAATGAGAAGCTGCAGCCAGGCCTCGGGCCTATAGGGAGTGATAGCATTAGATGCTCTCGCTTTGAGGACAGTCTTGAGCTCCGTGATCCTTTGCTCCGCACCCCGAACATTCGTGCACGTGAGCTCAAGAGGGATTGGTGCATCCCTTGGGTCTCTGCCAGTCGTAGCAGATTTCGAGGCCCTCTGGATTGACCAAATGACCCTCTGCGTTTCGACGACATCGAGTTTTGGTTCGTTTGTCCCATAGGAACTCGGATGCACATTTGTGGATGGGGTGACGGAATCGGCCAAGGCAGAGGGCACAGGCTGATGGGCTGGTTTGGCCTGCGCCCGCTGGAAAAAACTGCTGCAACTTCTGCAGTTTTTTCGCCATTTGGTTAGCAGGGCGGTATGGGTGATAGCGGCCATCATTCACAAGAGGTACTGTCTCTGCGTGCCCATTTCGGCTGGAACTCACATCTCTCCCCCGAGAACGGGAAGAAGTGTTGGGAATTGCGAGCGAATGTTGCAACTGAGTGCAATAGAGCGAGCATGAAAGGATTCGAGTAAGCCAGGATTCGAACAATTATATGAAAGCAAAGATTTTGTTAAGCCATGGTATACAGGAAAGTGCGAAAGCAGTGTGGGTGTAAGCGAAGCAGCGGTTAAGTGTTTGAGAGGGACACAGTGAAAGCGGGAGTTTGAGTTAGCATGAGGGTAGATGGAGCGACAGCGTAGAGAGCGCAAGCAAGGGAGAGCGGAAGACAAAAGACGAAGTCATATATGCAATAGCACATGGATAGCAGATGGGGAATTGTACCCCGAAAGCAAGGACAGCCAAGAGTGAAAGCATTTAGACAGCCAGCGGGGTTCGTTTCCGACGTGAGATTGAATATATAAAAGAATTTGGTCAGTGATTGAATGTTGGTGGGTAATGCGCTACGCACCATTTTGAGACCTTCATCTCGTTCGGCCTCCCAGACATCGTCGGATATCGAGTTGTACAGGGCATTATTGAATAAACCAATATTGAACCCTTGGTCTTGCGCTAAGCGATCATGCCATTCATGGCGCACAAATCCCGCGTAGCGAAGCAGAGCCTTTTCTCCTCGCGGACGCATGCAATGCTCATGGTTGGTAATGAGCGTGAAAAATAACGCTAAAGCCTGCTGATGCTTTTGCGGCCAATTGTTCTTTTCGATGTGAACGAGAAAGCTGGTCTTTGCGAGGTCGAATTGCCGCCAAGATAGGTCGTGGTCCTGTAGAGCCTTCTGAGAAGCTTTGAAAGACGCTATCGTCTTGAGGGCAACTATACCATCCACTTTGGCGAAGCCAAAAGCATCATCTGAGTCTGATGTGGACCTAGAGGTGGTGGCAGCCTCGTGGCAACCGTCAGGACTGAAGTACCATAATTCTACGTACTCCATGTTCTTGACCTTTTGGATGGCATACTGGGATGGGCGAGGTATGATAACGTCTGCGACAACGGCCCCATCATCAAAATCGTTAATCTTGGGCTTTTTCTTCTCAGCTTCACGTCTCTCTAACTGTTCCTCAGCCTCTTTTTCGGCTCTCTCGCGCTCTAGCTGTTCTTGCAAGGTGCGGGCGTCTTCCTCATTCTGTTGCTGCCAAAGGAGGATGCGCTCCTGGCGCTCGAGTCTCCAGCCCACAGCCATTTGCTCGAGTGCATCTTCTCTGGCTATGCCCCCTGCCACAAGGGCATTGAGCCATCCCGTGTACGCTGCTGACTCGAAATTGGGCTGCGCTTCCAGCGCTGGGTCCGCTAAGATGCGTTCCATGGTAGGCCGGGTGAATTCGGAGTGTTTGCTAAGAGTGTGTTTTGAGAAATTGACTGGGTGTTTCTGAGAGTGATAGAAAGAGCAGAAGGAATGTAGAAAAGAAAAGGAGGAAGAACGTTGTCGTTGAGGACGACTGAGACGATACGGCGCGACGTCACAGTACGAAGTCAGAAGGTTCGTACTGCTTCCGACGCTTGCGCAAAGACTTAATTCTGTTCCTACACTCGTTCCTCGTTACATAATAGACTATCAATCTTTTAAACATTAAATTATGTCTTATACAGTATCTGAACGTTCCGACGAGGAGAATGTCTCTCATTCACAACACTCTAACGAAGAGTCTGTTGATGGTAAAGGCGAAGTAAAGTAGCATTTAGCAAACCAGATGTCTCTACAGCTTCTCGTAAAACGTCACTCTTGTGAGTAGAACAGTTGTCAAGGACAATCACACTGTTGGGGCCAGGGAATGGGTTCATATTGGGCAACTAGTACAGCAGCGAAAATTTAGACAGTGAAAAGAATGCACTTGCCACATCGTTAACAACGAAATCATAGAACTCTGCACCATCTATAGATCCTTCGATGACTCGAACAGTCAGATAGTCATTAATAGTGAGAGCCGGCAGCACACTGTATCGAATGGCCCTGTTTAAGTGGACACTGTCAAATGACAAAGGGCCCAGGGGGCTTGTCGACTGACAGACCAACCATATCTAGGAAATATGGTACGGTCATCTCTGCTTGACCCGTCCAGGAACACGAGCTGCTCAGCTGTATAGTTGGCTGTCATGTTGTGCGACCAACCAGCTCGGAAACCGTCATCATGTTCGGCCGCTATCCTCTTCAAGCGTTTGTAGGTGAGCCCAAGGTCCCCGAAGTTGCGGTAAAGAGCTGGTGTGGATATTGGCTGATCATGATATATGGCGAGCCATTCGCCGATCTCATTAAGTAGTAGAGACAGGTTTTCGGCTAGCAGCTCGTAGATCCCATCCTTCATAATTTGATCCAACAAGCGAGGGCGGCCCGTGATTGGTGTGTGAGGATTAGCACATCCATTTTCATTATAATTTGCCTCTCACCGCTCTATACTTCTCGACGACACTCCAAGAACATCAGCGATGCGCTCGATCTCCCATGATGCATCCTTCCTCCAAAAGCAAGTACAGAGCTCGTTCTTTTCGATCAGGACTGATCCTCTGGTAGACCATGGTGAGCCTAAGTGAGAATCTTGTGCGATACGACGTCTTTAAAGGCGTACAGAGGTGTATACAACTCGAAAATGATTTAATTTAATTTTCAACATTTCTACTATTTTTGAACCGCCACAAACACGTGAGTCAAGACTTTCGAGAACGACTGTATGGTCGAGAAAAATATAATTCGCCTTCATTTCCTTTGCAGAAATAGAGGTGCGACAGTATGTGCGAAAACGCATGGCCATCCGCGCCAGATATTTGCAGTAATGAAGTAAAGAAATATAATGCGTATCTTTGACATCTCATTACTTCAACGATGCGAAATGTTCGACTCTCAACCGCGACAATCTGAAGTTGGCTGCAATGCCTCTCAGCAGTGTTTCGTCAGAACCGGTTCGATTTGTCAGCCCCGAATGTACGTTCCCGGCTCCCCTCCCATACAGGGAACTTACTTCATGCATGGCGCACCACGCAGAATGTCCAAAATGACGCTAATGAGTCACGTCCTGAGCGGTGGCTGCCGTATCCTATTACTGCTCCCTCGCAGGCACGAGAGGCAAATTCTTCATTGCATGCTACGTCTACATCACGATATGCTGTTCTGGGCATTAAGGATAGTGGACGGTTTACTGGTGTATAGTGCAACGTGTGAGTGCTGGCAGCCCCACAGTTCATATGCTTGAATGTTCCTTGGTGATAGCCGCTCATGCATAACAGTTTTGTTTCAATCTCTTATGTGTCATATCCCCGCCAATTGGATTCCAAATTTTACACAGGGTTTAAATTCGTCGAAATGAAATCAAGTGTGCCCATACCTTTGTGTATAGGTGTTAAAACCAATGCTCCTGACCAGAACAACTAATTACAACTCCCGTGCTGTGCTTGCATTTCCTCGCTCCTGATGGAACGGAATAGCTGCTTGCTGGGAATGGTGTGACGCCACTGAGGATGACTTTATTTGGTAGGTTGTTGTGTGGTACTCAGCAGTGCCAGTGCGCCAACTACGTAGAAGAGTAGGATGACGTGGTTTTACACAGCAGAGCTATATGGCACTGATCAAGCCAATTCGATAAGATGTGTGATAGAAAAAGCTACCACAGTAAAAACCACGTAAATATCATAATCATCATTGCATTGTGTCATGCGGGATGAGAAGCAGTTTTGCCCATACCTTCTTAGCGTGAGAATCGCATGGATCGTTGACTACACCAGATGTCTATAACCAACAGGGTCCTGAAGGTCGTTGATGTCTTTTGCATTCTGCTCGTTCCTCTCAATCTGCTGATTCACCCGCTTCAAATGCAAATACATGATACCAAGCATGACTGTCGATACCCCAAGCGCCGTGACGCAGATGGCGTAGGAATAACGATATGTCGGGCCCCAGGTGATAGGCCAGAGAAACCTATGACAGATTGTAAATAATCAGCGAGAGCGGGAGATCGGTGACACTAACGATCCGACGATGTTCCCCGCCGCAGATATTGAACTTATCAAGGCGATAGCAACAGCTCGCTTTGCAGGTTCTCTAGCAAAAGTGTTGTTTATCCAAGCCCAGAGAATAATTTGTCCTGCGGCGATCTGAGCCATCAGAAACCTGCACGTCTCTGAGTACACAAGACATCATTCTATTAGGCGATGACACTGCTTACAGGGAAACATAACGTGCGACCATGTTCATCGTACAGATGGATATAATGAATCCAAGGGCAGCGAATGCATTCGATGCAAAAATGTATATGCAACGTTTTCTCGTACTGTCAGAGTACCTGATCGTCCATGAGACAAGATTCGATACGGAGCAAAATTAGTTTACCGACCTTGAAAGAAAAAAAGCACCAACGGCGGAAAGCACCCATGGAGGAGCGGCGAGCAGCAAAGTCGTCGTCATATCATATCCCATAGTTGCGACAATCGTCGGGAAGTAAATGACGAATGACAACGCCATACAATCGATAATGGACGCGACTGAGAACCACCATACCTTCCAGTCGGACAAAGCATCCCACAGTCCTCGCACGGTGCTCCGTTTGCCGAGCCCGTCAATTCTTCCATAGCCATCATCTACAAGGCGAGATATGGCGAGCGATCTTTCCTCCGGAGTGAGCCATGTAGTGTTGTGAGGGAAATTAGGGAGTAGAAACATCGCACAAATCGCGACTACGATGGTCATGCCGCCATCGATGTAAAACAACCATCTACAGATATGTCAACTTCAGCGAATGACAGGAGACGAATGTTTCCTGCCTCCATCCAGCTTGACCAAGTTTTCCCTGCATGCCTGTAAGTATACCAGATGCAAAGAAGGATCCGAAACCAGCGCTGAGCACGGCTCCACAAGTTACGAGAGTCGTTCTCACAGCGAGCTCGTCTCGCTTGTACCATCCCGAAAGAAGATATATGGTGCCAGGGAAAAAGGGTGCCTCAGCAAAACCAAGAAATAAACGGGCGAGAAGAACCTCGGTATAACTTGGGTGAAACTATGAGATGCCACAATGACGAAAAATGAGAGTGCGTACTTCTGTGTGGCCCCTAGGTACGATTAGCATTCATGATCACGAGTGACCAGTGTTGACAAACCTGTCAATGTTGATACTGCGCCCCATGTCACCATAGTCCATGGAATCAGGATAGCAGGTCTCTCTAGCCAGTGCAGAAACATATTCCTGAAAAAAGTCACAATAAACTTTCCCCCAACGAAGGATGCAACTTACGCTGGCACTTGCATGACACACATTCCCACATAGACGACAGACAAGATGGTCGCGTATTGAGTCCCCTGCAGGTGCAAGTCTTTCTCAAAACCTCCTAACCGTGCGCTACTGTAGACGATATGAAATGTCATGTAATCGAGTATTGCGATGCGCAACATACCTAGCATTCCCTCTGTCGATCTAACCAGTGGTAAGCGCCAGGTAATAAAGAGCTCAAACCCACTCACATAGTTCAGGGCATACAAAAGCACGATCAGGAACAGACGTAGATCGAGCTTCCTTACCAATCTCCTCTCGAGATCATCACGGGCATGGCTGGGTAAACCAGACGAGACATGAACTATTTCTGATTTCTCGTTGCTGAGAGCAGACATCGTTCAAAAAACAACAACACAACAGAAAGGGTTGACGAGCCTCTTTATGAGGTGCAGGTGGGAAGCAAAGATAATGGTGGGGCACCATCGATTAAATATCAACTGGCACCCAATAGGGTACCCGGGCCGCTTTGAACAAATTCATGTTTGGTTGCGCATATAGTATAACCAATGACCGTGTGCGTGGCATGCAGTTGTGGTAGAATTGTTGGTAGAACTTCTGAGTTTTGGCAACCGGTCTGGCAAAACTGAATGCGTGACTCACGGCAGAACTAAGATGGAAGAAAACCACAGAGCAACCAGGGCTCGCGGAGATATAATCTAGATACGGATGGTTTAATAGAGCGCAAAAACTGACTGTTGATTCTTGGTTGATTCCCTTAAGATTATGGTGCCAGTGACCAAACAGACGGTCCTTCATGGTAGAAAACCTTGCAATTAATTGACAAGGTCTTTGCCAGTTATTGTGATGATCTTCTCGATTATAAAACACACCACACACCATCAACATGGACATGCTCACATGCACACTCGTGATTCGTGAACAGGTGGGCATTGCTTTCGAAATTGCACAGGATCTTGAGGCATCCTTCACGTGGACACTTCCACTCTCGACCGAACCTCGTATCTAGGGACCAACTCGCCCGACGACATTGACTTTGCGGCTCTAGAAGAGTCGAAAAGGACTGTTGAAACTCGGAGGAAACGCTTCTGATTTTGGCGATCGTGAGCACCTATATTTCCCACAATACGGACTTGGTAAAGCGGCCTTATGTGACGTGTAGCGCCGCTTAATAAAGTCTCGTATCTGCTTGTATGGAGCACCGCCGGTGCGCACCAGCAGTTTTAGGTGACTTAGCACTACCAGCACCTACGGCTATATTGGTATGTTTGCCACACACCCGTTTTGGGTAATAACATCTGTTCGCCACTTCTCACGACGTCCAAACAGAGTCTGCTCACTGTCTACCACAGCGAGCTCGCATTATGGCTCAAAATCACACCGATTTTGTTGGTTTTTTTTTTTTGTATATATGTCATATGCACAATATTCTGATAGATATGTTAGTCAAATAACACTAATGACATGTATTCAAGTTCACGGGGCTACAACAATGAGTATCTAAGCATTCTCCAGGTCAGATGGCACAAGCTGAGAGCTCTTTTGCTTTGAGACTCTCTGTTTCTTTCTTCGGCCTGACGCGGCAGTTGGCACCGTCTGATTATCTCTGCCTGAATCATCCCAGAATGCCTGTGCCCTTTCTGTGAGCTTCCGGGCACACTTTTCCCGTCCTGATTGTCCTTCCGATGGCTGAACTTGCACCCACTTGTGAGTATTCGTGGTTGCCATGAGAACACTGTCTTCAGCAGTCGTCTGAGATGCCACTGCTGATGACGCATGAATGGGAGGTGTTCGTGGGGGTGACACAGGCGGTGATGTTGAAGATGTTGGGGTTGGCACAGGTGAAGATGGTGGAGATGGTGGGGTGGACACTGGCGAAAATGTTGGAGATGGTGGGGATGACACAGCCAGTGATGTTGGAAATGGCTGAACAGTGGCAGATGCTAATGAACAAGTTAGGGTTCATGCGGAGTGCCAAGAAACATAAGTACTTACAATTATCAGAGGTCCGAAGGACAGGATCAATGCGGTCATCTGGTATTGATGAAGAATTGATACTGGTACTTGTGTGAGCGAGTGCTGTAGGACTGGCTTGTTGAGTGGTGTGATCCTCGGTAGGGAGACGAACTTCAGTGGATGAGGTATTGTCAAAAGGGTCGTGATCAGCCTGTGTTGCCTGGCTTGAGGCTGCACTAGGAAGAATGTTGTCGAGAGGAATGTTGTCAAGAGGAATGTCATTGAGAGGCACCAGTGGTTCTAACTCTGGGGTGAGTTTCTCCCCAGCAGCAATACGGCGCTGCCGTTATTCGACTTCGTCTCGAGTGATCTTGATGAAACGGCATGTCCCCTTTGACAAGGCCTCCACAACTTTCTCGAGGGCGTCGAGGCCACCTTTCAAGTCCGAAGGATTGAGCCATTGTGGGTGGTTCCATCCGACAAGCTTTACCAAATAGCGCTGGACCACACGAACCTCATAGTGCTTGAACTCAACAGAGGCTTTTGCATCACCAGTGAGTTCACCTGTGAATTGAGTCAGCACAAGTGACACAAGTAATAACTTTGTACTTACACAGAGATGCGCGGATGTTGAGTCAGATTGAAGCCTTTGCTTTTGAGACACGGTTGCGATGATTCATAGCTGAAGCTATACATGTATGTAGTTAGAGTTGAAAAAATTAATGAAAGAAATGACTTACTGAGGATGACACCATTAGCCAAGATGGTGCTTTCAAACTCTGTTGCAAGCTGTGCAATGTCCTTCTGTAGATATAAGCAAACAAACTGCTCAGCAGCAGCACTTGAAAAAAAAGCTTTTGGTGCCATAGCAAAGTCGGAAACCCCACGGACCATGAGGACTATGGCCTCTATGCCCACACGCTGCTTTAAAGCATCAAGCTGTTGATGCAGTATTAGTAATATGTAAATGTAGCGTGCAATATATGTACCTCTTCCTTGACAAATTGAAAACTACGTGCACACTCAGCTGCACGTGAACGAGCAGTTATGGTGGGAGGACACTGGCTTGTGCTGGCCTTAACCTGGTTGAATTCCTTGATAAGTGTCTCCTTCTCGGCCTTCTTGAGGGAGTGATATTCGGCCTTGTCTTTCACGAGGTCTACTATATTAGACCGTTCATTATCTGAAAACAATGTTAGTGAAGTAAACACCATATGTTAGTAAGTACTTACTGGCACCTTTGAAATGCAAAAATGCATGCCAAGCACTGGTCTTATTGTGTTTGCGGCGGTGAGGTGCAGAGCCTAGTGAAAAATGTTCAAGGTAATGACATCGGGGCTGCTTAAATTTCAAAGCGAGTTCTGTTGCCTTCATCTCGAGGTAGTTGAGAACTGCTTGAATTTCTTGATCTTCATCGAGTCGCTTAGCACGCCGGTGTTCGGCCAATTGCTGCTGAAGCTCCTTTGAAATCTTCACGTAAGGACATCGAGTTTTTGACAACAGTCGACAAACATTATGAGGCCGAGGTGCTACGGGCATGATGCTTAGGATGACAAAATTTGGGAGTCGGGACACTTGCAGTGTATATATTGTGTTATATTATACAAAAACAAACAGGTAAATGGTTGAGTTGACAGCATGTCCCCAGAAGGATTCAAACTAATTACACTTAGCGTCCATCAACATTGCTTCTCCAATCATTTCAGCATGGTCCTTCGGCAGCTGGTAAGGTTCATCCTGAAGCTTAGCAACCCAGTGTTTCGGCAGAAAGTCTGTCTGGATTTGGATACAGACCCAGTGAAAAGTGTCTGGGTAACCAAGGACTTCCAGAACATTCTCCATCTCAGCGCCAAATGATACAAGAGGCTGAAGTCCAGAATCAAAGGATGAGCCCAATGATGAGGGAGGATAGGCACGGCCCAATGACAGAGTTTGAAGTACCGGTTCAGTCGCAGGTGTTTTCACTGTTCTTTCAGCAACTGGTGTTGAGGGCGCAGCAGCAAGAGAGGGCTCAGCATCATAATTGGAAGCATAATTGGTAGCTTTGATGCAAAATCCACCCTGTTGATCAGTAATTAGTGTTCATCAAAAAAAAAATTCATGCACTTACCTTACGGGTATTCTCCATGTTTGAGTGCATAGCAGTAAATGGCACGACTTTCACCTGGTGTCGGCTATCAGGTTTTTTAGCTGATGCCGATGCCGATGCAGCCTTTCCATGCTGTGTCACAGGCACTTGAGCTGGTGCCCACATAATGCGACCAGCATCTGATTTGGGGAGATATGATAAGAGCTGAGGGCAGGAAAGTAACTGATGAAGAGTATCCATTGGACATCCGGGGATTACAAAATGCAATGAACCTGGAGTGACGGGAGGTGGAACAAGCAGTAACTTCGAGTCATCTGTCCTGTTTGCTTGCGGATATGCATCCTGAGCAGATGAGCTCAACCACCCAGCACGATAGCAATTAGCGGCAAACAATTGAGCCAACGGAGTAGCATAGTGGGCAGTAAACAACTGGGAGATCTGTGCAATTACAACATGAAGTTCAGGGTGTTCTGCAAGAACTTTCAGGTTGGCATAGACATGGGCGTTAAGCATTTGTGGAATGATTGCAGACTTGGGAGCTACTGTGCCAGGATGGTGTAAAAAGACTGTTGAACCACCTGTTAACCTATCCAGTAGCGTACACTGAGTGTATCAGTAAGTAGCCAGCATAAAAACGACGGAAAGAGCTCACCAGATCCAAGACATTGTGCAAAATTATTTTTATGTGTTCAGCACGTGCCTGCCAGTTCTGATACTTGGCGCTTTGACTACTTTTCTCAAACTTTGAGGATCCCGTGTGGTAGTGATCAACAGTAAGAGGATGAAAACCGACTTTGGCGTCCGATTGGAAGTGGTTGCCATCTGTATGAAATTTGTGTGCCAACAGTGAGATCAGTGCTGATTTCCAACGCTTGCTGGATTCAGCAGTAGCAGCAATATTTTCTGGGCATGGAAATAAAGCAAATGCCTCCTGGAGGCCATTGACAGTAGGAGAACGAGAAATTGGGTTAGACTGCCAATCCATGTGTGAGCAGGAACTGGAGAGATGTATTGCAGTGTGCGAATCACTGGCAAGTGTGAATTGCCTTGTGTTTACCTCATGCAGCTGATTACTGCATCTACTGCAATGCGATCCAATTTAACTACTGATAACTTTCAATTTGTACTGTCTGTGCAACACTCCAATTACCATAGCTCGTGGCTGCATAGTTTCCTGTCTGTAGCATCCTTTGATTTCATGTTATATAGTACAGTGACTGCAGCAATATTAAATGCTTCATTCTTTGCGGTTAGGCCTCTCAGATTTCTCGTGTGCTGATAACTCATGCAATGATAACTTGTGCGACATCAAAACTGCATTCACGGGGATCTACTACTGATAAATAATAGTGTGCGACTCATTAATACTGGTGTCCATAATGTGATGATCAAGTGAATCAATATAATCCTGCACTTGCTCAAGCTCATCTATGTCACCGCATTCTTCCTCGCTCTCTACTACACTCTGTGACTCCTCCTCCGAAGCATGGGGGATTGCAGAGTCATCTGGCTGCACATGCCCTAGTTGAAGGCCTGCACAGACGGGGCCGCTATAGCCTGGCAAAGAGCAAGTTTTCTGGAAGCGCCACAAATGACATGCATTTACAGATTGTAAATACTGCCAATGCCAAGTCACTTCCCCTGCAAGGAAGGGGTCAGTTTCCTCTAGTCTCTTGATGGCAGCAGGATATTTCAATCTATCATCTCGAATCTTGGTCAGTAAGTGGCCAATCTCTACATCCAAGTGCTGAACTTCCATCACTGTCTCGGAGTAAGTCGAACTCCGCAAGGAATGAATATTTAACAATTTGCTCCCATTGAAGTGGGGCTCGTGGCGGATTAAGAAGGGCCGCATACTTGTTGTACCATTGGATAGCATTTCGGATTGCAGTTGCACACATTTTGAGAGCAGTGGAGATCTGAGTGCGCAGTTTGTAACCTGGATCCGTACATGTCAATACACAGTCAAAACGTATAGAAAAACCTTACCAAGACCATTCATTTGCATTTTCGTGAGCTTGAGAAGCCTCATTACAACAAGGTGTTAAACATCACTCACTGCCTTGTGATATAGCTGGTGCGTAATTTGAGACTGTGCCTTCAGTCGTTCTGGATGTTCGGGGTGCCAGCGTGTCTCAAGCGCCATCTGCCGTTCATAGTCCTCCACAATCTCCAGTTTCTGATCTAACTTGTTTGTAGTGTTTGTGTGTCGTCGATGTACATGTCCGGCATCCTTTGCTGACACATCGAGTCTCAAATCAAGCTTTTGGAACTCGGTCCAAGCATTGTCATATGCAGCCCTAGATAGATTAAATGATGTGTTTTAATGAAAATGATGTCAGTCTTACTGCACGTCTTCCAAATCAACAAGAGCCTTCACATAATCCACTTCAACAGAAGTTTCATCCTTCTTGCGTGTGAGGGCTTGCAAACAAGCACGCTCATCCTCTAAGTCGGCTGCAAAATCAATGTTGGGTGTTGATGCTTGAAAATTCAAAAGGAAGATAGTAGAGGCGTTGATGATCGAGAGAGCTTGAACATAATTCTGATGAATGAAATTCGCTAAATAAATGGTCAGATTGATGTACAGGTGAAGTCATAAATACGTACATAACCCAGCATACTTATCCATATCAGCGAAACGAAAGTGCTCGTCTAATGCCTGGTGGCAGTGGAACTCTGTGGCATTGCGTGTCTGTGCAGCCAGAGCATTAGATTCTGAAAACACACGCTCACATGTCTCAAAATCCTCCTTTCCAGCGCCTACCATGTACTTTGAATGGTGTTGTACTTGACACAGTTGGTTGTGTGCATGTCCGTGAAACACAGGAACAACACCTTGGATATTCAACTGCTTCATGTCATCAGCTAACGAGCTTCGAAGAAGGATTTTCTTGAAGGCACATTTAATGTCGTAACCATAAAGAATATTCGGCCCAAAGACATCCATTAGCTTCTTTAAGCTGGCAATAGGGTACTTCATACTAGTACAGGATGTCAGTAGCAGGCCAGTGCAAATGAGAGAAACTTTAGCTAACAGTTCTCCACTTCGTACCATATCACAAATGGTGAGCAGAAATCCATGCCGACAAATGGTGATGAATATGCCGGACTTCTTGAAAATTATGAACATTTTCTTACAGGACTCTGGCGCCGCATTACACCAGCGGTCAACGCAGACGTTGCTCGGTTCTGCATCAGTTGAGTCAGGTTCATCTACCCATGGGTCATCAGGGTCCTGGATTTGTTGCTGGTCGACTCGGATGTCCTTGGCTTGACGGGTACGGGCACTCTGGACTTCATCTTTGAAGCCATCAACATATTCCTCCGTGAGCCATATGGAACTGAGACCAGATCGTGGATAAAGACGTTCGTTGCCTCTGCAAATGACAGGATCAACAAGCTTCACAGAATTATTACCATCACAAGCGCAGAGGACAGAAAATTTCAGCACAGGTTCATCTTCAAGCTGGTATTGACAGGCAGGGCAAGAGTTAAGCATGCACCAGTGTGGAGTATCATGCCCAAGGTGGGTATCAATCTTCATGTCAATGTGTCGCAAAACTTCGAGATAGACGTCATATGCGACGCAGTATTGAGTTGCCAGATAGCGATGATAATAAACCTGAAGTGGAAATTAAGATATAGTAATGATTGAGGAAGCGGTGACTCACATTATGTAGATGACATAACTTTTTTGCCTCAGTGTGAATACTGAGCTGTGGACACACGTGGTGTGTTTGCCGGTACACGGCCGGTGTTCGTATAGTAATCGCTATGCTTGGACGTATCAGCAGAACAGCCGATGCAGCTATGGCGCATCAACATGACATTGATATAAGGCGACTGGTGTTTGAAAGTACAGGCCTCGTGAGCTGTACAGTAATGTAAGACAAAGCTAGATGATGGACAAATACACTCACCAAAAATGTTGACAACCTCGATAGAAAATGTTTCCGGTTTGTTAGAGTCAGTAGATAGGCGGTTGCAGATGATCATGAAGGTAGGCTTGCAAAGCTTCTGACAATGCGTCATATTGCTCTAACCATGAGTGAACTTCGTCGTGAATACGCTGACTTTGGTCTCGCAAGTCAGAGCGTCTAGACGAAGACAATATGTCATGATAGCTACACACACGATATGAATGTAAAAACTTACTTTCGGTGGTCGTTCGTGAGCTGGTCAAGTTCCTGGTACAGCAACATCTCTTCTCCTGCATGGCTGAGAGCATGGGCTTCTTCCCCAGGAGGAGGGAGGACAGCATCAAAATCCATTCCAAAGTCAACATCATCACTTGCGATGGCTTTAGAAGCGAGTTCAGATTGCAGGAGGCATTCTCGTTCTCAGTAGAGGGATCTCTGCAATTCAGTCAACAGATATCAAATAGGATCATACATCAAACTCACTCTTTAAAAGTGCTGCCCAGAGCTCACGAGCATCCTGTTCTCGTTGTTGGATACCTCCTGTGCGCAAACTCATCTTTTTGCCTCCAACTTGGACCACACACTTTCTAGAAACTCCTCCTACAGCGCCACGAGTCATGTGTAGACAGGCTTTGATGGGCTTGATGTGAGGTGGTTAAGAGTGTAGCAGTGGTGAGGTGGTTAGAGGCAGAGGGCTGTAATGTCACATGTCACAACCAATACATAATATCAATGTTGCGCACTAGAAAATAGCAGTGATAGTAGTCAGTTCATAGCGAGGGTGATTAGATAAAATAAAAAAAGACTTACATACCAAAAAAAACCCAACAAAATCAGTGTGATTTTGAGTCATAATGCGAGCTCGCTGTGGTAGACAGTGAGCAGACTCTGTTTGGACGTCGTGAGAAGTGGCGAACAGATGTTATTACCCAAAACGGGTGTGTGGCAAACATACCAATATAGCCGTAGGTGCTGGTAGTGCTAAGTCACCTAAAACTGCTGGTGCGCACCAGCGGTGCTCCATACAAGCAGATACGAGGCTTTATTAAGCGGCACTACACGTCACATAAGGCCGCTTTACCAAGTCCGTATTGTGGGAAATATAGGTGATCATGAGAGCAGACATCACATTATGTAAGTCATGACATGTCACAGAGACTAGGCCTTGCTTTCAACTTGTAGTGGCACGTGCTGGACTCGGCTGACAAACACCGTTACTCACTGGCACTCAGTGAGTATTGGTTTCCCTTTATTTGTTGACACTGTAATACTTAACAATACCACTCGAATCCTGGCCTCTCATGCCTTCTAATCCACTTGTCTGGCTAGAGTGTCGCCAATTACTTGCTTAACACTTTGTTTACCAAGTTTAGATAGAATGCTAATGAGGTAATAATGTTGGAAATTTCTAATTTTGGTTGGCATGCCTTAAAATGGATTGGAAGGCCTCAATTTACGAGCGGCATTACAACTCGCTTGGAAGAGAACCCCAAAATTTTGAAAGCCACTTAGAAGCAATATAGAGAGTCTTGCAAGTGGGTCCCAAGATCATTCCAATGCAAGGGCAAGATTTTGACCAATGCCTTATATACCCTAATTGGGATATCATTGGAAGCGACAAGTATCCTTCCAAGGTCTTGACATTACACAGTCTTTTATTTAATATAATAATAGTGCTATTAATAATAATATTGTAAAATTGCTCCCAATTGTATTCTAATCATTCCCCAATCACTCCTGTTTCATTTTGAAATAATAATTCTGGTGGGGACAATGTTTGAGTTGGACACAATAAAAATATGATATCAGTCTTACTAACCTTGGACAAACAGATGGATGAGACCACCCAGAGAGGCAGTTAATGACCAAATTCCATTCCTAGCATTGTGTTCAAGGAGACAGGAGTGGTTAGAGGCAGGTGACGGCAGCACGACAAGTTCAAGGAGATGGGAGTGGTTGGAGGCAGGCAACAGCAGCACAACAAGTTCAAGAAGATGGGAGTGGTTGGAGGCAGGCACAGCAGCACGACAAGTTCAAGGAGACGGGAGTGGTTGGAGGCAAGCAACAGCAGCACCACAAGTTCAAGAAGACAGGAGTGGTTGGAGGCAGGCAACAGCAGCATGACAAGTTCAAGGAGAGGGGAGTGGTTGGAGGCAAGCAACAGCAGCACCACAAGTTCAAGAAGACAGGAGTGGTTGGAGGCAGGCAACAGCAGCACAACAAGTTTAAGAAGACAACAGAAGTGGTTGGGGCAGGCGTCAATGGCAGCATGACAAGTTTAAGGAGACAATGGGAATGGAGGTTGGCAGGACAAGACAGTCAATGACAACAAGACTTATTAATTCTGTTTATAGTTGAAATGACATGACAAGTTGAATGAAAGACTTTCAAGACTTTCAAATCAAATGTTTGTTATTGTTAATTGTATTACTAATCCAATGACATCAAGAACAATCTAAGTATATTGACGAGTGACATGAGACAAAGAAAGTCTATTATATTACTTAGTGGTCTTTGATCGGCCCCTTCGCACACCACTGCCACTGACTACTAATGATGAAACCTCAGGTTCAACGTTGGCAGAAGCTTGATCTTCTGAAATGTTACTGTCAGCAGCTACAGCCTTGCCCTTCTGCCTTGGCTTCGGCTTCTGAGCAGCAACAGGAGCCTCAAGCACTACAGGCTCTGCTTCAATGTCCTCGTTGACCACTGCAGGTGGTAGGTGCTCAGCCAAAGCTAGACCTTGCATGGCAGCAGAGATTGACTGTGGTACGGGTGCAGAAGAAGATGCTTCGATGACAGGACCAACCAACAATGTCTGGATCATGTTGAGTTCTGGTAGTTCCGCCCCAGTCTCCATTGCATGCTCAAACATTTCTTCCCAGCTGTCACATGGACCACTTGTCAAGTCACCTAGTAACATCGAGTCTGAATTGAGGAGAGTTGCGGCAGAAGAAGTGGAAAACAAGGAGTTGTTGAAAAAGGTGAAGACTCCATCAGCCCAGGCACCTCTAGTCAACAGCAATTGTCAGTAGTAGTTATGGAAGTCTTTGTATGGTATGTGAGACTTGTCACCAACTTCAACCAACTCTTTGTCACCAGAAAGGACAAATATAGCCTGAAACTCGTACTAAGTGTCAATATTAGGCAGCATAAGAGAAAATAGTGTACGACAATGGCTGCTGCAGCAATGAGACCAGGTGTTACAGCACATAGCTCCCATATTTTTGCCTTTGTTTTCGGAGTGGGAACTGCATTGGCAGCGAGTGATGACCGGCCAAAGAGTGACACTTTCAGAATCTATAAATGCTATTTAGTTAGTTCTATTTAGAGAGGGGAAGGCAAGAACCTACATAAACGAGTTTTGCTGTTTTCAAAAACTGATCTCTGAGGAGATGGTCCAGATGAGGGAAAAGAATTGGGACAAACTTTGTGTACTGGACTTGGGGGTTGAGGAGCAGAGATTTGCAAGAAGGCTCTGTGTCCCATGCATAACTGCATATAAAAAACTTGGCATCTAAGCCAAAAATGGCTGCCACACATGATTTAACATCCGAGAGCATTTCGGCACAAACATTATTGATGCCTTTCACAAACTGGAAAGACTGAGTTTATTATTGAGCACAATCAAAGATGGGAGGACTTACGTGAGAGCCAAAGTTTTTATGAGCCATCATATTATGGTCAGTTGACGGTATGAATTGGAAAAGTTCAGCTTTAATGCCATCCTGGATGGATAGTGGTGAGAGCCATCACTCCTTGCTCGAGAGGTTGATTCTGGGAGGTGGCCCACGCAAGGGGAAAATAGATGTTTTGACCCATAAGCAGTGGATGATAGAGAACTTGCGTCCAAAATTTCTGATGCTGTCTTCCTTGGCAGCAAGGGCAAGATCTTTCTTTGTAAGCTTTGTCTTCTGACCTTTCGAACTGTAGCCTCAAGTAAAGCAATCTTCTTCAATGATTCCCGGTGCTCTCCACGCATGTCAAGAAGAAGTTTTTGCGCGTTTTCAAGTGCCTGTTAGTAGATATGATTATCAGTTATTACTACAAACATTGTCTGTGTGTGTCAAAACATTACCTTGTGAAGATCTTGAGTTGACACGTTAGCAGGTGGGGCAGCAATGGCATCACAAATCTGCATCAAGTCTCCATTGTCCAAATCTGAATTGCTAAGGCTATCAGTTCCATCTGAGCTGTGGGTGGAATCACTGTCAATGTCATTGATTGCTTGAGTGAAGTCTTTGCCTTGGTTGCACTGAATTAGAGGCATAGTAATAGTATCAGTGAAACAGTCAAGCAAATGCCGAGAACAGAAAACTGGAGTCTTAGTCAATTGCACGAGCTTTAAATTGACCCTAGCATCTGCTATTGGGGCGGCGATGATGTGTCATGACATTAACTAACAAATTGATATGCACCTTAGGCTCATTGAATATATGTAAAGATGCGCATTGAGGGTTCTGATAAAGGTTGCAGCATTGTTCAGACGAATATCAGAATGAGATCCTGTGGATGTAATAAGGTGGCAGCATCATGTCAATATCACATGCACAAATTAAACAGAGCATCATCACAACTTACTTGAATACATAATGTATTGACAACAATTGTGTTATGTCTCCATGCAAAAAGCGGAGATGAACAATTGATAGTCTATTAAGTACTCTAAAAATTCCTGGGCATCAACAGGAGGCAATGGGAAGAGATTAGTAGGAGGCAGCATAATAATAATGGAAGGTACATACCCAAAAGCTAGCTCTCAATTGATGGCTGTAAAGCAGTTCAGTGTGGGCAGATAGGTGAGCCACCGAACATGAGAAAACAATAAGCGGAAGATCTGGACCAGCTGGTGGGAAAGTGTGCCTTGTCAATGAGTTGCTGGAGTAGGACGAGAGTAAGCTGAGCACATAATGGCGAAATATGTGTGCCTTGAGTTGCTAGAACAGGTCAAGAGCAGCAAAGGTCATGGATTGAAGTTTGGTGCAGTAGGCGATGGTAACCAATGGCCATATGAAGGCATGGGGACCAATGCAGCTGGAGGAGGTGGGAAGGGATTTGTGGTAGGTGGAGGGGTTGTCTTGGACGAGGAGGGAAGGATATAATAAGTCAGGTAAGGTCCTTGACCTACAAAATCTTTCTTGACCATGTCTTTGAACTCCCTAAGTGTTACCAGATCTGCATTGAGTTCCCACTTCAGATACTCACACATCTCGCGCTCCATCTGATTTATTTCTTGCAATTGGAACATACCTTGGGCTACAATACTCCAGGATTTGTTGGAGTAAGTGTTGTCACAGATGACCTTGGATGCGAGCATGAAAGCAGATACACAAAGACGGTGACCCAAAAATCCCCAAGCAGTGGGAAAGCGTGCTGTGGGAAGCTGGAAAGGTCATGGATTGGAGTTTGGTGTGGTGAGATACGTATGCAATGAAATGGAGGAGAGGAAGGAGGGTGCTCTGGACAAGTAAAGAGATAGGTAATGTCAATGAACTATTATTACTAATGTAACTGTAGTGAATGTATGGTATGAAGAAACATGTCAGTATCCACAGTATCCACAAGAAAATAATCTCCATCATGAGAAAAATCTGGGACGGAGAAGAGCACCACAAATGATGGAATGAAGCATAATAAACTCAGATGAAAAAGCGGGCCATGCACAAAGTCGAGTTAGTCACAGTTCTCAATCCATATGCCGACTGTGGGCCAATCAAGGCATCCATAGGTAGAACGAGCGCGAGATCTAAGGTACAGCTGCCAACAGTGTGCTTAAACATGCATAATATCTTCACAAATATATTTTTGTCGTGGCCATCCTTGTCTAGTGTGCATATTAGAGTGCAGTCATGCCGTTCTTTGCTATGGAAGCTTGGGTTGCATCGCAGGTAGTCAGTAGCCAGCTTCCAGTCAGCAGTAGACTTGTAATGCACTTTCAAGTATTGATATTCGTGAATCTTTTGACATACAAAGTCAGATTTGAATAAAAGCAAGGAAAGTCAATTTACCCGGTCTTGTGCTGAAAGTTTCAACCATGTTGTTCCTTCTGGCAGTGGTATGTTGTGAGAGGGAAGGAAATGGTTGAGAAATGTCGCGAGTTTCTTCCAAAACTGGTGAAAGGCACGAATGGACTTGTTTTCTTCCTCCACTTGCAAAAGGGTTGTTTGATTCTTGAGGGGTGAACCAATATGGAAATGTTCTTCAAATTTCTCGTCATCCAAGTCTGTGTCCTCCAGTTCTTCCTGTGAAAGCATGAGTTTGTGTCGTTCCTCATCAAGGCACTCAATATGACTGCAAATAAATTCAGAGACAACACTCATATGGTTGAGCTCAAGGATCTATGTTACACAAAATGAGTGGTATGGAGCGACTCATTGAGAGTTAGAATTAAAAAGCATGAGCATACCTGATCAGCAATATCCTTACGATTGGTTTGCCATAGATACCACCATTTGATTGGTCCATGTTGCTTCTCATTTGGTCGAGTGCTGAAGTTCCGAGCAGAACCTTTTGCCATGATGTCATCAAATATATGCTTTCCAGAGTGAATCTTTGAAAAGTTCCAGTTCTTGATCATGTCTGGATCAGTCTCCACAACAATTTTGATGTAGTCCTGAGATATCAATGATAAGTGAATTAATACTAATGACAATTTGCAGAACCGCTATGATGTACCTCTAAGCGCTTCTGAAACTCTAGTACCTCTGCCCTTCCTGCAGCAATCGTGCTTTCAGTCTGCATGTCAAGTGAAATATACATGTCAATATGTAGGTAGCTTGCTATACACCATAGTAGTGCATAGCCGGCTTCGTCTGCTGCACTTGTGAGTATGTTCTGTGCGACATACAAGACTTGCTATGAGAAGAGTAATTCGTTAACATGAGAACTGGTAGCCATGAAGTCATATCATACCTTGGAGATATCCCGAAGTTTGTTACCATCGCTGTAAGTAATATTAGTAACCCGATCAAAGTGATTCAGATTGCGCCATCGCGGGAAGGCATCGAACCTGTGAGCAATTAAATAGGGTCACTAACATGTAGTCCAAACAATTAAACCCCACTGATTGTCCAGTTTCTTCTCGGCACTGCGTCCAAGGGCTGCAATGTGTTGTTTGAGCTTGCCAAAGGGATGTTTCCACTGACCCATATGATATACATGCAAATGGTCCTGTGAAATCATGTCGTGAGGATCAGAATTCGGGACTTTCCAGAATACATTCTATAAGACATGATTAATGGGGGACAATCATTGGTACATTTGATTGCAAGTGCTGACCTTAATAGGCCGTAGGCCCTGTTTTTTGAGTGCGCTTTCTCCAGCTACATAGTCCCCAGTCCATAGCTCCACCAAAGCTTTTGCATCATCAGATGATCGAATTGGATAAGTGAAAGCATTATCATAGAGCTTGTCTGAAGGAACAAGGCAGATAGGACAGGGACAGTGACAATTGGTTCCCATATCAGTGCCATCACGCACCTAAGATTAGATCAGAAAACCATCAGAAAAAGTATGAAATGACGTTACTGCTCCTCATAATCAGCTGATAAGAGTAAGATAAATGCATACAACCATCTCATGACACCATCATAGCATGTATATGCATACCCTGTCTCGGCATAGATGATGATGGTTTTGAGCAGCTTGAAGAATGCCTTGTGCCATACAACACATTTGAGATTGACATACGAGAGCTTTCCATCCTCCTCGGAATCATCAGGAACCTGTGCAAAAGAACTGTTTTCCCAGTGAAACTCAGAACTAACACTAATTTCACTTACTATTGGTAGCCAGCCAACCAATTGCCCACCACCAAGTCCATCAGTGTTCCTAATATTGACAGGCAAGTTTCCACATCGCACAAAGACAGGGTAGGCTTTGACTGTACCGGCAGAAGGGTTTTGTCCACATACAATATAAGTGCGAATGGGACACCATTTTCAGGTAAAGATGACTGTGAATTAAATATATAAAGGGTATCACTTAGTAGAATCGCAAATGAACAATAATACAAATAAGATAGCATACTTGAACTTTCCACCAACAGTCTCCAGTCCAAGGTTCATGCACAAAATGCTCATAACACATTCTGTTGTGCTTGTACAATTGCTGTGCATCCCAAACAAAATGGGGTGCCAGCAGTGGGTCCTGTAGCAAGTCTAAGGCCCAGTCCCTACAATGGCCATATGTATATGTCGTACTTGAGGTCCTCCCGCTTGTACTCAACAGTAATGGTATGCTTCTCGAACTATCAAAAGAATGTCTAATATGACTGCAAAAAAAGAAAATCATGTTCTTCTCTCACAGGTGTCATTTGATCCAGCGGCCCTGTCCCAGGCTTTTGAAACATCACCATGGGACTTGAATGTGAATTTCACTTGGCCATCAGCAATTCTCCAGATGAGCCACAACAGCTCGTCTGTTTGATTCTTGTTCAAGGCAGCCTTGTGTGCAAGTTTGGCAAACTCAAAGTCCGCATGACAAGCAAAAGGCTGCCAGGGTTCATTGTCAACAATAGGTGGTGGCTGATGCTCCTTGCGTCCAAAAGTGGAGAATGACTTTACAGAAGTCGCATGGCCTGCTGTGTGGGTGGTATTCTGTCTTGAAAGTATTGAGATTAGGACAAGCTGAAGGCACAATTGGGAGCGATGATAGGGTGATACACGCGGGGATGCCCATGATTGTATCTGATTCTGAACCTGCAATTAAGATTTCAGAAAGGGAGCATATCATGGGTCAAAATAATACATATATTGACATGCTTCTGAATCTCTACTGATGCTCATTGCATCGGCGACATCTGAACCCCCTTTGAACAATGGACCTGCAGTGAATTATCAGGCTGTTGATCTTGCTGATCTTGCTCAGGTGATAAGTTCTTTGTGCCATCCGGGACCATTCTCAAAGGGACCGATGGTGCTGTGGCAACAGCAGAAGCCATTTTTTGCTCCTTATGATGCCGTCTTTTCTCTCGACGTGCTTCTAACAATGACATGAAAAGTATTTAGTACACTGATATCAACAAGACAATATGTCAATGAAGACAGAATTTAACCGACACTTACCTTTTCTTTGAAGTTCCTCATCTAATACTGCACGTGCTGCAAGTGCCACGGAATCCTTATCATCATTCTTCTTATCCCATCTTCTCAGACACCCTTGTTCATGAGATTTGATCCCACGTGCTGAGTATGACTTGTCACAGTACTGACAATCCACTTGATTGTTGGATGATGTTGAAGCAATATATTTACATCCCTGGTTCGTCGTGTTTCGTCGATTGGGGGCCATGCCACAAGAGTAGTACAAATTAAAGATATACAGCCTAAGAAAGGCAGCTAAAGATTCAAACACAATGATGGGAGGAGTGATGAGTCAGATCAATATAATAAGTTTCAACATGACGCCAATGTGACACTCTCAATTCGGAACCCAACCCTAAGTTAGGGCCATCCTGGGATGGATTTCCAAATTTGGAATAACCCTAACCCTGTTTATTCTTGCCATTTGGTGGTGAGTCTAAGTGATGCAGGGATTGGCCACAGGGTATGGCTAGTAGTAGTACTGCCAAACTGAACTACTGTCAGTGGGCTATCCTCATTTGGAATATTGTAAAACATACTGCTGCAGTGTATCAACACATCATTTGCAATGGTTGATCTACTCTGAATATTGTCAAATACTAGCCAAGAATGTCAACAACGATGGCAGCAGAGACTGGAACAGGAGCTCGGATGACACAATTGAGGGTGGGGTGTGCAGCAGTACCAGGAAAGCGAGACCCCATTGGTGGTGTGCTTAGAACAGTTAATAAGGGCTGGAACATTTACTGGTTGTGAGTGTGATAATTGTGCTGATCCTGATTCAGCTCGAGGGTAAGGAAGGGAGATGGCTGATGCATGTGTCTTGTATTGGGGCTTGGGGTGGGCATTCACAGGACCAGCCATGGTGTGACCAACTTTCATGCTCTTATGATGGGTGGGGACCTCACGGGCTGGGGAGGACATAGGTCGGACGTGACAATCTAAGCAAGGTCATAATAGCTAGCAACAGCACCTAGTAATTACTCACCATTGGAATCGCTTGTAAGTACAGTAGACTTGCTCATAATGCATATCATAATAATGCATAAATCTCATAACGCATGGACTTTCCAGGATCCCATTGAGCCGAAATCATAAAACACTTTCAATCTCTCAAATCTGGTGCACTCATTTTCACACAGTCGACTTTATCTCACAAGTTAAAGGAAAGGCCCAAAATGGAAGCACGTGTCAATGATAACCCTAATGCTTTGTCATCAAAGCGACCAAGGATTGTCACCAGACCTGATGTCGAGCATGCCTTGATTTTGTGGGTCAGGCATATGGAAAATAAATGTGAAACAGTGACTGGACCTATGTTACTAGAGAAATGGAAAAGGTTTGAGGATGAGTTCAATGTCCCTAACAATGAAAGGTTGTTAGGGGAAGCATGGGTTTCGTCATTTTGCAAAGCTTACAAGATCCACAAGTACCGACGGCATGGGGAATCTGGATCTGTTGACACTGAAGCTGTTGTTGCAGAGCAAGAACATTGTCGTAGGATTTTAACAATGTTTGCTCCTTGAGATTGGTGGAACTTTGATGAGACATCCTTCTTTCCATAGTGAGTGTTCATTTCAAAATTCATTTTGTAATTTGCAGTGCTTAATTTCATTCATTTTCAGTGCACCTCTGGATCGTGGTCTTGCAACACGACAAATGAGTGGCAAGAAAAAGGAAAAATTCTGCATATCCATTGGGTTAGCCTGCAACGCAGATGGAAGTGAGAGGCTTGAGCCTATTTTTATTGGCAGGGCAAAGAAACCACAATGCTTCAAGAAGCAGACACCTGAACAGCATGGGTTCTATTATCGAAGCAATGAGAAGGCTTGGATGACAGCAACTATATTTGAAGAGTATGTTAATATGATCCTGTGACTGCCATTGATCTCTAATCTATGGAAAGCCTAACAGCCGCACTCCTTTAGTCAGTGTCATGTAGCCATAATAGGTAAGAGGACTTTGTGCACCCCTGCATCGTCTGTCATCGGTTTGCACTGGACGTCTGGTTTGGTGTTTACGGGTTTTTACCACTGGGTCAATTGTTGCAGAGCATCATAATCACATATCAAGAACGTCGAAATAACATACAAGCTCAGCCTGGCCAGCCAAAGATATGATACAGCAAACTGAATATTACTCAAGAGACATCAGCATCATCCCCGCCACTACCAGCAGCAGGCTCAGCGTCATCATCTACGCTACCATCGGCGGCAGACTTGGCAGTGTCATCTATGCTACCATCTGCCTGCTTTGCAAATGATTGTAGGCCGAAACCTGGCCATTCGCAATAATAACTGCATATATGCTGCTTTTCAAACTCACTAACAGCAACCTCCATGTTGCCATCTCCGAAGATATCGATACCTGGGCTCACAGTGCTGAGGGTACAGTTAGTGTGAATAAAATTTCACATATATATGCTCTTACGGATGCATCAAGATTTGGGGGTCGGTCAATAGCTCGGAGCTTCCTGGAATTTTAAGACAAAACCTGAGTATCATTTAGCATCTTAAACTTTATGCATGACGAACCTTGATAGTCTGAAATAAAAGCTAGACCATGTGTCTTGACATACTGGACATGTTGGGTAAATGTGAAGAATAAAGCCAGATCATACCAGTAGTCAGATTCGTGTCCATATTGTGAATGTATTTCAGGAATTTGTCGTTCCCGCCAGGAATGAGTTCCTCTACAAGATAAACTGCATGCGCTGAGCTTGCCGACCACTTTGAGGCTGCTTTGGATGCAGGCAGTGGACCAAATGCAAATGCGATACCAGCATCCACAAAGTGAACCTGTGGGATGTTGAATGGTGGAGGTTCAGATGCGCTAGCCATTGTTACAAGAACATCTAGACACTTGGGCCCCTACCATTTTTCTCCTAATCCTCCTCATATCAGCCCTTGCATCATACCCTTACCCTGACCTTACCCTGGTCATCCTTGTCATCTTCGCATTCCCCTTCGCTCTCTATCTGTCGCTTCAGCAGAGCCAGTACATCTGGCCGGATCCTTTCGCTGACGAAGCATACCCATGCTCTGTTCCACCACCTGACTGATCCTGTGGACAGTCCCCTTGCCCTTACTGTCTGGACAGTAACCTATGATATGATGCACGATGCATCCCCTTTGCCCTTTTCCCTTTCTTGATCTCTGACTCAATGTGCAGTCGCACATGCGACTTATACTTAGCTCCACAGCTGCACGATCGTGCCCCTGCGTGTTTCACTTCTTATTCTGATCTTTGACTCACTTTCTTATCCGCATGTTCAGGACTCACCCGTGTCTCACCTCGAACGTGCCTTCCTTTTATGGTCATACCCTTTACCGTTTACTTCTCTTGGTAGTACGAGTTATCATCCACTAATATGCTTCCTGTCCTCTATATAAACTCGCTACCATGTAACATATTCCCTAACTTGAATCTACTTGGTTCTTGACCTCCTACTCTCACCAGAGTGATCCTTTCTGCCTAGCCAGCAGTCTATATTCTATCTTCTTATCTGCTCTTCGCGGATAAGCCTATAGTCTCGATCTTTACTCATCGACTTCGTCGACGAGCAAAGCTCCTGTTAACTAGTCGACTTCCAGTCCTTCTAATTAACGACGATCTTACGATTAACCTTCGGGTGTCGTAAGCCTTGGCAGATACAGCTCATCGTCTAGCACCCACTTGACGTAAGCTACCCGATTTGGACATAGGCGTCAAATCTTACTTGCTGAAGCCTCGCCAAGCAAGACCCCTAACCTTGGGCTAGCCCAAGGACATCCTCGACTGTTGACGACACACGCTCTGTTTGAGCTGTCGCCAACAGATACCATCCAAGTCGTAACAGCCATAGAGTGATTGATGAAGTCGTAAGTGAGTTGCAAAAGTGACCAAGCCCAATAAAGAATGTTTGCCTCTTTTACGAGTCTTTTCACCTCATCTGGAAGAGCGTAACGACCGATCTTGTACTTAAGGGATGTGCTGCTAGCGCCTGGTGGGTAAGCCTTGTAGTAAGCCTGCTTGACTGCAACATCATTGCATGTCTTAGATCCAAAACCAGACGAGGGAGGGGCGAACAGGGTCAACCAGCCTGGGTGCGCCATTTTGAACGCGCCAGCACCCAAAATGCTGGCCATGGATGGATTGATGGTCAGTTGACCCGTCAAGCACTCGACAGTCTCGATGTCGTAGGATAGGAATTTAGGGTTCTTCAGCATGGCTGTGAGAGGGCGTGTGGGTATCAGGTAGTATTGGATATTCTCGTTCTGTAAATCTAACACTAGAAAGTACGTCAGAAAAATCAATATACTAGGAAGTCGACAAGGACTTACATTGCCTGACATCCATGTTCACAGTTCCGCCAATCCTCAGTGCCTCACTTAGGCCCTCACAATTGGGGCTCGGGCTTGGAGAGCAGGAGGTGCTGCCTGCTGCGAATTTTTTGTGGGGTGGTGACTTGTTGGAAGGTGTCGTGATAGAGATGCTGTCACTGCGCTGATGTGCTCTCTTTGAGGTCGTAACAGACTCTTCAACAGAGGGCAGATTGAGTTGTTGTTCCATCGCTGGTGATGCAGTGGCATGCTGAGTGACTCGGAGCGAACGTGAAAAAGACTCTTCAATGGGGGGCAGATTGACTTGTCATTGTTCCATCACTGGTGATGTAGTGACATCGCGAGCAAGCAGACGTGGACTCGGATGATAGCGACTGTCCTCCTTTGCCGACAATCAATTATACTGCAGCATTAATTGTGAAAATCTGCACTGACCTCAGTTTTCTCAAGCCATTCTTTGTACTTGCGCCACTGGGACCCAGGGACAACTACCATCAAGGTAAACTGCTTTGACTTGAATACTTTACACTCCTTACCGGCCCTCTTCGATGCTTGCCAACACTCTGTGTAAAAGTACGGCCTATTCGCTGGATGGGTTGAAAGATCGACCCTAGCCCACATCCCGGACAACGAATTCCCATGTGTGCCATGGAAATTCTGGAGAGAGTGCAAGGATCTTTGGTAAAACAGTGTCGAGTGCGATTTTGATGAGGCCGGGGGCATCTATCTGCGCATGAATATCTTTTTTGCCTTCATGGATATTCTAGATAGATGTTTAAGAAAATGAACTCATACTTAGTCTTTGAATACTCACTGTGATCGGTGTACCACTGGCTCCCTTTGCGCTTAGGGGCGGCATTGTGCACAACAGAAATATCGAGACTGATTGTTTCTGCAAGTGATCCCACGTATGAAAGCTTCGACCAGTGTTCACATTCAGAAGCATAAGCCGCATGATTGAACGGTATAACCCACACCATGGCCTGCGGAGGTTTGGTGCCAACTTGAACCCGTTGGTATGGCAACATTTGGCCCTGACTGACTGCCTTGAAGGCCATGTGACGTAGCAATGACTCAAGGGGGATTGATTGTAGCTGTGATAATATTAAGTATTGAATCATGTGAACAATAAGTGCCAAACTCACCAGTCCTTTGAGCAGCATTGACAGATCTCCGTATTGCATGTAAATCTGGAGGAGGGTGCAGTGGTGGGTTTTCGGTCAGTACTATGACCCATGTGACCCAGCGTGTGGAACCCAGTACCCCAACCTGAGGGCGTGGAGGAATCAGGACAATGAGCTTGAGCAGACCATACAGAAAAGTAACTTACTAGAAGGTCTTACAGTAGTCGCTGCTTTCTTTCAGTAGCGCGAGTGGCATGAGCCACAGACAAAGCGGCCTGATTTGGTGGAATCAATAGTAGCAATGTAGAAGCAAGGGTCACCCTTCAGGATATTCGCTGCACAGTCTGGCTGCTCAGCATATGCGGTCTTCCTTGGCATATGCATCCTCGATGAATTGTGATACCAGTTCCATTACAGAGGAGACAGAGCAATGGCTTAGTAGGTACATGAGTGTCTTGCAGCTTAAATATCTTTTAAACTCACTTGATAAACTCACTTTACCAGTTCCACGGCACAGTCTCCTTATCTCTAAACGCCCAATTGACATATTTTCTTTACCAGATCCATGGCATATTCACTCGAACTCAAATCAACGGAAATTTATCACTCCCATACTGGTCATATGCCAAGTGTCGGTCATATGCCATCCGACTCAACAAAGGTAATCTGCAGGCACGCAATGTGTTCTTGAGCGACCCCAAGAAATTGGTGACAATTTTCCTATCATTTCACATGCATGAACAAGGCCTCATATGGACGAAGGTAATCTGCAGGCACGCAATGCAAATCTGATCTAGAGCAACAGTGCAAGGAGAAGCTCTACTATTGTCTCACATGTGTGAACAAGGCCTCATCTGGTCAGTCTTTCAATCAATTCTGAGCTACGTATTTCTTATTGGAGTATCTGTGAGGTGCGCCGGTCATATGCCATCCGACTTTGCGAGATGGACTTGAGGCTATCGGAATGCTGCAAGCTACACTTGTCCATGGCACCACACTTACTACAGTGCTTCCTCGTGCCTGCTCTCGCCCCTCCAAGTTGCACACTTGCCGTTTCATTGGACTCGGATGTTATCTCCTCGGGGTCTAACTACCCGCACACCTCGCAGCAGTCAAATAACTCCTTCATAAGGGTAGGTAGGGATATCCTTGTCCTCTTGAGTTCCCCACACTTACTATACTGTGATTTCAAGTTGCTGCACTTCACACCAATGCCAAATCAGAACAAGCCACTGCGTGAGTATTTCATGATTTTTATTACCTTGGTCCTCGAGCAATGAACCGTGATACAGCGCCATTGGAGGAAATAATGCCTCACATACTACGCTTCTGGAAGGCCCACCTCACTGACAAGGCAATAGTAGAGGAACTGCAGAAGGTCATTGATACTGACCGCTATGAGATCGGGTAAGTGGTAACTGCATATCTTTTCAACCGCCGTGCTAAATTGCTTCCAGAATCACAAAGTTGAAGGAAATTTGATCCGATATGGGGCTTCGACGTGCATGGCAACAAGGTCACTCAGTTGAGACAATTCGTGATGCCATGCTCGATCTTCAACAAATATACCCGAATTCAGGATCACGAGAGATGATCAGCTTGTTGTTTTACGAGAGGGGGATGGCTGTCTCCAGGTAAGCTGTCGCACTCAATTTGTCATGATAGTTGATATCAACATATTACAGATGTGTCATCAAGTCATACTTTGCTATCTACGAATCTGACCTAGTTCACCAACGCAAAGCAAGACGGCTTCGCCAAAAGTGTTTCTGGGCTGCCGGCATCAATGATTTATTTGCCGTGGACCAACACAACAAATGGCTCCGATTTGGTCTTGCCCTGCATACCGGGATTGAACCATTTTCAGGCCGCATCATGTGGATGTGTGTCTGGCATTTTAACAGGAACCCCCAGCTTATCCTGTCTTATTACCTCGATACCCTCATGGAGCTTGGTCATACGTATTTCAAACACACAGGCAAATCAATGTTATTGACATGTATGTTCTTAGATATGCCTCTTGTAACTCAAAGTGATCTCGGCACAGAAAACTTCGGGATTGCCAATGGACATATGCTGCTATGTCAATGGCACGATCCCACACTACAAGGTATGCTCCAGCACCGCTGGATGCGCACCAAGAAGAACGTGATGCCTGAAATCACGTGGTCTCAGCTTTGGCGCCGTTTCACACCCGGTTTCGAGAATCTTTTGGACACTGGCATGCACAATGGCTGGTATGATGCCGGGAATACCCTGCAAATGTGAGTGATCGTATTTTCGCTGGTATCTACACTTAATCGAAAAATTCCTTGAATAGTATGATTTTCCGCTAGATTTTTATCCCATGGTTGAAAACAGAGTTGAATGCATACAAGGATCGTGTTAATAACACCACAAAATGGCGCAATCGTAACAAGGTGTTACCACATGGAATTCCGGAGCTGATATATAATTCGCCTCAAGATTTTGGAGCGCTTGATTTCAAGGTATGTCTTAGTCTGGCTTGGCATTGTTGACATAGGACTAATTCACGTGCTATGTGTAGATCGGCATTGAGCCAGGTGCTATTGATGGTATTCGTAGTGCCTATATCAACCCTTCGCACACAGTATTTGACCTTGTGCCGCCAACTCTCGGTGATCACCTTGCTTCTTGCTACGACCACTTGGGGTGTCCCGTCATCACCTGCGACTCCATCTGGGGAGTATACTTGGATATGCTCAATGCCATCCAGCTCAGCAACGATTTACCTGCTGAAATCATGCCTACAGATGATGATGAATTACCTTTGCTCACAAATCATGAAGACTTACATTTCCAGGAAGACGATAGCAGTTTTTATTATATGGGAGGGGTCCGTGGTGGGCGCGGTATAGGTTGGGTTCTTCACATTGATTTTTATGTGTAGGGTCATGCTAATTCATTACAGATGTTTCTCATCACAGGCAGCTGGATGCTTTACTGGCTGATGACGAACCTGACATTCAACTTGAACACACTGATGCAGTCCTCCAGGAGGATTTCAATGGTGTGATTGTGTGGGAGTTCACGGATGACGAAGGGGATGATAGTTTAGACGAGTGGTGATTTGTTGTGAAGTAGTTGATTGATAGCCGGACAGCCGCACTCTGTTTAATGACCTATAGCTCACTGGTGCTCGCAACAAAATCCTGCGTACTGAGAAGCCTTGAGAAAAATAATAAAAAGCAACATCAGAGGTGTTCGGAGTCCACAACTTGTGACTACCATTTATGGGCCATGTCACAGGTGGTAACAGAGCGCGGCTGTTAGGCTTTCCATACTAATCAGCTGTTTAGATGGATTAAAAAGCTCGATCTTCAAATGAAGCACCAAAATTGGCACATTTGCATGTTTATCAATAACTTCTCTGGTCACAGCATCTCATATCAACCATTGAATATCACTCTTGAGTATTTTGGGCCCAATATGACACCATTTGTGCAACCCTGCGATGCTGGAATCATCCGATGCTTCAAGGCAATATATCGTCGTAATTTCTGCGCATGTGCAATTGACCTTGATGATGCTGGTGAATGAGACATTTATAAACTCAACATTCTCAAAGGCATGACAATGGCAAAGCAAGCATGGTACACCATTACATCTGAGACCATCAAACATTGCTGGGATCACACCGAAATTCAACCGTGAGTTAATTATTCAATGTCCTCATTTTTAGTGCTCAATTTTTCATGGCAGTGATCCAGCAGTCAGTCTAGACTCGAGGCCGCATGTCAATCCTGCCACTTGGAATATTGTCCACAAGTTTGCAACCACCAAAATGTCCCTTCCCATGGTGGAAAATGACTTGAAGGCTCATCTTCATGAACACTATGTCGATTCTGATTGGTGACCAGCTCTTAAAGCCATCATGGATGCTGAAGTGACACAGATATTGCCTTGAATGCTGTCAATGCACTTGCCGAAGCTGCATTTTGTTGTACTGGACTTAAAATTTGTATTCCCACGCATCCACAGCAAGTTGCAGCTGACCAACTTTCATCCATCGAAGCTGACCTTATGCAATCAGTTAATGATCTCAAGGCACACAATCACATTTTCGGTCAATTGCCAACTCTCGAGGAACTTTTGGACCCTACTGAGGAGAGAGAAGTGGGAGAATACCCTGCATTTGAAGGTGGTGACAAAGCCATTGCAGATGAGGTTCGTCATGAAATTGCTGTTGCAAGTGGTGAAATCATTGAGATTGATTCTGACGACAATGACAATGACAATGACAACGATGATTCAGTGGCCACATCAATCACATGGACAAATCTTCTCAGCAACTTGAAGTTGGATGCATGCAATATGGTGATCCACAGTTTTCACTCAACTTATCATCACAACTTCGTAAATTTCGTGCTCAACTACAACGAGAAGAAATACTTAATGCTAGACAGACCTCCCTAGAACAATTTTTCGCCATATAATTAGCAGATACTCTAGGTAATTTGATGTCACACTTTGGCGGAGGTCACATTGTGTCATGAGAATGTGACATACATGGTGTTGCATATTTCTCATAATGCATGAACTTTTGGCGGTCCCGACCGTATGCATTATGAGCAAGTCTACTGTACTAAGAACGACTTGTGCCTGCTTGCAAGTGAGTAAAATAAGTCACGCTCCCTGGGAATTTAGTTCCAATGTGGTCCAAATAATGTCCCAATATGGAACGCTTGCAAGGCACCCCTGGAAATTTCCGACAAAGTTCCCGCGCTTGCAGATTTTCTTCGGACGTCTTCATCTCTCTACTCCGTAGAGTCGGGGATCTCACTCAATTCTGCTTCAATCATGGTCTTTCAACTTCGCAGCGAGTTGTATTAGAGAGAAAAGTATATTTATGTTAAGAATTTTATGTTGAAGTATATAGAAATACGAGTTTTGTGAAAGTCCGTGAAGTAATTACATGTAGCGAATTGACGTAAGTAGTAACCAGCTCAAACCTTGATTTCGGGCCCGGATCAATGAATTGGTGGCTGCAGGAACATCCAAAGGTCTTTTTCTTCGTTCCGTCGTTTTCGTCTTCAAGTCTCAAGACGCTGATCTCCATTCATTTTTGATCGTCGTTCGTTTTGAATTTTCTTGGCCTGTTTTCTAGCTCAGGCCTCTCCATCAAGGCAATTGTCTTATATCATAATTAGGCTCTCTTTAAATTCTTGCTGTTGGCGTCAGCAAGAGACCCATAATGGTTTCAATGCGCTGCAGATATCGCCACAGCTTACTCATATCATGTCTAACTTTCGCCACTCTCGCAAGCACACTGCTACAAGGAGCTATGGCACAGACCTCGTACTCGATGGCTACTCATCAACTTCAACATCTCCAAGATCCCAATGTCGTTGTCACAAACACAAACGGGACCGTCGTGGTTTACAGCCCACTCACCGGGAATGAGATTCCTCAAGGACTCGCAACAGATGGCAGCGGTAGTGGATTCTCACTGCCGGCTATCTTGTGGATTACATTCTCATTCACGGTTGGCGTTCCACTTATGTTGGCCGGATTTCGTGGCTGGCGTCTCACCACCGGTGCGGCCATAGGCCTATCTGTGGCTGTAACATGTGGGTAGCGAACCAATAATTCATGCGTGTGGAAATTTGTCTAACTCGTCTACAGCATGGTCTGTTTTTGTTAATACATTAGACAATGTTGGTATTTCCGACATTACCTTGACAGCTCTAGTTCTTGTACTATTTTGTTTGGGTTTCATCTTTGGGCTCTTAGAAGTGGGTCGTATGGTAGGGCTCCTCCAGCTAGGCATACAGGGTGGTCTCGCCATCGGGATACGGATAGTATTGCTACGTAGCCTTCTATTGGTACCCGAGCCTGCTGCGTTCTTCGTCAATTGGCTACTCATAGCATTTTGCGGTTTCGCAAGTGCAGTACTCGTCATTTGGAAACAGCGAGCTGGACTGGTGAGCGTTGACTTCGTCCTTTGTGGTCTCCCTGCATCCTGACCGAATCAAATAGCTTCTAGGATCGGCGTCTGTTGGTACTTTCTTATGCGTTCTAGGGACCGACTTGGCTGTTAATAAGCAATCTGGCATGAGTCGGGGCCTCAGATATTTGATTGACAGAAACAGTTATCACGTCGTGGTTTGTACTCACCTTGATTTGTTCAAAAGCAATCACGATTTAATCAGATTGCAGGACACTACAAGTAATGGATACTTTCCGCCCACGAGTACATTGATTATGATAGCACTCTCCATTGCATTGACGTATGTCACCAGTTTCCTATATCTTGTATTGTAAGCCTGACATGTTGACATGGGACATGGACAGACCTGCATTCGCATACGCCCAACATAAGTTGTTTAAGGGTCCTTTCTGCCCAGCTCACGATGACGATATCGAGTCCCTTCACGCACCAAACGAGCTTTCAGCTGATGAAGAACTTAAAGCATCAGGCGAGGAGACACCGCGAACTAGTCCACCAAATACGTCGCCTGTGTCGACTTTGTCACAGTCGATGCCTTTGCTGAAAGATCGTTGCCCGACGCCTGCTACCACGGAGAAAGTACGAACGGCCGAAGGTAAGGCGTTCGTGAACGACAGTTAACGTTCATTATAGCACACATTCTTGGGTCTTCAAGTTACACTTCAATGATTACCTAAATACCTTAGTAGTCGCATTTCATTCCACTGCATTTCTTGTCGCTCTCCATTAGATACCTTGGCACACGCGGAACTAAAATACACTCTCATTTGTTTCAAAGAACCTGCCATTTCACTCATCTGAGTGACTGAGTCGGCAGTTCCGAGTCCGAGTCGTTTGGTCGTTTCAACTTGTTTGTCGACTTGAGCTGATATTGACATTGATGTGCCACCCGATTAGCACCATTGTCCAGATGCGAAGTGTCGGACGGATAACGAACGGAACAACTTGGTGACTCTTGGACTCGGTCCAAACGCGGGAAGGTCCGGAAATGGACCAAAATCAAATATTCACATGTTAAATCTGCCAGTCTGATATTATTTCATCGGCCGTATGTGAGGATGACATTTATTTTATTTTGCCCGACTTTTCATCCGCTAGCCTCTAATACCTTAACCAACCCTCCAGACGCCTAAGTCCTCTAAATTATGTCAAGAAATGGGGACAAGAAGCCGGTAGGCTTCGCTACACATATCACTGCTGGAGGGATCGCTGGCGCGATGGAGGCGGTAAGTGTATATTCAATGTCGTATACTCCATATAACGATCAAGCGCCTCAGATCTGCTGCCAACCGCTCGACACCATAAAGGTGCGGATGCAACTCTCCAAATCCGGGATGGCCCCTGGGGTATGTCGCAAGTAATGTTGTACGTCATCCGTCAACTAACCCCCACCAGACAAAGCCCCGAGGATTTTTAGCGACAGGTCTTATGATTGTTAAACGCGAGACGCCATTGGCATTATACAAGGGCCTCGGCGCTGTCCTATCCGGAATAGTACCAAAGATGGCCATTCGATTTGCCAGTTTTGAGACTTACAAGGAATGGTTAGCGGATAAATCAACAGGAAACACTAGGGTGGGGAATATCTTCATCGGTAAATCTACTCAAGGTTATTGCGTGATGGAAACTGAGTTTCGGCTTAGCTGGGCTCGCCGCTGGGACAACTGAGGCGGTCGCGGTTGTCTGTCCAATGGAGGTGGTGAAGATCCGTCTGCAGGCGCAACAACACTCGCTTGCTGATCCGCTGGAAGCTCCGAGATATCGTAATGCGGGTCATGCGGTCTATACGATTATACGTGAAGAAGGATTTTCGGCCCTTTATAGAGGAGTCTCGCTCACGGCTTTACGACAAGCTACTAATCAAGGTCAGTCTAACGAGTTTTGTCATCAATATGAGGCTTATGCATAACGTGATCGTAGGCGCAAACTTTACTGCATATCAGGAACTTAAGAAATTGGCACACACATACCAGCCGGATTTGAAGGACTTACCTTCATACCAACACATGATCATTGGACTTATATCAGGTGCTATGGGACCCTTCTCAAACGCTCCGATAGACACGATTAAAACCCGTAAGTTCATCTTGCAGGGATTGCCCAAACCTAAGTAATCCATGACATCGATAGGATTACAAAAGGCCACGTATGAACCAGGAACCACGGCGTTTCAGCGGATTGCAGCGATTGCAAAGGATATGTGGAAACAAGAAGGCGTCCGGTCGTTCTACAAAGGGATCACGCCGAGGGTTCTGCGAGTGGCTCCTGGGCAGGCGATCGTGTTCGCCGTATATGAAAAAGTGAGAGGGATCATCGAGACGATGAAAGTTTCACCGTCGCAAGATCGGTACTCGGAGTGATTCAAGTAGAGCCAGTACATCTGAGGAAATTTATTTGCAGATATGAAGTGTCTTAAGGATGTACATTGTGTTTGGGCTAAACGAAGAGTTGGTGTGTGAGTTCGAATTCCGATTTGGTTTGTGGGGAGTGCTGCCAATAGGAACGGCTCTGACCGGCCCGGCCCATATTTCCGGCGAAGACCGAACATTTGAGCCCAACGTCGAGCTGTCACCCATGACTTAGAACGACTACAGCTTGCAGATCTGACTAGGGGAGACTAGAGGCGAGCTGACAACGATGACTGCTCCAACGAAGGTGCTAATGCTTCATGGGCAAGTACCAGCTTATAATTCAATGAGTTCACGAATCACCACTGGCTGAGACAGTGAGCAGCATGCGTGGTTGACTGATTCACTTCCTCAGACACTCGCAGAATGCCAGTATATTCAGTAAACGCGTAGGTGTCTATGTTTTGGTATCCCATTATCATCTCACAGGCTGATTCATCAAAGCTTGGGGCCTTGAGGAAATCGATGGGAAAAGACATTGAAATGGGTACGCTTGGGATTCATGCAACCATGCCGATGTACAGCTTAACAGACGGACATAGTATTCGTCGACGGACCCGTTGTCTTACTTCCTGTTGACCTCGACGGCGCCTCATCTACAGCTCTCGGAGCTTCAGAGGCGAACGCGACATCCTCTGATCCTTCAACTACGCCCCGAGCTTGGTGGAAAACTAACCCGGAGAAAACAATCGCTCACGGCTTAGAAGACTCCATACTCTGTTTGAGAGATATTCTTCAGCGTGATCGATATGACGTGAGCATGTCTTCTGTACATCATGTACTGAGCTGAAATGAATTGGTCGTAGGGTGTGTTTGGGTTCAGGTAGTAATCTTTAGCTGGTCCTCTCTGATGCCGTTTGGCTCATCTGCGAAACCAAAGTCAAGGAGCAGCTATGGCTGCTCTGCTTGTCGCTCTCGTGTGTACATTCGCGATGTAATCAGACCACTAGACCCTTAAGGCTTTCTCCTTCTTCAGTTAGAGCAGCCTCAGAAATACCCTCCTTTTCTCGTTGACGGAGGAGCCCCTCACCCGCCTTTGTACGTAACGTATCCTACCAAAAGGATACAAATGCTCAACCTTGATTTAGCAAATTCTGCGTAGCGGTCTCAGGCTTTAAGGCACCCGGGTCTCTCAGTGCAGAAATTTTCGGGACATCGTATTCTACACCAACGCTGCACGTTCTCGGGAGAAACGATGTAATTGTCATTGAGGAGCGCTCGAAGCGTCTACTTGATCTCTCGCAGAACAAGAGATTGGAGGAACATGATGGCGGTCAGCCGATTCCACCATGCGCTGTGACTCGTTTCTGACGCGCTAGATAGGTCATTTCGTGCCCTCGAAGGCCAACTGGAGGAATTTCTTCCGCAATTACTTGACTGATCCTCTTGGAGTGATTCCTTCCCCAGAACAGAGAACTGTTTCTCAGCCTGCCCACGACGATTGATACACCAGTGTCTCAAACAATACCTCGGGATTCAATATAGATACGTGATAGAAATGCTATACCTCGCACAGGCGAAAATAGGCAGCTTTTGAGAGTCATCACAAAGTCAATACGACTGCAGTGGATGAGCTTTATCAATGAAAGGTCTGACCAAACCACTTCGCTCTTTCAAAGTTTCACATTTTGATCCACCAGCGATGGATTGCGTGTAGAGTCATAGTCACCCGTTTCTTGAATTGGGCTTACATCATATAGAAGACTATATCCTGGACTTTGTACGGTGAACATCAGTCATTTCAATGATAATCTTCAAGCTCGCGCTAGCTTAATTCACTCCGGGGTTGTAGCTTAGGGGGCTTATCTCTTTCTCATATCCTTATCGGAATGGAGTCCAAGGGACGAGGGGACCGGCGTAGAGTTAAAAACAAAGACTTGCTGGGTTTCGACTCTCGGCACTAGACTGTCTACTGGTGTTTACAGTCCAGCCAACCGGCATCCAGCGGAAGAGAACCCGGACGAGAATTTTCCTACTCTGCTGCCAAGCCCAAAAGGCGGATATGCGAAAAATAAAGACTGCGGACGATAAACATGCATCATAAAAGCATCAAGCCGGCATTTTGCAGCGGTGGTGCCATCATATGCCAAGCTGTATGAATGCAACGTCGAATCTGTGGCAGTATACGCCTGGCTGAGCCTAACTATCTATCTGGAAGACTCGGGAAGGATTATCGCTCCCTCAGTCGTAGCAGGGATTAGCCATCATCTTCATGATCATATGAGAAGTTGCTTTGTGGTTTTGGGGTGTCACATCAAACTGAGGGTGTTGTTCACGGGACTTACGCAACTAACAGAAATGAGATACAACATGAATAAACATCCGCAGAAGAGTGGCAGGTTGGGTGACGAGAGCCGGTCATGATTACTTCGGCTGCGTTCCCCGAAACTACTAATGGGGATGAAGATCCCGGGGCCTACATCTAATTTCAAACATAAAAAAATCATAAAAAAAAATCAAGATAAAACGTCACCATGTAGATTACTAAAGACAAATATTTATACGATAATGTATGTACATGAAAGAAAATATACTGGTCGAATACATTGTCCAATATTGGCGATAATGTACATATATACTAGGGTGGTACGTACAGGGATATGGTCATTGCAGACGATTCCCAAGAGTCCAGCACAATGTTTGTACCCAAACGTTGCCCGAATTTCCCACTAGGATGTGTATAGGTGCGATTTAAAGACATGAGCGTTGCGCGTAGATTTGCGCGAGAAGGAAGCACTACACTGGTTGCAGGGGTATTTCACTTGCAAGTGCACTTCCTCGACATGTCGAACAACACTCTCCCGTTTCATGGTTCTTCCGCAGTCCCCCCATGCGCAAAGTATGACCGATTTTGCCGGCCCATTCACCCCGTGCATCGACAAATGTTTTGAAAGGTCCGGCACACTGATATATGCGCCACATGGTATACCAGAGCCACTGTCCCACAAACAGATGGTGTAGTCAAGAAAGTCGGCGGCTGCGGTGGAATCAATGTGTGGGTCCTATGAAATACCACACTATCGTTAGTTGTCGGACAAAGAGCCAGCATGATGATCGGCTAAAACTTACGGGTAATATCGCAGACATGTGCTCTCGTGGTAGAAGGAAGAACAGACTATAGTTAATGATAAAATTTTGTTGGTGACTGCCGGTGCTTGTGATTGCTTGCTTTATAGCCCAAGCGGTATCTGGAGGAGGCTAGGGCACCTTCCAACGAGCAATGCCACACAAAGCCAATCTGATCGTATCTCTTGGCATAGGGGCGATCCAACACGTCAGTATCGAAGTGGAAGTTCGAAGACCTATCAATAGAATTAAATTCAAGGAAAGTTCAACGACTCTCTCACATCCGACCCTATATGAGTTGGCTTGGTGATGTTAGTTAAAGAAACGGCGAAAGGGTCGCGGAACAACGTACTGTGCTTTCCGATAGATGCTGCTTATCAAAATTCCGGCTCGCATAGTTTTCCAACTTGGGTTGATAACGACAGTTGCGGCCGGCAAGGCCAAGCAACAACCCTCAATTAGACGCCAGTCTAACAGATTTTAGCAAGACCTTATGGGTCCATTTGAATCCAAGTATCGCGGGTAACGGCGGAGCGGAACGAACGGAACAACGCTACGGTGCGGCAGTCGTAATTTGCTATGCCTGGGATGTGTAGAATAATCTTTGCGTAATGGTCAATGGAAGTTCGTTTGCGCGCGCAAATGGCCACTGGCAACAAGCACCTGTATATGACATGCGGTGTACGACCAGATCGGCGGGAAAATGCCCTACTGAGCCTCAAGATATCATTTTCTGTGTCATGCTTCAGTGGAACGCACGAAAACATGGTGATTTCATTGAATAGTGGTAGAAGATAGAGCGACTGGGCACTCATCGTATTACGTCCGCAGGAAGGGCATCACGCAACAAAGGTATCGAGGTAAAGTTTTGGGCTCGCGGTTTGAAGACAATAAGATCTTTGGGCGCTTTGGTCGTGATCCGATGGTGTAGGATGGTGTCGGTCACCGGTTGTCGTGTGGCCTATCAGTTATCGTAATTCATGGAACGACCAGCTTCGCAATGGCGGCTCCGTGGGATGATCCAGGTCCGCCCAGTTCATCAAGTTCATTCAAGGCAAGCCAGTTACGTGGGCGATTCAGAAAATTCCTTTCAAAACATTTAGTAATGTCTCTTGGTGCACGACAAAAATAAGAAACCTCTAGTTATTGATCTAGAGTATGTCCAAAACAACGCTTTGAGTTTGCAACGGTGGATCAAGGGCTTTAGTGGCTCGTAGATCCAGGCAGACTGAAAACTTAGATTTGCGGATGTAAAGAGAAGATTTCATGTCAGCCTCAGACTCTTAGGCGGATCTTCGGCTCGAATATCGAATAGTTGATGGGACGGAACTTCATTTGAGGTATGCATTCAAGATATTGACAATATATACGCGTATCAATATTTGATGGAGCGAAAGTGATGCATACTTACTGAGAAGGACCACCTAATTCCGCCTTGGTAGATACATGAAAGTATCCTGTCAAGTGCTTCCCAACCATACACCCTGTGCAGTAGACGAGGAAGATTGAGCGCTGAATGACCTTACGGCGTTGACGTGCTATAATACGCTTCTATGAATTCAGGTAAGATCGGAGATGGATTGTGTGGGAGACAGTAGAAATGAGAACACTAGATGTGCATCCGTGTCAGTCTTAGCCTATCATGGAGATTATGGTGGGGACTTTCACTCCATTTCGGTCCTCGCTGCGTTACCGAGAAGGAACAGACTCGGATGATCGATTAGCAGAGTTTTTTTTGGGGGGGCGAACGTTGGGCGATCAGGACATGTAAGGATAACGCCCAGCTGACCGTGAGCCTTAGGTGATGTGTCCTGACAGCTGCGGCTGACAAGCGGGCAATCCTGGAGGCGCTGTCTCATGGTGAATCCGAGATGTTAAGGCGACAAGTGTTGCAGGACCCCAGTCAACCATGAAAACGACAAAAAGGTCAGCTAATCCACACATTATTTGCGCATTCTGAGGTTTACACGCTCCGTCTTCGTCCTGTCTTCGTCTGTCAAAAGCTCTCGCGATAATTTTGTTGCCAACATGAGCGGTTGTGTCGGTTGATGGCTCATTGATATTCCTGGGATTTCAAAGTAACGCGCATGGGTTTATGTCATGTACAACAACACGATTAACACAGAATAAGGGGATGGTTACGATTTGTAAAAAGTATCTCACCTGCCAGCCTTATCCCTCTTTATTCCCACCACATATCAGCTACTGGCCGAGTTCTAGCATCTGATGAAGGACGTGAATTTACCACGACATCAATCTACGACTGATGAAACAGCTTCGATTGGCCTAAGTAGTACACGGCTCCTAGAAAGGACTTGTAACCAAGAGACCTACTCATGGCGCCCGCGTGAGCAGGTGTGTCATAGTCCCTGTCCAGGGAATCGGATTAATGTGAAGTTTGGTGAAGTTCAAGTTGTTACAAGTAGTTAACGTAATCACGTTGGGGTTTCCAACTTGACACAAGTTTAACGTAATCAAGCAACGTTACGTGATCAGCAGCTGCTCGGCTGGATGGAAAGCGATTTATCACCCAAAATATTTACGCTTAGTTCCAACGCCCAGGTCATGGGCCACAAGGACGGCGCATCGCTAGCCTTCAGCGAGCTGCGAAAGGAATCGCAAGATCTCTACAACCGAATCCACTCCATTGCGGAGGACGCCGCTTTCGTAGACCAAGTCTATCAGTCTTACCCCAGACTTCCCCTCATCCGTGAGTGTCAACGTCATCACTGATCACGGTCATCAACTCGCCCGTCCACCAGCCAACATGCGATGCGGAGCCTGGTACACAGACCCTGATATTGTAAGTCTACTCGATCTATGTTGCAGCTCGTGTACGAATACCCTTGCAGGCATCAAACGAACGTGCATATTTCAAGTCTACCGATGGACATACCGGAAACTGGAGCTTCAATCTTCGAAGGCCAAATCTACACATATTGCCTCTAATTTGTGCGCATGCAGGGTTCGTGCGCCACTCACATCGACGATATCAAACTGTATAACGTGCAGGCCCCAGACTGCTCTTAGTGGATTCTACGAGAGCAGGCAAACGCATTCCAGACGCACTCTCCAAAACCGTTCCAATCTGGTGCGCAGTTATAAATAGGGCCGTCCTTAAAACTACTCCGAAGATGAACGTGAATATGGATGTCTGGAATACGAAGTTCTACACTCCACCCGGTGTGGTCAGCGCACAAGAGCATGATCAGATAGAGCAAAAGTTAGATGGGTGGGCGGATGATCTTGCTGTTAGTCTTATTATTTTTAACCCCGATTATCAGGCCTCTGAAATCATGTATTTGTAGGCTTCGTTCTACATACTCCCGAAACTGCAATATCCCCTCCGCCCGATCTGGATAACGCCCAGCACCACCATATTCCCCACATTTCCCGATACAGATGCTGAACGGAGATTCTACCCTATCATCTGCATATCCGCTTCGAAGCAGGTTTTGGACGGCATGGAGAGACGCATCACAGGTTTTGCGTATATCCAGGGATCGGGGGATGATCACGAGCTCTGGAGTATGGTGCGCATCCTCCCTTAAGCTCGGACATTGTCATTGACGTGACTTGCGCGACAGGGCCTCACCCCCGCTCAATTCTGGAAACACAAACAGCCCCTTCTTCACGCAAACCGTAACGAACTACCTACCCTCGTTCAAACCCTCACATCCTCGCTCTCCACACGCACCGATTTAAACTCCGACGCGTCATTTCATTCCACACCCATTCAATACGTTCAGGGTAGACTCTCAATATCCATCACTCGTGACATTTCTTCCCCTCTCAGCGACGAGTCTGCGCTGGTCTATCTAACCAGCGCAGATTATGCACCACCCGCTTTCAAAGACCATCCGCTCGTCCTATATATCAAAACGCCTCAAGGCAAAAAAGGCCAGCATCACTTTCTACATACCGTCCTCCCACAAGCCATGCCCTTTATATTTCTCCACCTTCAGAATACGCGCCGCATCTGCATAGCCTGTGAAACAGGCACGGACACGAGTATCGGCGTCGCCCTAGCAGCTCTGACCAAGTTCTTCAACGATTCAGGGGAATTTTGTGGTGAGTATGAGTACGAACGGGAGGGTGTCCTTTGTATGTCCTGCCAATTATTTCCCTAAGAAATTGTTGATTGACGACGGACGTGCATTTAAAAATAAATAAAGCCAAAGACGACATCAAAACCCGCTTGCACTGGATAATAACAAGTTATCCACAAGCCAATCCTTCGCGCACCACTCTCAAACGCGTCAACGAATTTCTCCTTTCTCCCTCTGAATTCCTTTCCCCATCCGCCGCGCCAAACCCACCCCCCGATGAGTCATGAACGCATCCCCGAAATAGTGCTATAAACAATTATCCGAAAATGAGCATGCACCCCAGCATGGTATGAAGAAGGCATGATATAATACTTCCGGGGCTTATACTCTTTCAACACTTGAAAGCGCGTCGGAGTAAGGCCCTGAGGAAGCGATACAACGTTCGAGATTTGCTCTTGAAAAGGAGAAGAGGGAGAGGTTGGTGGGTATGCCTGGGGCGCGTGCGAGGAGTTGGAGACGGGCGCTGCGTTGTTGATGAGGTGTGGTCAGCACTTGTTTTAACTTTTGGGTGATAGAGGAGGAGGAGCGTACCCGAATTCAGAAGCGCATAGGATAATTACATCGCATACTGGATTGCGCTGATATCGGTATTGACTGCATCCCTGACAGCAGTCGTCGAATCCACGAGATTATTTCATCAGAAAGCTAACTTGACTGTTGAAACGTTGAAAGGCGAACGACGCACAACTCCTACGCACGGTCTTGACATACATCCACGCGTACCACGTTTATTGACCTTCCCGCGATGTACACTTCTACCGCATCATGATAATGGGGGAGAGTCGGGAACGACTGTCGACATGATAGAATGTAGCACGTATAAGGAAGAAGACTGATCACTACAAGCCTTGCTTATTTACAGTGAGGATTTTGGAAAAGCGTAGAAGACATACAACATTCAAAAAAACCCTATATACAAGCGCTGCATGTCATTGATAGACGTCAAGTGACTTGTCTAATCTAAGCACGCATAACCGCCGGCATGTTGTCCACTACGTCATGCTGTGTCGTTGAATTCACTCGGCTCTATCCGTTTTCTGCGTCATGCGTGTCTCCTTTTCAGCGCGTTCGGTTCGTTGAGTAAACTGCATTTGCGCCATTCAACGAAATCTCTCGGTAGAGAAGGGATTAGTGTCAAACGCGTGATTGCACTGCATCGCAGATTCGTCGAAATCCAACTATTCAATACATTCGAGATCCAATGCATTCCGACCTGCGTCAACTTTGCTTTTCATCTGAGTTATTCATGCACGGTGGACAGTAAATCGAAGACAGTTCCATCTGTGACTCGCATATGCAACCACGTTAATGATTGTCAAGGACTGACGCTAGCACGAACCGTGCTCGATTTGCGAACAGATCCTTTTGCTCACAGTCAACTGTATACAGCGTTATCGAAAGTAATAGTGATGGACAGGTCCGGTTCGGTCCAGTTCTCTGGGAAATTAAGAGAACCGAGAACCGAACCTATGGTTCGGTTCTCTCAGTAAGCAGAACCATGGACCGGACCGTCGGTTCGGTCCAATAACGGTCTGGTTCTGGTTCAGTGAGGGTTCGAACCGAGAACCGGACCAAACAAACACCGTTTCTCTCCCCTCGTCACATTGTCACCATGACAGGCACATTGGCAAGGCTATTGCCTCAGCACTCGTACAGAATGGTGCAAAGGTCTATATTGCTGCTAGGAAAGAGCTCCAGTTGAAGGAGGTCTGTTTGCTGATTACTTTATAGTAGGGCTGTTCACCGTACGCCGTACAACAAGACTTTACGGGGTCATAATACGGTTGCCGTACCCGTACCGTTGGTTGTTTCAACCTTGAGTTGACGGGACGGGGTACGGGTATAAAGGCCCCATATTTTGCTGTATTTGTATGGTCGTATACAGCTGTATTACGGTGTAACTTATACATGCAGTAGCCGCATGTCTTATTTCGCAACAAGTCATTCCAGACCTGATCTTCACACTATGGAGATCCTCAAAGTACTGCCAGTGGTATGTTTTCTACTATAATCTCTAATCAACACCACTCTAACATGTTCTATGTCATGTCCAGATCATATATTCTTTGATTACTTTGCCCCAATCCAGGAGGAACCATGATACCGGTCAAGATATCTCCTGGCACTGTTCCTTTCCTCCCATTGCTTGCTTCTCCCACTGAAGCCGGCCCAGAGAACACTGGGTGCCAGTCTCCGACGAAGGTCAACTTCACAGCAAGGTACAAGAAGTGATCAAATGTGACAATAGATGAATTCAAGCACTACTTGAAGCTCCTGCAGGAGGATTTCGATACTTGTGACCCCATTCAGTGGTGGGCAGGTCGTCATGCACAATTTCCCAACCTTTCTCATCTCGCACGTGATGTTCTTGCAATCCCTGGTAAGTGTATAGCCTATCTAAAATGTTTGTAGTATTTAATTATTATCTTCGCACTATTTGCAGGGTCTGCTGTTGCCATTGAACATATTTTTTCTGGGGGTCGGGACACAGTCTCTATGCGGCGTGCAAGCCTCAAGCCCGAGACAATCAGGACGCTAATGTTCGTGAAGGCAAAGCTTCATTTGGCTCGTGCTGCAGTCCAAGACCTCGTTTAATGTACCGTATGTACTGTATACGGCCATAAAGCACACCGTACCATACTGTCAGCATATTTTTTTTCATCTGTAATAGACAGTTATGTTTTAGCTTCATATGGCGGCACACCATATACAGTACAGTGAACAGCCCTACTTTATAGAGATGATCTGATGAAGTTGATAACTGCAGCACCAAATTTGAGCATGCTTTGCAGTCCAATTTGCTTGCCCTGTGCAAGGGACAAGTCTCCTTCTGATGGACTTGACATGCCCATTATGACCAAGCTGCAGTTGGCGTCACTCATGTCGCTCTTTTTGTGGGATTATTTGCCTGACAATAAACACGCCAACCACTTCCCAGCTCTCCGAATGGATGCCTACTCATGGCACACACATTTGTCTAGACCCCGCTTGACCTCAATCACATGTGGACACTCGCATCGGGTGTCATCGTGTTATGCCCTTCCTCTAACATGCTACTGCCTGTAAAAGGATTCCCCACAACGACACCTGGGCAACTCTATGTCATGTTCATTGCTGGCCTCGGGGCCACTTTTGCGTCACTGAGCTCTCAAATGACAGTTGATATCCCATCAACTTTACAGGGTGTCGCGTTCGTCTGTTTTCAGTCGCTCATATGACTCAAACAATATACTAACTTGCCACCAGTTCAAACAGGTTCGAACCTGTTCTGCAATTCTGCAAGTCCTCAAACCATGGACCGGACCAATGGTTTGGTTCTCTCTATTGCCTGAACCTTGAACCGGACTTTGGTCAGGTTCGAACCGCAGTTCAGAACTGGACCTGGCCACCACTAGAAAGTAAGGATGCGAAGAGACACATTGTGCTTATTTCAGAGGCAAACAAAGATCAAAACTGTGCACATATTGTACCTGCTACTGTAAATACATTGAAATGGCATCTACACCTTTGCAACTACATGAACACAGGACAAGGGCCTCCAGCCGACTGAAGGCAAGTCCTTGTATTACATAAAGCCGACCCACGTATAAGCTGGTGTCCGTGTGCAGTCCATTAATGTAATGCTCGCTAAAAGCTATCAGTCACTCCAAGTGATGATGGCAACCAATATTCACCATTGTCTTTTCGTCCTACTTAGTTCATTCCTTCTTCCCCATTCGATAGAATTCCGTCTCTGACAGTATTTAAGTAGCTACCTACCTACTGTTAGGACATTTGATCTTTCACCCACTGAATAGACTTAGTTCGGGCACTCATACCATCTGAAACCTAAGTGTATTCTAACTTCCCGTGTGAACACTCCCAGAGTGCCACATATTTTTGAGTCCTACAAATCTAAACCTCTATTCCTCTAAACTATAGTCGAGCCCCTTCAGTGACAAATTCCTGTATTATACGGGTCACCCGACCTACATAATATCCTGTATAAGACAGGCCAGCAGACCATGGGCTGATGTTATGTATATTCCCGATGTTGACGGATGGGCCGGGAGGGATATTATTTCTGATGGAGATGGGTGAGGCCATCTATGTTGATATTATATATATCCTCGAAGATGTCGGGTGGGCCGATGTAATGGTTTATTGTATAGATGGGTGGGCTGATGTAAGGGTTTATTGTATAGACGGGTGGGCTGACATACTGGAATTGTTTTGTAGACAGATGGGCTGAGGGAGTGGTGGAATATTTATTATATAGACAGGTGGGCTGATGGAGGGGGATGTTATATAGATGGGTGGGCTGAGGTAGTGAGATATCTGTCTGACATTCACAGATTACCGAGTCCCAGATGCCCAAAAACCGAATCCCATTGTGCAACATCCATTCCGGACACCCGAACACCCCAAGCTCGAGATTGGAAACTGGAAACTGGTGAAAATGTGTGAAATTTCTATTTCCTTACACCAAACACATGAACACCTGAACACCCAAAGCCTGAAGCTTAAAAGTCCAGTTATCAAATCACCGAGTGCTGAGTCCTGATAGACCCGAAGCCTGAGACCCAAAATACAAAGCCTGGAACCCAAAAACATGTATGCAAAATGTCCATTTTTCATTCATTGCACAAATCACCGAGTGTCAAGTGACAAAACCCGAAGCTCAAGACCCAGTACACAAATCACCAAGTACTGAGTGCTGATGGCCGAACCCCAAAGTCCGAAACTTGAAAACATGTATATAACATATCCATTTTTCAGTCATTGCACAAATCACCGAGTGTTGAGTGCCAAAACCCAAAACTTGAAACCCAGTATGCAACATGCCCATTTTTCATCTACATTAAACAAATCATCGAATGGCGAGTGCCGAGGCCTGAAGCCCAAAAATATGTGTACAACATATCCATATTTCCCTCACTGCACAAATCACCGGGTGTCAAGTACCGAAACCTGAAACTTGACACCTGGTACACAAATCACCAAGTGCCGAGTGCTGAGGCCCACGCCCCGATGTCCGAAGCCCGAAACCCGAAGCCTGAAATCCGAAAATATGTATACAACATATCAATATTTCACTCATTGCACAAATCACTGAGTGTCACAGAATATTTCGATCCTGGGATATCCGACCGACCAACCCTGTCTGGCATCCGCCCCAGATATGACTCAGCATGCCAGCCACCATCATACAACTACAAATAAACAAGCCCACCTGCCACATCAAGCACACTGCCTTGAACCGTACGTCACTCTTTCCCCGCCCCCGCCCTTTATCTCTTGTTGAGCCGTTACAGGTACACTGTCCCCACTATACAGGTAAGTTATCCTATCCACTTCTTTGTGTCGCTGTTTTCTGACAATAACTATGCTACAGTACAACCAGTTGCACAATGCAACTTCTAATCATCTTGCTATGCCTACCACAGTACTTAGGTTCACGCTGTCTATTCACCATGTCTGACATACCCCCAAATGTCCCTTTCATGAAGCCAGACTATACACCATTCTGTGAACATGGCCATGGTGAACTCCAGTGGAGAGTTACGAAGTCTGATAAGAATGGCAACCGTGGCCGCTGGATGGTTTCGGTGCATCCCGCCATGTGAATCTTATTGACCATCACTTATTTTTCTCCAGTGTCCATTCATAGGGCCTGAAGGAAAGTGCAAATACTTTCGCTGGGGCTCTAAGAGTCCTACATCATCTCCGAACCCATCACCATCATTGGGGTCACCACCATTGGGGTCTCCCCCACAAATAACGCTCACTCCTCCACCATCAGGGCCTCCATCACACATTGCGCTCGCTCCTCCACCATCGGGGCCTCTGTCACAAGTGGTGCATGCTCCTCCTCCAGTAGTACCTGGTGTCTGTGCCGAGTCTGAGTGTACATCGACACGTGTGCACCCCCAGTGCGGCCATCTTATGTGCAGGAAGCACTGCTAGGTGTCTGGAGGCTGTGATGCGAAGGGTCACAATATTCCTGGACCTGCTGGTGAGGTACCACACCTGCATCCACCAGCTGAAGCTACACCCACATTGTCTGTCATTGAGCCTGCCATACTTGCACCTCCACCGCCCGTCATTGACCCTGCCTTACTTGTACCTGACATCGCATTTTTACCTTCCTCCGAGGCTCCTACTGCTGGTCCATCTATACTACCTATGCCAAGCCAGGATACGACACGCAAGGGAAAAGGCCGCGCTACAGTACCTGCACCCAATGCAGACTTCTATGCCAGTCCCCGCCTTCCATCACAGCTACCACCCATCTTTACAGATGCATATGCCAAGCAAGAGGCAGAGCGCCTGCAGAAGCATGAAACACAGTTGCTTGAATGTGAACTTGCTCTCACAGCACAGAACACTGTTACTGCATTTGCCTGGGTGGCGGTATGTTTTTTTTTACCAAAGTGACGGGAGTTTAATTTTACTGTGTGATTAGGATGAAGATGCACCTACTGTCTGCGAGTTTCAAAGTGGAATTGTGCTACCGCATGTCAGGGTCACCGCGGAGTGGCTTCACAATCTTGGACTTTCCATTGATGACGGCTGTCACTACTTTAATGCGACCCAGCAATGCTGGAACAAAATATTTGTTGGTCATGTCCTCACCCTTCTAGGCAATCATGTCTACCTCAAGAACCTCAATGTCAAAGTCGCGCTCGACTTTGACAAGTATTACCTTGATCGACAGCCACCAACCATCCCACACATTCGTAACAACCTCAAAGGCGAGAGAGCTCACGTCCGCAATACTACCCACCATCTTCAGGTCAGCAAGTCGAGCACCACTGGCTCTGATAGTGACCAGCCAGCTGTGTCACAAAAGCGGAGGCCACATTTTTCTTCCAATCATTCTCATCGTTGACGCCACATCCACACAAGTTCCTCTCGAGCTGACAATCTGGAGCCAGTCATCACTGGACCATTGCATGCATCACATGCACTTCCAGTGCCTTACCCCCTCCTTCATACCACTATCAAGAACAGGTGATCCGATGTGCTAAGCATCTCCTCTAACGACTCAACAGATGACGAAACACACCCAAAGCCCCTTCACATCAAGCGGGAGCCATCTGTTGATGCTATCAGCCTTTCCTCTGACAGTTCCTCTGACCGAGTCGTGTCTGATAATGATATGCTCTCTCCTGGAACATCGTACGAGCACCCGATTGAGGTTGAAACCACCATTGTGTTACCACCCTGGCCAAGATGGTACTATGCGGTCGACATCAATGCTGTTACAAGAACATCTAGACACTTGGGCCCCTACCATTTTTCTCCTCATCCTTCTTGTATCAGCCCTCGCATCATACCCTTACCCCGACCTCACCCTTGTTATCCTTGTCATTCTCGCATTCCCTTTCGCCCTCTACCTGTCACTTCAGCAGAGCCAGTACATCTGGCCGGATCCTTTCGCTGACGAAGCATACCCATGCTCCATTCCACCACCTGACTGATCCTGTGGACAGTCCCCTTGCCCTTACCATCCGGACGGTAACCTATGATATGATGCACGATGCATCCCCTTTGCCCTTTTCCCTTTCTTGATCTCTGACTCAGTGCGCAGTCGCACATGTTACTTATATTTAGCTCTGCAGCTGCACAATCGTGCCCCTGCGCATTTCACTTCTTATTTTGATCTTTGACTCACTTTCTTATCCGCACGTTCAGGATTCATTCGTGTCTCACCTCAAACGTGCCTTCCTTTTATGGTTATCCCCTTTACCACTTACCTCTCTTGGTAGTACGAGTTATCACCCACTAATACGCTTCCTGTCCTCTATATAAACTCGCTACCATGTACTATATTCTCTAACTTGAATCTACTTGGTTCTTGACCTCCTACTCTCACCAGAGTGATCCTTTCTGCCTAGCCAGCAGTCTATATTCTATCTTCTTATCTGCTCTTCGTGGATAAGTCCTTAGTCTCGATCTTTACTCATCGACTTCGTCGACGAGCAAAGCCCCTGTTAACTAGTCGGACTTCCGTCCTTCTAATTAACGAATGATCTTACGATTAACCTTCGGGTGTCGTAAGCCTTGGCAGATACAGCTCATCATCTAGCACCCGCTTGACGTAAGCTACCCGATTTGGACATAGGCATCAAATCTTACTTGCCGAAGCCTTGCCAAGTAAGACCCCTAACCTTGGGCTAGCCCAAGGACGTCCTCGACCGTTGACGACACACGCTCTGTTTGAGCATTGCCAACAGATACCATCCAAGTCGTAACAAATGCAGGTTTTATTACCATGGATAATGCAAGGAAGTCTGGTTGCAGTGTCAAAGAGGCTTTTGCTAGTGTCTTTGGAGGTGTTCCCTATCATCCCCAGACTGTCAGTGACCATCGTATCCGCTGGCAGCAGGCAGGTCCTACAGCAAGGGCAGCATTCATTGAGGCGGGGTGCACTCCTGCTGGCTTATGGTCTGCGTTCATGGCAGCCTACCCTGCTAAAGGTGCTGCACAGAAAGCAGCAAAAAAGTGTTGGCTTATTCGTGTGTTGTGATCTGTGGTTCCCTCTCTACATACTATTCCTCAATACTTGGGCATTTGTTATTTTATACGCTTGTTATATTATATCTCGTACATGTTGCACAATAGCCATCGCAATGTCATTATTTACCTCAGCAGGCCACCTAACTGTGGAGATTGCTGGCTCTCATGCACATATGCTCCTTCCCTGCCTCTCCTCTCCGCTCTTCTAGTATCCACACTCGAAGACTTTCTAGTTTGAATGACACCGGCAGCTCCATAGGGATATCTGCATCTGAGAGCTGGAGATGTTTGTTGAGTGCCTTCGTCATCCACGTCCATCCGTTTCTCTTCACCGTCTTTGTCGTGGAATGCAGGCGTAACTTGATACTTCTTGGCAACCTTTACAGCTGGAACACCTGTGCCAGTGTCACAAGCACCTATGCCACCATCCAGCCATAAGTAATTGTCCCCCTTCTTTCATAACCCAAACCTATCATATCTTTGCCGTACTCCCTCATGGAACCATTGATATCTACTGACTTCATATCATTCAACAGTCCTGTCTCCTCCGTCTTGCAGAAGACACGTACACCGAGATGTCACAACCCAATAACGAATTAACGCTGGGCAGAGACTAGGACTCAAACAAAGGTTATCGGACAGAGAGGATGATGAGCAAGTACGTCTTGGATTGCTACAGTGTAGATACAAGAGGTTTGAACTAAGGAACTATCGACCAAGACATGCTACCTATATACAACTATTGAAACGGAGATTGAAACTGAGTTACAACTACTAGCCAATCATAAAATAGAAAAGGGAATCGTACCATAGAACATCGTAGAATATTAAAGAAGCATCACGTGATCATATCTTATCTAATCTAATCTAATCACAATCAAAGAACTCGTCTTCTTCATCAGTCCCATCGAAGACACGTGTCATAGGCGCTAAAGGTATTTCGGGAATGGTAGATGCTTTTAGAGTAGGGTTAGGGTTTGACTTAGGTGCTATGTATTGATGCTTAGGAAGATTCAAGAAAGAATAATGGTTCGTTAAAGGTACTCGTGACACGAGAGTTATATTAGCACTATTGGTGTTAGGTATGTCACTACTCTAGAGCCTATTCCTAGCTATCTACTGACATGGTATCGTTCAACAGTCACCTCTTCCCCTTTGCCGTCAATAGCTGCAACCTTGGAATCGGTCGTAATGCTGTCGCGAAGGTCAAGTCCTTCTGTCAATTCTCATGGTGGTCGACGTGCGAGCCCTCTCAACGTACCGTCGCCTCATCAGCGCTCTTCTTCCTCCAGTTGCGTTCTGTTCAATTTCGATGACATCTCAAAGTATATGATACCTCCTGGAAAGCTTTGTGAGCAGCAGGTTATCTGTGCTACCCGGAAATATCGTGTCATTGGCTTTCCTGTTCTGCTTCCTGACAATTTCTAACGAAACTACTTTCAGTACAACGACTGCTTTGTCTTCGAGCAGTCTGTGGATTTAAGTGGCTCTGAACCAATAGTTCACAAGGTCAGCCATGTCCTAACGGCCTGCGAGGTCAGCTCTTTACCCTGGTTCATGACAAAACACTATGTTTGTGAGATTGTATAAGGGATTCCTGGGCGATGGTGAGCAAACTCGATGCCTCGCTTCTGAGCCAGTAACTGATGATCTGCTAAGCTGTCATTGACCTCGTCGTCATGAAGTGTTTGTTCAACAAGTTTCCTGAAGCCACCTCAGGTCAGCTATCAGCTGCTTGCTTGCGAGCTGTATGCGGGCCAACCTTAGCCTTTGTTGCTGTGAGACGGCTCAGGATTCACAAACATCTGCTTATCAACAATGCTGAACTAAGCACTGCGTTCATGACACACGTTTCTTGGCTTACGTCTCACTCCCCTGAGGATACTATCAGCAAGGGATGGAAATATGATCTGCCAAAAGCACTGAGTAACGTGCTGAAAAGTATTGTTGGAGCAGTCTTAGTTGACACCTGTTTCAACTTCGAGAAAACAGTGGTCATAGTCGAAGCGGTCATCAGCGATGTGCTGGAAGTCCTCACTGCTATTTCGGTGCTTTGCGGGTCTCTGGTTGGCACAAGACGCAGGTAATCCCCAAGTTACTATCCATTTGCAGGGTCTCTGGTGCGCTCACCAATGCCATCTTTTTTGTCCGCTGCTCTCCCACAAGTAGCAGAGGCTATTGTTGCTAACAATGCCACGGCTCCCTTGAAGCTCACTGATGAAACCAAAAAGGGCTTTGCTGCCATCGAACATTGCAGGACTCACACATTGGAGATGGATTACATAGGACGGTTGCCATAGGTGCAGACGACCTGAATGATTGCACATAAAATTATCTTGAATTCACGTGACCTAAAGAATGTGGCAAATTCTCCTTCAATGCTTATGTTAATCGAGTAAAAAATGCCACGTGGCCGACAAAGGAAACTGCGAAAAATCTAGGTGTGAAAGAGATGTACCTGTAGATGACGTGATACCAGGAAAACAACTATCTACCCACTTAATGGCCAGTTAGCAGGACATCTGCCCTCCTTTTCCAGCTTTGCCCTCATCAACCTATTCTTTTGTAAGACCATCTCGTCAAGAAAAAATCTATACCTGTGAACTATCATCTCACGACAGATGGCATGATATCCCCCATACCAGACATTTGTCTGTTCTGCAACTGACGAATTGAAGTACCACCCGGCGCCATCTTCTCCAAGGAGATGTTCAAATGATGCAGGATTGCAGTTTTCTTGGCACCACCGGTCAGTAATCGCATGTTTGCAGTTGAAGTGGAAAACATCGATGGAAAGGCCAATGTCTTTGAAGTACACGTCATCCTTGACAATCTTAGAGAGCATGCAGTTATTGTCGTAGAATATGTGCTTTGGCTTGATGTCATCAGAACGGAATACATGTTTAATCATTTCCTGGACCATTCATATTAGCAGGCCATTTGTAGCACTGACAATGCTTACATACCACAACACTTCCAACACCTTCCGCTCCATAAAATGTCTCCCTTGCAAGTATCATCCCACATGGGGCAATGATCAGCTGTTCATTATGCGTGCGCCGGCGCCCAAATTGTGCGCGGAGCTTATGGCTACTGACAGCAGGACTGTCCTGCGCTACAGAAGCTTGTACATTCCCATCAGCATCTACAGCAAGTGTTAAATCCTCCTCAAGAGGGGCATCATCAATGAGTTCATCCAATGACACATCCTGTGCAATAGAATCTGTGGGATTTGCAAGTTGGGATCGCTGAAGATGCTGCTGAAGTTGGAAACGGCTTTGCCCTCGAAGTTGGTGCGTACTCTCAACCGCTTTGTGCTCCACAAGGTGGCAAACCTTGCTCTTGACAAGGGCATCATTGCTGCAGCCGACAATAGCACATTTGTGGCCATGAGTGGGTGTATGCATTGGGCAATAGTGATGTCGGTTGTTGTCAAGAGGCACATGACAGTTATGGATGGCGCAGCACGGGTGGCCAATGGTGACCCCATCAGTAACAACAACGGAAAACTTGCTCGTAATGATTCCTGCATCATTCCTAAAGAAGCGGGTGCATTTGTTGCAGTAGTGTCGAAGCTCTTCTTGGCCAGTAAGTTCGGATGTGATTGTTGCATTCAATAATGGCATTCATAAAGCGGGCCTTCTGGTCCCCATCTTGGGGTACCGATAAGACTACATGGCACTCTATGGCATCTTCAATCAGGGCAAGTTGTATGAATCCATGCCAGACATGATTCCCAGCAAGCTCAAAGTTCCATGGAAAGCCAGGAGGTGTTGTGGCCTTATGCATCAGCACCGAGTTATACAGTTGTGCACAATTTGACATGGACGTCCTAGATGAGGCAGCAATCAGAAGTATGTCAAGTTGTCAGCCTGACATAGCACTTACCATGAAATGAGCATCATTGTGCACCACAGATGAACAACCTTCGTCTCTACAAATTGGTGCCCACCAACTTGCAAGATGTCTGGGATCCCAGGGTAGAAAATTTGAATACCTGCCTTGTACACTAAAGTCATGGTGGTAGTTTGTATTGCACTCTGCAAAATGTGTCATGATGATAAGAAAAAGAAAACTTGTTAGATACATACCAATGCAATAGAGATGAACAGAATACATCGCAATAGGCCCATCATCTAGTGTGTAGAGAACAACTTGTTGTTGTTGTGCTTTCTTGAGGACAGAGCCTTGCACATGAGCGGGACAGTCAAGTGTCTGACATGTGTGATGAGGTGGATAAAGAACACTGTGGTGCTGTCACCCATAGGTTGTCCATGTCAGTAGTCTTCATAAAAAGTAATACCACTCACCTATACCATGCCGCCATCCATGATGCGTAAAGAGCGACATGTCTATGCTTGATGCACCCCCATCACCATGCCATACAACATTCCTAAGAATGTTCCAATATGTATCCACATTACTCTCTAAAATATCACAGCTACCGGCCAGGAAGAGTTGGATCGCAGGAGAGAGAGCTAGAGGAGCACTATCAGGGTGGTGAGAGGCAGGTTGCACGAGTAAGATGTCGTCCTTGAGTCCCGATGCAAGTGTAATGAAGCGGAATATTGTGCTGAATGTTGGAGGTGAGCCAGTAGGGAGCTGATCATGCAGCAATTGCAGCATCTCAAGGGCTGATGGTATTAGAATGGTAGTCATTGAGTGCGGTGCAGGGAGGTAAGTATGTAGCGGCGCTGATAAGTAGCGGCTTGGCCTAATGTAGTAATATCCCTGACGTTGTGCCGCAAGGTGGCTGACAGCGAGGACGTGTGGGAAACAGCAAGCTTAGTATATAGGATTATATTTTATTGAATGTAGTATATTATGTATGTGTGGGAATGATAATTATTATGCTGGCGCGGATGCGGGTGGACGGTCGGATGAGGTCAGACGGTCGGATATCCCAGGATCGAGATGTCCTCGAGTGTCAAGTACTGAAACCCGAAACTCAACACCCGGTACACAAATCACCAAGTGCCGAGTGCCGAGTGCCGAGGCCCAATGTCCGAAGCCCAAAACCCGAAGCATGACACCCGAAAATATGTATATAACATATCCATATTTCCCTCACTGCACAAATCACCGAGTGTTGAGTGCCAAAACCCAAAACTCAAAGCACGGTACAAAAATCACCAAGTGCCAAGTGCCAAGTGCCAAGGCCCGAACCCCGATGTCCGAAGCCTGAAACCCAAAGCCTGAAACCCGAAAATATGTATACAACATATCAATATTTCACTCATTGCACAAATCACCGAGTGTCAAGTACCGAAACCCAAAACTCGACACCCGGTACACAAATCACCAAGTGCCAAGTGCCAAGTGCCAAGTGCCGAGGCCCGAAGCCCGATGTCCAAAGCCTGAAACCCGAAGCCTGAAACCCGAAAATATGTATACAACATATCCATATTTCCCTCACTGCACCAATCACCAAGTGTCAAGTACTGAAACCTGAAACTCAACACCCGGTACACCCATCACCAAGTGCCAAGTGCCGAGTGCCAAGGCCCTGAGCCCCGACATCCGAAGCCCAACACCCGAAGCATGACACCTGAAAATATGTATATAACATATCCATATTTCCCTCACTGCACAAATCACCGAGTGTCGAGTGCCGAAACCCGAAACTTGAGACCTGGTACACAAATCACCAAGTGCTGAGTGCTGAGTGCCGAGGCCCAACATCCAAAGCCTGAAACCAAAAGCCTGAAACCCAAAGATATGTATACAACATATCCATATTTCCCTCACTCCACAAATCACCGAGTGTCGAGTACCGAAACCTGAAACTCAACACCCGGTACACGTGACTACAACTGGACATGAATTCTGTACTTGTATGTATTATCCATTGATGTAGGGTTCAAATAACTTGGGAATTGTATTGACTACCAAGGGTCGGGACTCAGGACTCGCTAGTCAATATAGGAAAATGATAATGAAAAAATGAAAATTATTATTATGCTTAACTTTCTTAATGAAGGTTGTAGTCCGAGTCTATGTGAGTGTATTGGTGGTCCTACCAAGTATTGGTACTCAGTGTAGTGATGGTTGCGGTGCTGGGCTCAGAACCACTGATTTTCATACTCATGTCATTCTTGTCAATTGGAGATTATTTGAAGACTACGTTAAATGTTAGTCAGTGTCGAGTATGATAATGAATGTATAGTCATACCTCAGTCTGAGAACAAATAGACTGAGGTAGGATGATGCAGGTATGAGGATTATATATTTGTCTGGCATGTTAGCAATGATGTAAAGACGAGGCGTGCATTTGTACATGTGTGCAGTAAGTGAGCATACAGATAAAAGAATGAATATTAATAGCAAGACTTGCACATTATGTTGAGATATCCAACATGACAAGCCTGTGATGGGATCAGAGACCTGGAATAACACCCATATATGTCCATTATAATAGCCCTAATAGTTTAGAAAGATCCATGAAGGATTGATGTAATGACAGGCATATGTGTGAAATGTGACAATAGACATATTTTTACAAAGTCGCATTTATAGATGATTCAGGCCAAAGATTTCATTAAAAATATGTAGGATAGATTGTAAACTACCTAAGGAACCCATACTGCCTACTGCCTTGAGGGTAGGGGGTGGGTGGAAGGGATATAGTGAAAACATGAGTTGACTCAGCATTAAAGTCCTATTATTGCTTCACTGACCATTTTCGATGCTTTGGGTCTTTGAAGTTTCCCACACTCCATTTCTTATCTATTTCACTTCCTCAGTACTCAATTCTTGGTGGATTTGTCTGTAAATTTATGTCTATGATACTTAATATATTTTCAATGTACTCCAGGTTTCTGATCATGAAGATTCAATGTTTTGAAGGTATGGGCCCCTTATCAGGAGAAATGGCAAGTATGCACACTAGCTCACAAACTCCAGCCTATTGTGAGCTGATCTTGGTCATAAGAGGCAATAATATAAGCTATGCTCATTATATATTAAAAGGTTGGATCATGGATGCAAGGGCAAGATACTGAAAATCGTGAAAAATGTCAAAAGTGCAATGGTCTATGCTTACATGTAATAACGCTGTCTGTAATATTCAATAATGCGAAAACGAGTAAATATGCACTAGTGGGGATAGATGCGACTAGACAGGACATAGGAAGGATGAGTCCGATGCAAAAATGTTGGGTCCGAAACTTTCAGGCCGGGGTCGGGCGTCGGGATCAGGATTGGAATGTCAGGGATGTGTCAGACAAATACTGTTTAATGTGAGTATCAAAAACACGGGTTTTGAGCCCAGTGCCGCAACTATCATTACACCAGGTACCGAGTATCAGAACCAAGTACCAAGTAATGAAATAACCAATTGACAAGAAAAGACTACCAATACACTCACCTTGACTTGGACTACAACTTTCATTTTTCATTCTCGCCAATGTTTCAGATTTCTTTAGCTTATCTTGGTCAAATGATAACCATGGACAAGAAAAGACTACCAAT